TGGTGCAGAACAGTGGAGACAGAATTATTACACTCGTCTGTGTGTGTTACATGTTGTGATCATGGAGCCCTCCTTTCTGTTGTGTGATTGTGATGTGCTATATGTGACATGTATGTAGTAACGTGTGTTGTTTGCATTGTATTGTTCTCTTTTATCCTTTCGCCTCTATCTACTTGTCTTCCATCCTTTCTTTATAACTAATGCTGTTGATGTGTTGTGATTTTAAAAAGGTGTCTATTATCATCTGGACAACAGCTGGATGTTGGCTAAAGCTGCTCCATGTACTGTTCTTTGTGACAGTTGATCAATGGGGACTGTCCACGACACTATGAACAAATAATCTAAAGTAAACTAAACCAGGTAGGTTGACACGTACGAGGAATTTGACTTGATGTCGTGGTGCATACAGAAATGTAAAACACAGATAGAGAACTATTTGAAGAAAACTATAAAAACATTACTAAATAATAACACAATAGGTGCCCACTGCTCCTCTCTGCCAGCTGTCCATGCCTCCTGCCATCAGATTCACTCAGTCTGGCTCTCAGTTTGTGGGCTGAGGTCTCATCAAAACAGCACACTTCATAGGAACTCAAATCAAAGGTACATTTAGATTGAGGCCACATTGAAGAAAAGCCATGTTTACAAAGGCTCTCGGCTGATTTCACGCTTCACTTTCTGGTCATGAGAAGCACTGACAGTAGGATCCATGCACTGACCATCCATTCTCATTGCACTATTTCTATTTTATTTGTATTTACACTATTGTATCTGTTGTATTTGTTCTACAGTATGTCCTATGTATGTGTTGCACTGTTGGAGGAGCCTGTGGCCTAAGCTTTCAATGAACATACCTACACTGTAGCTATATATGTACAAATGAAAATAAAGCCTTGAATCTCAAATCTTGAATCTTGAATCTTGAATATAGACTGTGAGCGGCTCTCAGTTTGTGGGCTGTCAAATGTGAGCGCTTCAAAACAGGACACTTCATAGGAAACACAATCAAAGGCTGCAGGAAGAATCAGATGCAATCAGAAACTGTCTGAAGGAAAGGAGAGCGATGATGTTGTTCTTTACGTATATTTAGTTTGAGGCCACATTAAGAGGCACTCGGCATCACTTTACGGGTCATGAGAATCACTTAGCCTCTGAAAACTCTTGTGAAATGTCTTTTGTTTCTCTGAAAGGAGCTCTCTGAAGTCTGAGTAAAGAACCCTGATGATGTGAAAGGTGGAGCAGACAGGGTTGACTGGATTTGGAGACAAAAGGTGTTTTTACACGCTAAACAAATTCTGACCTTGCGTCACTTGACTGAGTGTGACTGAGGGGTATTTGTGTTATATGTGCAGGTTGACCTGGTTCACTATGTTTGAACCCAAAATCACAGATTTGACTATGTTTTAGTTGCAATAAATGGATCAAAAAGATGCTGAAATATCTCCCTAATGATTCTGATTTGTTTGCTTTTTCATGTCTGTCTGCAAGACAACTTTTAAAATGCTTGTTTTCTAAATAGAGTTTGGCTTAATCATGGCTACCTACGCTAACAGTGTAGCTGCTTCTTAAATACTTCAAATATCTTCAAACTTGACCCACTTTACCATGCTGCACTGCGTTATATATCAAATGCACCCTATAGGACTCATCATTGCACACTGTATAGCCTAACTGGATGGTCCTCACTTACTATGCGTAGGATGCAGCACTGGTTTTTATTAAGCCATTTTAGGTAAGCTTCCACTCTACATATGTGCCAGATTTGCTCCAGTTTGTGACTCTTACAACCTCAGATCCAGTGCCTGGATACGGGTCCAGGTTCCTGCTGTGCGGACTGAGGCTGGAAAAAGGATTATGGTCCTTGGTCTTGGAATGACCTTCAATCACGCCTTAAACTGAGGGCACTTGTCTCTATATCATGTTTTAAATTGAAGTTGTCTGAAGTCCTCACCACCAGCTGCTCTTGCAGTAATAAGTAGTGTACCTTTCTTACTGTCCTAATGTGCTCAATGTAGTGACTGCTTTTTCGACTTTTGTTTTCTTAGTTATGTTCTCTGCATTTTATATGTTTGTGTTATGTGTTATGTGTAAACGTTGCTGCCTTCTTGGCCAGGTCAGCATTGAAAATGAGATTTTATCTCAATGTTTTTATCTGGTTAAATAAAAAAAAATTAAAAATCTGAGTAGAGCGGTGACACTATCATATATACACAGATTTATCTTTGTATTGTGTAACTTAAAAATGATATGAACTCACAAGAATGTAAGATATTATTATGTATTATTGATGAAAGATGCCTTTCGAATCTTTGCATTGACTTGCACTGTTAAATGTGAACAGTTCATAAAAGATGATATCAGGAAGCTTGTATAAAGTTATGAAAGACAACCTTTAACAGTCTGGGAGAATAAGACCCTTGAGTTGCATTATGGGAAATGTACGAACCAGCATTTTTGGTTGCTTTACTATCAGTTGGCACTTAAAGTCAGGATATCTTGGCCTGTTTTGCACACATTTTAACCATTCTTTGTTAAATCTGTCTCTTGCATTAAGTACCTAAACTTTATAAAACTCTTATTGAATCGCTGGATTTTCCCTTTAAAGACATGAAACAGTTGTATTGCGGCCCCGGGTCTGTCTGCACCTGCTGCTTTACCAGCATGCCTCCCAGCGTGGAAGATCATAGTTTGTGACCTTTTCCCCTGAAATACCTCTGCCCCACCTGCTGTCTCCCTCCACCGCTGGAAATAGACCCTGTTGCTAAAGAGGTTACATAAGTCCCTGCCAGAGACGGCAAAAGTTCACACATCCTTTACTCAAGTAGAAGTACAGATACTCATGTTTAAAAATACTCTGGTGAAAGTAGAAGTACTGACTAAACTTCTTTACTCAAGTAAAAGTAAAGAGGGCTTTGAAATGTACTTCAGTAAAAAGTACCCATAACTAGCAGCTGTTTTAAAGAGTACCTGACCTCCCTTTATATTAATAGAACAATAATGTCATTGTTAGCTAATGAATGTTTCCATGCTGAACAACGGCAACATGACAACGTTTTCATTGGTCCCTCTTCTTTAGAGAAGACCAGGAAATGATGGATACACGGATCGTGTTCAAATCAATAGGCACGCAATGACTCTAAATAATAATGATCACGCCACCAAACACACATTCAAACTAAAGGAACCAGCCTGTTTGGAAAATGTGAGAAGTAGAAAGTACAGGTATTTGTGTTCAACATGTAAGAAGTAGAAAGTACAGGTATTTGAGTTCAACATGTAAGAAGTAGAAAGTACAGGTATTTGTGTTCAACATGTAAGAAGTAGAAAGTACAGGTATTTGTGTTCAACATGTAAGAAGTAGAAAGTACAGGTATTTGTGTTCAACATGTAAGAAGTCAAAGTAAAAAGTCGTCAGAAAAATAAGTCGTGGAGTAAAGTACTGATACCAAAAAAATGTACTTAAGTACAGTAACAAAGTATTTGTACTCCACTACTTCCCACCTCTGTCTGTGACTTCAGTTTTTCATTGACATTTCTAAACTGTAGCCCATGTGCTAATGACAATAAAGCCTTGAAACTTGAAACTTGATAAGTCCCTGCTTGGTTGAGTTCTTGATGAATGAGCACAGAGGGTGAGAGACGCATAGAATCTATTTCTGTGTGTTGCTGTATGTATTAATATACTTTCCTGGGGAGGAAGTGAAGACCCCATCTCTTTCTACTGTACTGTTGCTGTGGCTCTGGAGGTAGGAGGTCTTCATGGGCGAGATACTTAACCCCAAATTACTCCCAACGTGTGAGTGTGTGTGTGAGTGTGTGTGAATGTGAGCGTTCCTGAGCAGGTGGCACCTTGTATGACAGCCTCTTTATACATGTGTGTGAATGCTGACTTGTGTAAAAGCACTTTGAGTGGTTGCAAAAACTGGAACAGTGATATATAAAAGCAGTCTTTTAACCATATATAAAATTGCATGCAGTCTATTTAGGATAGTCTTTCCTTCATGGAGGATTTTAGTGAATCAAATCTTCCAAATTTCAATTAAATAATGCCTTTAATTTGGGTTGTTTTTGTAACATTAATGTAGATCACATTTAGTTTCCCTGTCTCTTTTTGCAGCAACACTAACCCTAACACACACACACACACACACACACACACACACACACACACACACACACACACACACACACACACACACACACACACACACCATGTATACATCACTTCAGGGGACATTACATTGACTTACATGCATTTCCTGGAGACTTATCCTAACCATAAGCCTTACCCTTACCCTAACCCTAACCCTTACCCTAACCCTTACCCTAACCCTAACCCTAACGCTAACCCTTACCCTTAACCTTACCCTAACCAAGTCTTCACCCTTAAAATGAATGATTCCCCTTATGGGGACCTCCATTTTGTAATGGAGGGGGGCGAGTCCCCACACGTGACTGTGTAAACAGCTTTAGGTCCCCACAAGTATAGTAATGCTAGGCCACACACACACACACACACACACACACACACACACGACAGGTGCCCATAGCTTTCTACAAAAGCTTTTCTGCGGTTGCAGATGTGTGAAAGCCCCTTAATAATGTATTGCATGAAGTCTGCATTACGAACTTGTAGCATGGAGTTTAGAAGACAACCTTTACCAGTCTGGGAGAAAGAGACCCTTGAGTTGCATTATGGGAAATGTAAGAACCTGCATTTTGTTTTTGCTTTACCCAAAGTCACTAAAAGTCAGGACATCTCGGCCTCTTTTGCACACATGTTGACCATTCTCTTTTCTTGATATAAGGATTTTCTGCAAAAATATGGAAACCCAATGTGGAATATCCTGTGGTGTTTCACTGTAGATTGGTTATAGTGTACTGTAGCATCATGTGTATATAGGGAGGTTGTAATAGTAAGAGAGGGTAAGACATATAACTACAGAGCATATAAAACACAGAATTGCACATCAAATCGAAATAAGGAGAGGAGTCACGTGTTACTAAAAGAACAATATTTTAATATCATCTCTGGCAGGCATTAGCTGTATTAAATACATATATATAGCTTTCCAGTTTTGTTCAGAAGTGATTCAGTTATCAGTATCACATTAAAGCTCGTCGCCCCCTTTACTCCAGAGTCAAACCTGTTAATAAACCAATAGACAATTTGGAACAATCATTATTTACATAAGATACAAAAATATATTTCCCAACAACAAAAAAACTTTACAATAAGAAGCTCTATAAAATTACAAATATATTTCTATTATAAAAAGCCTTTTGTTTTTTAAATACTCTTCCAGCTCAAGTGTTGAATGAGGGAACCTGGTCTGTGGCATGATTTATGATTTAAAAATTAAAAAGATTCCAGTGACTGTTATTATATTCCTCGTCGTAATTCCTCACGACTTTTCATGGCGTCTGATTCGTCGTATTCTCGTCCTCAGGGTAGCGCTGGAGCTAAATGTGACCCGTGTTGCAGTCCAGGTGGAGTTAGTGGGTTAACTTTAGCAGAACGAGGCTAGACTTGGTGCCGAGGTGGAGACACTTTGTCCCATCCTGCTGGGGGGTTTCCTGTGATGGGTGGGGAGGGTGTTAGCTGCTCCATGGGGGGTCCAAACGAAGTGATCCTGGGTGTCACATGCCTGAAGAGAGCCAGAAACAGACAGACATGATTAGAACTGGACTCTATTCTCAGAGCGCCGGACGTACGCGTTTACAGCTCCTCGTTAACACCGGGAATAAACACGCCTGTTGTCCCGTACTCAGATCTGGTACTCGAGTAAAAGTAGAAGTACTCAGATCTGGTACTCGAGTAAAAGTAGAAGTACTCAGGTCTTGTACTCGAGTAAAAGTAGAAGTACTCAGGTCTTGTACTTGAGTAAAAGTAGAAGTACTCAGATCTGGTATTTGAGTAAAAGTAGAAGTACTCAGATCTTGTACTTGAGTAAAAGTAGAAGTACTCAGATCTGGTACTTGAGTAAAAGTAGAAGGACTCAGATCTTGTACTTGAGTAAAAGTAGAAGTACTCAGATCTTGTACTTGAGTAAAAGTAGAAGTACCAGAGTGTAGGAATACTCTGTTACAGTAAAAGTCCTGCATTCAAAATGTTCCTCAAGTGAAAGTAGGAAAGTATTCTCATCAAAATATAGTTAAAGTAGCGACAGTAAAAGTAGTCATTGTGCAGATTGGTCCATTTCAGAATAATATATATGATATGTTTTATAATGATTGATCATGAAAGTGTTCTCAAAGCTGGTAAAGGTGCAGCTAGTTTGAATGACTTTGTATACTGCAGGGTAGCTTGTGGATTTACTCCAGGTGGAACTAAAGTCTGATTTAACACTTGATTACATTTCACATCATTAATCCAGATCTGTAAAGTAACTAACGGTCAGAGGCTGAAACACAGAACAGAGCATGGCGGTGGAAAGAGGAACTCCGGTCTCACTCCATTCCTGACATTTACAGTCTGAATTTCACCCAGCATGCATTCCTTATAATCTGATGCAGGTTCAAACACTCTCAGGCCTCGCAGTGGAGAAAACACAAATGAGTCTTATATGTCTTTTACTCATGATGTTGAGTAAGCTTCTAAAAAACGCCCTGATGCCTTCTCAGGTTACAGCGTGCAGGTACAGAGGTTCCTAAAGCTTAAAGCAAGTGAAAAGCAAGACTTCTTAAGACTTTAAATGCAACTCTGGATGAAGTGAAAGACCAATTTTCATTTACAAAAATGTAGGAAATTGCAACTAGTTATTTTTTTGCTAAATTGTGCAGTCAAATAAAGCTGATTTACATTCTAAAAAAATTCTAAATGAATTGCATTAAAACATAGACAAAAATGTCTGTATACTGTATATCATTTTAAGTATCTGTGTCAATCTGTGCCGTCCTGTTTTTCATTCTCACCCTGTTGCTGTTAAACTACTGAATCTCCCCACGGGGATTAATAAAGGTCCATCTTATCTTATCTTATCTTATCTTATCTTATCTCATCTCATAACACGCCTCTTCAGCTCCTTCATCGCCCTCGCCTCTGACACATCCTCGCTTCGTAGCAGACCCTAGGGGGGAGTTGCTCCTCGTGTCACTTCACGAGCGGTCGTTAGCATAACTGACATTGAGAACAAACGCTGCACTTAATCCTGAGCGGTGGGCCTCTGTCAGCGAGGGGATTAACACTCACTCTCTAATGTCCTGTCAAGGTCAGCGATGAAGTCCTCCAGCTCCTTAGTGTCGCCCAGTCTGGCTGCAGAGGAAGAGAGAGAGAGTCAGGCTTCAAACTAGGAAGAGTGAAATGTTCTAGTATCTTCTAGGGACGCACAGTTTGGTGAAATGTGATCGAAATTGTGTGTGTGTATGTGTGTGTGTGTGTGTGTGTGTGTGTGTGTGTGTGTGTGTGTGTGTGTGTGTGTGTGTGTGTGTGTGTGTGTGTGTGTACTCACGTTTTGGTGACATGAGAGGAGGGGAGTTGGTGGTGGGGGAGTTCAGCCTCTCATCACTGAAGCTGAAGCTGTTTCTGTTCAGAGACTCTGCACCTGTGACACACACAGAGAAATACATTTGATTAGCGTTCACTTTCCAATGTCACACACAAACACACAAACACACACACACTGGAGCTTCAGGCTGTAATCACTGCATTCTCCTCTAATCACACCCTTCCTCTTTCGCCTGTCACACACATGCATGTGCTTGTATTCGCTCGGTGTACAGAGTGTACGAACACAAACACACCCTTATCAAAAACAGTACTCCAAGTAGACGCTGACCCCTGAGCAGATAGGAGTAGAAACACTTCCAAAAGAAGACGTTTCCTGCTCTGTTGCTCTGGAAGCGACAGCACTATATCAGTGTGTCCCGTGCAGAGACGTTTCTGAGTGCATCAGCTCCTCCTCTGCTCTTGAGCAAGATTTATCTCCGACACGTTTAATCTGATCCCAGAGCAGGGCACGTTCTTGTTGCTGGCGATGTTTCTGTCTTCCATGTGCCAGACTTACTCTGGGAGGATGATATGATCACAGCTTGGACTGTGCAAGAACCATATTTCAATCCCCCATATGACAAAATAGAGTCTTTGTGCAGCTTGTCCGTCTGGTTTCATTCATTAAAAGCATCGTATTATTCTCATTCCATTAAGTTGCAATAGTTTGAGACTTCTTATTGCACATTTTGAGGATGCACAATGGAGCATTTCCTGCTTTAAGACTCCCACATGTATCTGTGACTTCATCGACTCTTATGGATCCATGATACAGATTACGTTACGTTGCAGATGAATGGTATGTAAGGTAATCGCATTACGACTTTCTGCATCTATTATTGCGCTTGTCTGTCTGACTTCTTCGCCTAAAAGCATTTTTTAAATTGTATTCACTTCTGATAATAGACGTGTAGAATGGTTGTCAAATTGCATCCTTTCTCACCGTGACATCTATGAGAGTATGAAGTGTGTGTGTGACAAAAAGATTAGGCAGCACTTGTCTCTGCAGCCGACCTTAAAGCGTCTCAGATGTCGACCACTTACTGACTCTCAGCACTGAAGACACACACACACACACACACACACACACACACACACACACACACACACACACACACACACACACACACACACACACACACACACACACACACACACACACACACACACACACACACACACACACACACACACACACACACACACACACAGCTCACTGGCGTCCGTCTTGAACATCAATCTCTGCCATATCTCAGATTGCATTTCTCTTCTATTTATTCTGCAGCTCTTCTACCTCCGCTCTGTCTCTGCCTCTCACTCAAACATGCATATAAGAGACCGTGCACACATTTAGCGTCCTTCACGTGCACGCTCCCCCCCCCCCCCCTCCGACCCTCCTCTCATCCATCAGGCTGCAGCACAATAGTTGTCTCTGCGTGGGACAGCTCCCTCTTCTTCAGACTGCCATGGAGAGGACGGAGCTTCTGCAGGAATCTGATCCCTTCCTCAAATCAACCAGCTCATTATCTCCGGACACACAGGTCAGAGCTTCTTCACACACACTCTCTCCAGTACAGGTTAGCTCTGAGTGTTAGCCATGCTAATGTAAACACAGAACATATTACGTCCAAAACACGTTGGGCATTGTTTCTGATAGCAACGTTTCTGATAGGGCCGTGGGTCCACATTTCAGATATTACGTCATATCGGACGCAAATCTGGATCAGCTCCGTTGTTCCCACGTTTTTAGAGATGTGGGTACGGAGGAAAAGAGAGAGGGTTTTGTTTTCTGACACCCCTGACGCACCGGGGACACATATTGATGTATAAAAGACATCAAAAAGTGCACGATAGGAGACCTTTAATGCAAGATCTGTCGAGGTAATTACATGAATTACAGCTGGATTACAAGACATTGTGGGCATTGATGATGCTCTCACAAAACCCCTGTGTGCAGTTATTATACGATTACCGAATGTATTGAAATGTCTCGGGAATCAAACTGAAAGACAGTGGCTCCACACACACACTTTCCAGAAGATTTAAGACTGCAACATATTTCCACATCTTCCCTCTGAGGTCCAAACCCACTCACACGTGTCTGGGATTCTCTGCTGAAGCTCTGGAGCAGATGTGTCTCTGCGTTTCACATTTAGTGTTGCCTGAGGCCAGATCTCCAGCTGAGGCAGACTTTAAAACCGCTGTTAGAGTAATAATAATGTAATGGATGACGGTAAAACTTTAGAGGAGCAGCCACAGTATATATGGGGGGCAGGTGAGCCAAAATATGCAGCAGCAGCAGATTAATCTGACGCCTGAATCTCTGGACTGTGATCAAGGATCTCTTCTCTTTTCGAGTGATGGTGTGAGAGATGCAACAGTTTGTCAGTCGGCCATCTGCCGTCGTGATGCCACGTGATAAGAAACTGCACACTCCAGTGAAGAAGAAGCATTACAGAGGAGAAGTCAGTGAGTTATAGATAAATAAGACTGATTTCTATGATTGTATGACATGGCAAACTACTTCAGACCGTCAGCCATTAGTGACAGATACAGAAAATAGATCATAACTCTAAAATGTCTCTTTACAATTAGCAGTATTTAATTCCACTGTTCAGTATTTTACATTCTGCTTGTATTTTATCATTTTTTACATGTATATAGTAAGTATATACTGTACCTATTGTGCATATGTCAATAAAGCTTTTGAATCTTGAATCTGCATTGCCTGATCCCCCTTCTGGAGTCTTATATGTGTCATTGCACTTATAGAAGTACTTTTTTCTGCACATTTTAAACAAGCTTTCTGTAACTTGACATGATTTAGGACCTCCAAACACATCTCTGACTTCATCCACGTGGCCTATTTGTCATTGTATGATCCAAAGAGTATATTTGACAGGACAATCCTCCCTAACCTTGCTGATGCTGACTAACACACACGGTTTTGTTTGTTCTGCCACTCACTCTCTGAGTCGCTGATGCCACTGTCGCTCACGCTCGCGCTGCTCCTCCTCTTCATCGTCTTCAGGTGTTCATCGTACCGAAAGTGACGTTTCTCCACCGGCGACGTGAAGTCCTCCATCACCGCGTCAAACTCACACAGCACGTCCGTCAGATCCTCATGCAGCAACTTGGCTGCAGGAAAAAGTGAGGAAAATATAAAATTAATCACTTTAAATATAAGGATTTTTTTTTAAATATATATAAAGATATCGTGGATTGACAATAAAACAACCAAAAGTACCAATAATATTGTGAAAATAGGGATAGATATGAATAAAAAACGATATGCCTGATTTGCAAAATGCATAATTAAATATTTCTACTTAAAAAATTACATTTAAATACTTTCTATGATAATTGTCTTGGTGTAGGAAGCTAAAGTGACAGTTAAAGCGTAATTAACATACAAAGCAAGTGTTATTATTCAAAATAAAGATCAGGATAGAAAAACAAACGTTATATTTACCTTGAGGCTTCAGCTTTGGAGACTTCATTATTCCAGTGATCAGGTTTGAGATTATCCAAAATCTGAGTTATAAAATATAAATATGTAAATTTGTCCTCAGTGTAAAGTCCCACAGTGTCCCCGTGCAACTCTTCTTGAACTAACCCTCAGCGCGAGCTCTGCCTCCTTATAATGAGCCTGTCAGAGGGGGCGGGACGTGTGTGTGTGTGTGTGTGTGTGTGTGTGTGTGTGTGTGTGTGTGTGTGTGTGTGTGTGTGTGTGTGTGTGTGTGTGTGTGTGTGTTCCCGTTTTCCAGTGTTCCCGGTCACTCCTCTGACGTCCCCTCGTGAAGTGATGTTTGTAAACAACTCGTGTGTCGCATGCCAGGCAGAGGTGTAGAGCACAGATATTAATAATCCTGACCCAGTCATTCTCATGTTGTCACCAGGCAGATCCTCACAGGACCAGAATACACACACAGACTCATGGACTCCTGCCCTTAAATAATATGTTATATTAATCTAATTGACGTGATATAGGCTACTCGTGAAATATAGCATTTAAAAGTTTAAGGCTAGAAAATACTTAATACTTAATTTTACTTCACGTTAAATTAGAAGCAAACATTACTCTACTACGTTGATGCATTGTTACAAATAATTATGTAATATACAAAGCATAGGATCAGCTTATATAACAACACACTTATATAGCACGGTTATAAGTTTAACTACCCAACAGCATTGATAAAACATGACCTTGGTCAGATAAAACATTACAAGCCTTCTCACATTCATGTCTAACAAATGGATATAGTAATTAAAACAAATTGAGACGGGCCATTAGACCTTTATTATAAATACTTGTACCTGTTATTGATTCAGAAGTATTTTACATTCAGTAAGTCATCTGTGTATGTCCTCCATTATTCATATTTACCAAATGATTAACCTGTGCCCCAGCAAGTGATGATTTTTCTTTTACATAGTTTAAAACATTGCATGTATATTGAGAATTTCTACAGTTAGAAAAGGTTAATTGAAATGGTATGACACTTTAAATGTTGACCTGTAGTTACCATATTTATTTATAAAGAGCTCAGATGTATATTGAAGGTATATGTCATATTGTTTAGGTTCAGAAAGTGAGAACTGCTCTGAGAAAATACATTTAAATGGTGAAGTCCATATGATCCTCAGACATTCATCACTCTGACATGAAAGTATTTAGTTCTGGTCTCCAGTAAATGTGAAGCTGTAGCGACATCTACTGGTGAGATATCACAAGTGCATCTGTTCAGGAAGTTACACCTTGAATTGTGATTATTTGTTTCACAGCTATAATGAAGTGTGAAGTAGCATTGTTAGGTACTTAATGATCAATCATTATAAAACATATCATATATATTATTCTGAAATGGACCAATCTGCACAATGACTACTTTTACTGTCGCTACTTTCACTATATTTTGATGAGAATACTTTTCTACTTTCACTTGAGGAACATTTTGAATGCAGGACTTTTACTGTAACAGATTATTCCTACACTCTGGTACTTCTACTTTTACTCAAGTACAATATCTGAGTACTTTGACTCAATTACAAGATCTGAGTACTTCTACTTTTACTCAAGTACAAGATCTGAGTACTTCTACTTTTACTCAAGTACAAGATCTGAGTACTTCTACTTTTACTCAAGTACAAGATCTGAGTACTTCTACTTTTACTCAAGTACAAGATCTGACTTCTACTTTTACTCAAGTACAAGATCTGAGTACTTCTACTTTTACTAAAGTACAATATCTGAGTACTTCTACTTTTACTCAAGTACAAGATCTGAGTACTTCTACTTTTACTCAAGTACAAGATCTGAGTACTTCTACTTTTACTCAAGTACAAGATCTGAGTACTTCTACTTTACTCAAGTACAAGATCTGAGTACTTCTACTTTTACTCAAGTACAAGATCTGAGTACTTCTACTTTTACTCAAGTACAAGATCTGAGTACTTCTACTTTTACTCAAGTACAAGATCTGAGTACTTCTACTTTTACTCAAGTACAAGATCTGAGTACTTCTACTTTTACTCAAGTACAAGATCTGAGTACTTCTACTTTTACTCAAGTACAAGATCTGAGTACTTCCACTTTTACTCAAGTACAAGATCTGAGTACTTCTACTTTTACTCAAGTACAAGATCTGAGTACTTCTACTTTTACTCAAGTACAAGATCTGAGTACTTCTACTTTTACGCAAGTACCAGATCTGAGTACTTCTACGTTTACTCAAGTACAAGATCTGAGTACTTCTACTTTTACTCAAGTACAACATCTGAGTACTTTGACTCAATTACAAGATCTGAGTACTTCTACTTCTACTCAAGTACAAGATCGGAGTACTTCCACTTTTACTCAAGTACAAGATCTGAGTACTTCTACTTTTACTCAAGTACAAGATCTGAGTACTTCTACTTTTACTCAAGTACAAGATCTGAGTACTTCTACTTTTACTCAAGTACAAGATCTGAGTACTTCTACTTTTACTCAAGTACAAGATCTGAGTACTTCCACTTTTACTCAAGTACAAGATCTGACTTCTACTTTTACTCAAGTACAAGATCTGAGTACTTCTACTTTTACTCAAGTACAAGATCTGAGTACTTCTACTTTTACTCAAGTACAAGATCTGAGTACTTCTACTTTTACTCAAGTACAAGATCTGAGTACTTCTACTTTTACTCAAGTACAAGATCTGAGTACTTCTACTTTTACTCAAGTACAAGATCTGAGTACTTCCACTTTTACTCAAGTACAAGATCTGAGTACTTCTACTTTTACTCAAGTACAAGATCTGAGTACTTCTACTTTTACGCAAGTACCAGATCTGAGTACTTCTACTTTTACTCAAGTACAAGATCTGAGTACTTCTACTTTTACTCAACTACAAGATCTGAGTACTTCTACTTTTACGCAAGTACCAGATTTGAGTACTTCTACGTTTACTCAAGTACAAGATCTGAGTACTTCTACTTTTACTCAAGTACAACATCTGAGTACTTTGACTCAATTACAAGATCTGAGTACTTCTACTTCTACTCAAGAACAAGATCTGAGTACTTCTACTTTTACTCACGCACAAGATCTGAGTACTTCTACTTTTACTCAAGAACAAGATCTGAGTACTTCTACTTTTACTCAAGTACAAGATCTGAGTACTTCTACTTTTACTCAAGTACAAGATCTGAGTACTTCTACTTTTACTCAAGAACAAGATCTGAGTACTTCTACTTTTACTCACGCACAAGATCTGAGTACTTCTACTTTTACTCAAGTACAAGATCTGAGTACTTCTACTTTTACTCAAGTACAAGATCTGAGTACTTCTACTTTTACTCAAGAACAAGATCTGAGTACTTCTACTTTTACTCAAGTACAAGATCTGAGTACTTCCACTTTTACTCAAGTACAAGATCTGAGTACTTCTACTTTTACTCAAGTACAAGATCGGAGTACTTCTACTTTTACTCAAGTACAAGATCTGAGTACTTCTACTTTTACTCAAGTACAAGATCTGAGTACTTCTACTTTGACTCAAGAACAAGATCTGAGTACTTCTACCTTTACTCAAGAACAAGATCTGAGTACTTCTACCTTTACTCAAGTACAAGATTGGAGTACTTCTACTTTTACCCAAGTACAAGATCTGAGTACTTCTACTTTTACTCACGCACAAGATCTGAGTACTTCTACTTTTACTCAAGAACAAGATCTGAGTAGTTCTACTTTTACTCAAGAACAAGATCTGAGTACTTCTACTTTTACTCAAGTACAAGATCTGAGTACTTCTACTTTTACTCAAGAACAAGATCTGAGTACTTCTACTTTTACTCAAGAACAAGATCTGAGTACTTCTACTTTTACTCAAGTACAAGATCTGAGTAGTTCTACTTTTACTCAAGAACAAGATCTGAGTACTTCTACTTTTACTCAAGAACAAGATCTGAGTAGTTCTACTTTTACTCAAGAACAAGATCTGAGTACTTCTACTTTTACTCAAGTACAAGATCTGAGTACTTCTACTTTTACTCAAGAACAAGATCTGAGTAGTTCTACTTTTACTCAAGAACAAGATCTGAGTACTTCTACTTTTACTCAAGAACAAGATCTGAGTACTTCTACTTTTACTCAAGAACAAGATCTGAGTTAATGAATCAAAATCTGTAAAGTAACTAAAGGAATTAAATACATGTAGTGGAGTAAAAGTGGAGTAAAAGTACACAATTTCCCTCTGAACTGTAGTGGAGTAGAAGCACAAATTAGCATAAAATGGAAATACTCAAGTAAAGTACAAGTCTCTTAAAATTGTACTTAAGTAAATGACTTAGTGACTTTACACCTCTGGTCTTTCCTTGGTTATGATATGGCTTAGTGTCCCTTGTTTCTCACACGTGAAGCGACGTATCTCAGATCCCCAGACAGCAGTTGTCCAGTAGATCTCTCTGAGAGTGGATTTTCTCCACAGTCTCCATGCTGGGAGTTTCACACCTCCAGTGTTCACTCTACCGTGATCAGCAAATGGACAAACACCGTGTGTGTGTGCAGCTGAACGTGTGTGTTGACTCTGCAGCTGAACCCAAAGAGAGGTGCTAAAAGTGACACCTTCAAAACACCCTGAGAAGATATCAGAGCTCACACACACTCATAACTGGGACACCAACACATACATTCATTTATCTTTATATACATCACAGAGCTGGACACGGAATAATAGGAATCATATTTATTGAAAAATAAATTACATGACCTCTACTTACATATTTACATTCATTTAAAGTCATTTCTGATGGACACTATGCCATATATCGGCTTAAATGCTACTAGTATTTAAAAAAATAGACTATTGACACAAGATTACTCATACATACATACTGCACTTATCAGTGAGTTTTATAACAGTTTTTATCTGAGAATACCATATATCTTTATATTCAACCCTTTGCACATAATGAGTTCAACAGTGGGGCCTGGATGATTCATTTACGTGTGTTTGCAGTGTGGGTGAGAAGTGAAAACTAGTATTTAACTACATTTCAAACTAGACTGCCTGCAGTTTAACTAGCTTCCTACTTGCATAGTGACTCAAGTAGTTATATTACTCTTTTTTTGAGTCGTTAACCAATAGTTTTATCAATGTTTTATTAATTTGTTTACACCAGGGCTCAATTCGGTCTAAAGTGATTCAATTTAACTATTCTTTTAGTAGGGTTTTATTTGTTTTGAAATTGTGTTTTACATTTTCCTATAGTTTGTATCTCATACACTGTAAATTAGATCATTTAAGAGTAGTTTAAAGTACGTTAACCATCTACATTTCTCCGTTAGAAAGCCCTGCTGTTATTCAACTTCTTCCGTATACAGTCATTGGTACTTGCAAAACGTTCAACTATCTTCCACAAAACTGTGTGTTTGTTTCTGCCTGCACACACGTGTTGCAACTTCATATATTCCTATTCTCCATACATGACCCTACTGTGGGATTCATCATACCCTATTTTCAGTCTGCATGTGTTTTTGTTTTGTGCATGTCCTATAACTTGACCTTTCTGTAAATTAGGTATGGATGTGTGTCTGTGTGTCACTCAAAGTCGCAGCCCAGCAGTTCTATTCTCATGGTGATGGAGGTCATCCAGCTTCTGGGGATGACTCGGATGAAGCGGGAGAAAATAGGAGGGTAGATGTAGTTCTTCACGTGGTCGCTGTTATCTGTGTTCCCCAGAAAAGTCTGGATTTGGTAGGAGTAAAGAAAGACATTGTTATGGGAAGAAAGACATGGTCTGTGTAGCTGCAGGAATGAGTCCTAAAACCCGGAAGTGAGTTAGCATTTCACCACTTCCTGTTCCCTCGTCTCAGAGCCAATGGGATTTCTGAACATGTTTTGGGAAAATATCTGGAAATAAGGTTTGTGGTTGAGACACATTGAAGAGACGGATCACGTTTTGTTCTACGACATTAAATCCATCAGCAGTGACCCCACTGGTGATTTCTGAAGAGTTGACGTGTCTGAAAAACGATGGTTGTTACCAAGTGGCTGAATAGGACTACAGAAGTCGTGGAGGACGTTGTACGTCATTACGCCGAACACGTAAACACCCCTCTAAGTTTGTTTGCCGTGTTCTGCTTGAAAGCAAGTACCTGCCTCCTGCTAACTGTTCAAACAAACGCTTCAACTCGTACCATTTAGAATCTGTATGTTTGAATATGGATCTGAAGTTGGCGTGACGTTGAAGTCGTGCTGCTGAACTCACCTGTAGTTCCTTTATAGCATAACGTTAGCATTTAGCTTCTGGAGATTAGATTTATGATTAGAAAATTATAAAAGTAGGGTAGACGTGTGGATATTATCCGGCTGAACAAAACGTGCATTTATCAAACAGGTTCGTTTTCCACAGACCTTATTTCGAGCTATTTTCCAAAATCCTATGGAGAAATCCCATTGCTCTTTTGTCGAGGGAACCAGCAGCTTACTTCAGGGTCGGCCTACAAAAATACGTCATCACTGCACCACTCTATTTCCTCAGGATTTTGTCTCTGCTCACCTTGCATGTGATGGCCTCATCGTCTGTGTACGGGGTCCAGTGTATCCCGTTGTCACTGTACTGCAGAGAGTAGGAGATCACATACATCTCTTTCCCCAGAGATTTGGCTCCTTGCGTTACGATACCTGTGATCTTCTTCACCTGAGGCAGCTCCACCTGAAGCCACTGGTTCATGTTACTATACTGTGGAGCAGAGAGAGAGATACGATATTAGTTGTACCTTGACATTTTTTAAGGTTTTTCTTTAGGCTGTGGGTGCATTGATTTTGATATGTCCTGACTGTATGAGGGTTTGTACCTTAGCCTGCCATGCATTGATGGTTCCTTGTTTGTCCAGACGTGCATACGCAGGTTTCCAGGAGTATCCAGAGTACCAGCTGTAGGCTTCAGAGCTGGCTGTGATACGACGGTCTTCTATCAGCCGGCTCTTCATCCCCAGAGGCACCGAGCAGCCTGGGGATTAGGAATGTTACTGTTAGAAAAATCGCACTGGTCCCCGGCTTGAGCTTCAATCTCAGGATCCATGTATCTCTGATCCTCTCCAGAATGGAAGTAGTCATCACACACAGAGCATCAACTAGTTCCTGAACAGTGTCCTTCACATGCTGATATACAAGAGAGGGAGTTACACAGTCACAAGATGGAGGAATAGAAAGCTTATTTCATCTCGCAGATATTCAGTCCATCTTACCGTCGAGCTCACAGCCGTAGAACTCCATGCGGACGGTGGCTTTGTTGTACCAGTTTATAGGATGGAGCCGAATGAAGCGAGCAATCACAGGAGGGAAGAAGGTGTTTCCCTTCGTCACGTAGGCTTCCTCGTTCCCAGGGAACACCTGGTAAAAGAGGAAGATATGTTTATAGAAAGAAGTCGATAGTGGTAACCAGAGGTGGGAAGTAGTGGAGTACAAATACTTAGTTACTGTACTTAAGTGCATGTTTCTGGTATCAGTACTTTACTCCACTACTTATTTTTCTGACCACTTTTTACTTTGACTTCTTACATTTTGAACACAAATACCTGTACTTTCTACTTCTTACATTTTGAACACAAATACCTGTACTTTCTATTTCTTACATGTTGAACACAAATACCTGTACTTTCTACTTCTTACATTTTGAACACAAATACCTGTACTTTCTATTTCTTACATGTTGAACCCAAATACCTGTACTTTCTACTTCTTACATGTTGAACACAAATACCTGTACTTTCTACTTCTTACATGTTGAACACAAATACCTGTACTTTCTACTTCTTACATTTTGAACTCAAATACCTGTACTTTCTACTTCTTACATGTTGAACACAAATACTTGTACTTTCTACTTCTTACATTTCTAACACAAATACCTGTACTTTCTACTTCTTACATGTTGAACACAAATACCTGTACTTTCTACTTCTTACATTTTGAACTCAAATACCTGAACTTTCTACTTCTTACATTTTGAACACAAATACCTGTACTTTCTACTTCTTACATGTTGAACACAAATACCTGTACTTTCTACTTCTTACATGTTGAACACAAATACCTGTACTTTCTACTTCTTACATGTTGAACACAAATACCTGTACTTTCTACTTCTTACATGTTGAACACAAATACCTGTACTTTCTACTTCTTACATGTTGAACACAAATACCTGTACTTTCTACTTCTCACATTTCCCAAACAGGCTGGTTCCTTTAGTTTGAATGTGTGTTTGGTGGCGTGATCATTATTATTTAGAGTCATTGCGTGCCTATTGATTTGAACACGATCCGTGTATCCATCATTTCCTGGTCTTCTCTAAAGAAGAGGGACCAATGAAAACGTTGTCATGTTGCCGTTGTTCAGCATGGAAACATTCATTAGCTAACAATGACATTATTGTTCTATTAATATAAAGGGAGGTCAGGTACTCTTTAAAACAGCTGCTAGTTATGGGTACTTTTTACTGAAGTACATTTCAAAGCCCATACTTCTTTACTTTGACTTGAGCAAAGAAGTTTAGTTTGAGTATTTTTAAACAGGAGTATCTGCACTTCTACTTGAATAAAGGATGTGGGTACTTTTGCCATCTCTGGTGGTCACATAGTAACATCTTAGTTTGTAGCGTTGATAAAAAGAGCTCCCACCTTCCTGAGGTCCCTGCTGTCGCCCTTATAGAAGATCCACTTCTTGCGGTCGGTGCTGTATGAGATGGAGTATTTTGTCACAAACTGGTGTTGCAACATCTGCTTTGCTCCCTGCGTGGCGACCTGACTGATAACAACGGGTCGCTGGAAGTCCACCTGGACAGAGGGAAGGTTGTATTCACATATTAGGAAAGTGCAGACATGTGAACATAATCAAAGACACACACAACGTATATGACACGCACCTGAATCCAGCTCATGTTCTGCTCCGTGCTCCATGCGTTGTATTTTCCCCCATTGTTCAATCTGGCGAGATTTGGCTCCCAGTATCCTTCAAAAGTGGAGTCATTTTCATTTTACTAGCTTCATATTTGTACAGCAATTTTATAATATCAAAAGTATTTGTCATTGAAGAACCAATGTGATTTGTTTGCCAATTAAGGGTGCATGATTAAGCATTTTTCCATCAGGTATCATTATTTATTTTATTGTATGTTATTTTTATTATCATACCTTTTACCTCCTTGTGTCTCTTAACCTGTTAGAATTGGCAATGGCAATCTCCTCATATGAACCCTTTTATAGTAGTTGAATTGTACATGCAATCTCCAGAAGTAAAAAGCTAACTTTAGGCTATGAAGGAACTAACATTTACAAGGAAGCCCAAAAGTGCTAAAATGCTAACTAGTTTCTGGTCTAACGAGTAATTCCTGCACCCCCTATACAGATGTGTGCAGACAGTAGAGGTGATGTTTACCTCTGGTGTTGATCGCTGTTATCTGGTTGTCTTTCACACTGCCTGACTCCAAACCCAGGGCACGATGGCAATCTTAGAGGAAACATACAAGCAATATTTTAATATCAAAACACAATTACAGGATGTTTAAATGCAGCAGGTTTTTATTAAAGTTGTTTGTACCGTTATCCAGAACCAGAAAGAGGGTCTGCATGCCCTTCTGTTGGTTGAAACCAATCTCCGTCTCCAGCTGCCACAGGCCAGGTTTGGACGGATACATCTCCAGAGTGGCAAAGCTTCCTGTAGAGACAGAACGGTACAATAATTGTCATGATCTGTTTGTTTTCTAATAGTCACAGTCTGTTGGTTTCCTGTTTTACTTTGAAAGGTGTTCACCCCCTGTCTCATGTCTGTATTTGATTCTTGTCTCTGTGTTTTCCCTCCTCTCTGATTGGCTGATTGTGTTTCACATCCCTTCTAAAGCTGTGTGTTGTCTTGTGATTACCCCTCACTGGAAGAAATGCGGCTCCAAAATCAAGTAAAAGAATAATGAAAACAAGGTGTTTTCGCTTTTAATAAAGGGGACCTATCATGCAAAATGCACTTGTGTACGTCTTTTATACATGAATATGTGTCCCCGGTGTTCCAGGGAACTCACCAAGTGTCAGAAAACACAACCCTCTCTATTTTCCTCCATACCCAAATCTCTAAAAAAGGGGCTGCAACGGATCTGATAAAAACTGATCCAGATTTGAACACTGTCCTGACGTCAGGACGGTGGCGCTACGGCTATTGGGCCAACTCCACCAATCAGGAGGAGACAGCCACGGCCATTGCCGTTCGAAAGCGCTGGAGACGCTGTAGTACATATGCCAGGCCTGTAGGTGGTGCTGTTCTCACAGAATCTGACCTTGCTAAAACAGATCTAAAAAATTGTCAAATTGAGCAAAATGAGGCATGGCTAAAATGTATGATCTGTTTGGTATTTTGAACAGAAACGTATAAATATGCCTTATATAGGTATGGTCCTACAATATATCATTTAAATATACCATGATAGGTCCACTTTAATAAGTAAAGAAATCTGCCAATAGAACAAGTGAAGATTTGCTTGGTTAGATTTCTTTAAATGACATGGGATATTTAGATAAATGAGATCTTAATTAGCTGGGAAAACTTATTTTGAACTATATCTTACCAGGATCAGTAAATGTTATTACAAAATAAGCCTGAAATGCTCAAAAGTTTTCAGTTTTCTGACGTTAGTTGGTGATTTTCCAATAAGAATTTGTTTTAGTTTTTTTAATCAAGTAAGATTTATTTGTTAAAACAAGCTTAAAGAACTTGTTTCATTTGACATACAACTCAAAATAAGATGTTTTCAAGAGTCTTGAAGATGCATTGTCTAAAAACAAGACCCTATATCTCACTGCATTGTTACCTCTTCAGTTATTGTGTCTTATATCGAGTGTAAAGACATATTCTTAGAGTAGAAATTAGACGAATATACTTGGCAAGATTTTGAGTTTTTACAGTGCTGTGTATTTCCCTCGTGTTCCTTGTTAGTTTGTCGTTGTTTTTCACGTGGTTTGGTTCTTGATGTCTCTGGTCTGCCCTCCTGTGTCCTCCGAGTCTTCCTGGTTTGATTTAGTTTTGTTGCTACTTTTCCTTTTGTTAATCGTCCCTGCTTGCACCGTTTTTTGTAAGTTCAGCTTTCATTTTAATAAAGCTAGCTTTTTGTTCCTGTCCTTATATCTGCCTCCCCTGTTTGTACTCTATTTGGGTCCGTACTCTTGCCAAACCCGGCAGTGTTGGGGTAGTTAGTCAAAAAAAGTAATGCGTTACATGTTACTAGTTACTTTAAAAAAAGTAATCCCTTACTTTACTTAGTTACTCACTGCTGAAAGTAATTAGTTACACTACTAGTTACAATACTTTTGGATTACTCTGTAACATCACCTGAAAAAGGGACGTTAGATTTATTTTTCTATCTTCCCGTTATGCAGATAGTAAAAGTAACGCAAGTAACAAGCTAATTTCGTGCTTAGTAACTGTAATGGGAATACTGCTGAATGAACAGTAGCGAGTTATGGCGCATTTCCACTACACGGCCTCGCTCGGTATGGCTGGGCCTCGTTAGGACTGGCTCACTTTATGGCGCATTTCCATTACAGTTTAGTAGCTGGGGTAGTATCTATAGTAACGCAGTGTAGGCGGAGCCGTGACGTCATCTTCAATGAGAACCCCAGAAAAACAACACAGCCGTTAGCTGTTAGCACTCAGAGCTCACAGCTCCTCATATCTGTTCAGAAACTAGACAAAAGTTAAACAAGTACAAACCACAGACTGCCTGTGTCATGGTGAATACAGTCGCTGCTTTATTTATGTCTGTATAGGCCGTTGTTGTGAGTGTGGACGGTCGGAGCATATACTGCGTTAGCTTAGCCAATCTCCATTTAGAAAACACGCATTTTAAAAGGTTTTTCGCCTGCCGTCTGTCTGCAGACTTGACAAAGCATTAATTCATGGTTTTTACTAACCGGTATCAGTATGTTGTTACTTCGGCATCATTTTGAAACGTGTATTACAATTAAATCACGGTCAAATATGTCCATCTTGTTGTAGTTGTAGCCCCCTTGCCAGCGATGCTCTCTCTAGTTTAGCATACTCAGCCCGACTCAGCCTCGTTGTCTCTGGCCCTAGACCCACGATTTTATGAGGCCAGAAAAACTGTGAATTAGGACCCGCCGGCCGGTACTAGGCCAAGTGGAAACGCAACCAAAGACGGGCCGCTGACGTCACAGCCCTCTTAAACCGTGCTCCGCGCTGTAGTGGAAACGCGCCATTACACTACTGCGTTACAAACAAAAGTCATCTGATTACTGTAACGGTACGTCCACACGGCAGCGTCGCGTTGAAGCTTGTCGGTGGGCGTATCTGGCTTGGACCAACAACCAATCACATTAATCTCCCGCCCCGGACACACAAGCACGCCGTTTGATTGGCTAGAGCTTGTACTGGCATATGTTTTGATTGGCTGGCGCTTCCGTCGACGCTTGAAAAGTTGAACTTTTCTCAACTTTCGAAGCGAGCAATGGAGGCAAAGCGACGGAATCACAATGCAGTTCGGCAAAGCGTGACGTCACCCCATTCAAAGTGAATGGGAAGCGAAGCACGCAACGCTGCCGTGTGGACGTACCGTAACGCGTTATTTTGAAGCGCGCTACTCCCACCACTGAAACTCTGACAATAATTAGGTTAAAACATCCTGTCTCTGCTTCTTTTTTGACATCAACTAAAGCCAGTAGATATTTTCCATGTTGCAGTTTTAGAGAAACGCAAATCCAAATAGAAACGGGGACTTTTTTCAACTTGAAAGCATGAAATCAGAAGAAGTAATGACTCTGAATGAACACACACAGCACACACACACAACAACACCACAACACACCACACACACACACACACACACACACACACACACACACACACACACACACACACACACACACACGACCACAACACGACACACACACACCACATCACACACACACACCACACACACACACACACACACACACACACACACCACAACACACACACACACACACACACACACACTACACACACACACACACACACACACCCACACACACACACACACACACACACACACACACACACCACACACACACACACACTCACCACACAGCACACACACACCCCACACACCCACACACACACACACACACACACCACACACACACACACACACACACACACACACACACACACACACACACAGTGTTTCTCACCCGGCAGCAGAGGGTAGACGGACTGTCTGTAGCTGCTGATCTTCTTGTGAATGAACGTCTGTCCGTGGAAGTTGATGCTCTGGAAGTCTTTGGGAGACCCCATGTTGATGAGGTACCAGCTCACCAGCCGGTTGGTGTACATCCTCAGACCCTTCAGGTTGAATATTATTCCATTGATGGCTTGGGAAGAAACAGACAAAATGCAAAATGTTCGTTTAATCATTTTTGGTGAGGTTTCTTTCCTTTAAGTGATCCTTGAATGCATGAAAAGTAACGTGCAATTACGTAACTACCACTACGTGTTTGCACTACTAAATACTGTTAATATTTACATTAATTATGTGACCGTCTATGTTTCCCGTAGTTATTTAATTGCTCTTTTTACTGCACTGTTAGTGTATAGTTGTATTATTGTGCTGCTGTGTTTATTGTATTTGTGTAACTCTGGCACAACAATTTCCTTCAGGATAAATAAAGTCCTATCTTATCTTATTGCAACTCAGTAGATATAATATCAACAGTGTTTGTATTCTTCAAGGTTTCTGCGGGTTTCAACAAGTTACATGTAATCCTCTTGAAGACCTTTTTGAGATGACATAAAATGAAAATGAAATGTGTGTTAAATGAATTTATGTACATTTTTAAAGACAAAACTATCCTAATGCTCTATATTACTGCAATAAATATATATATATATAAGGGTTTGACCAATATACCAGTTGTCGGTATACTAAGTCATGTAAATTATGTAAATTGTGTATTTATTTCAACAAGGACCATGCATACAAATACATTAATCTCAGAAAAGAGAAGAGATGAGTTATGCCAGATTATAGCTAATAGCTCATTTCCATCTGCAGTCCATTTCAGACTAAATGCATTCTGACAACCCAAATTCATTCTTCATTCATTTTAAGATATATACATCTGTGATTTTTACCAATTTCTAGACTTGTTATGTCCTTTTACTTCCCGCAGAAACCCGGTTCTTTGTGAGTAGGATTTAAATCAGGATAGTTTGAGGTACATTATAATGCCTTACAATGGAATTGGAGGCTCTTGTTGTTTTGGCCCGTATATCTCCTTTTGCTTTTCCTCTGCATCATCTCCTGGTTCTCGTTGTAGTACCAGCTCTGAGACTCATCAAAGGTCATGAAGAGCAGCGTGAACTCCCTCATGTCGGGGATGTTTTTCTCCAGAGTCCCCTCTCGACACACCAGCAAAGGCCCAATCAATCCAGAGTGAATATCCCTTTCCTAAAAACAAGAGGATCCACTAGGGTTCATAACTGTTTTAATGTAATGCACTCTAGGTGCTTTTAAAAGTGAAACATTGGAGGATCTGAGTGTCCTTGCTGGTTGATCAAATGAGAGACCGTCACTTAAATCTGTTGGAGCAAGGTTATGTAAAGCATATATAATATATGCTGCCTCTGTATGCTGTTTCAAACACTCCACCATCGTTTCTGTCCCCAAAAAGACAAAAATCACCAGCCTCAATGACTACCGCCCAGTAGCACTCACCTCCATCATAATGAAGTGCTTTGAGCGGTTAGTCAAATCATTCATCACCTCCTCCCTCCCTGAATCTCTGGACCCCCTGCAGTTTGCCTACAGAGCAAACAGGTCCACAGACGACGCCATAGCCCTCACCCTCCACACTGCCCTCTCACACCTGGACCCGAAGAACAGGAACACATATGTGAGAATGCTGTTCATTGACTACAGTTCAGCATTCAACACCATTGTGCCCTCCAAGCTGGCCATCAAGCTCAGAGACCTCGGGCTCAACAGCGCCCTCTGTGACTGGATCCTGAACTTCCTGACGGGCAGACCCCAGGCAGTGCGGGTGGGAAATATCACATCCTCCACCCTGATTCTCAACACCGGTGCCCCTCAAGGCTGCGTGCTCAGCCCTCTCCTCTACTCCCTGTTCACTCACGACTGCGTGGCCATACACAGCTCCAACACCATCGTGAAGTTTGCTGATGACACGACCGTCATCGGCCAGATCACAGACGATGACGAGACGGCGTACAGAGAGGAGGTCGAAAACCTGACATCTTGGTGCCAGGAGAACAACCTCCATCTCAACATCAGCAAAACAAAGGAGCTGATTGTGGATTACAGGAAGCAGCAGGGAGAGGGACACGCCCCCATCGCCATCAATGGGACTACGGTGGAGAGAGTCAAAAGCTTCAGGTTCCTTGGGGTCCACATCACTGAGGACCTGACATGGACTCTTCACACCACCACCATCACCAAGAAAGCTCGACAGCAGCTCTTCTTCCTCCGCAGGTTGAGGAGGTTCAACATGGACTCCAGGATACCCTGCAACTTCTACAGGTGCACGATAGAGAGTATCCTGACCTTCTACAGGTGCACCATAGAGAGTATCCTGACCTTCTACAGGTGCACCATAGAGAGCATCCTGACTGGCAGCATGACGGCCTGGTACGGCAGCTGCACCGACCTCAACCGTAAGGCTTTACAGAGGGTGGTGAAAACTGCACAGCACATCACCAGGACAGAGCTGCCATCCATGAAGGACCTTTACTCCCAGCGGCTCAGGAAGAAAGCCCTCAGGATTATCAAAGACCCCCATCACCCCAGCCACAAACTGTTCAGTCTGCTGCCGTCTGGCAGGCGTTACCGCAGCATCCGGACTAAAACCACCAGACTCAGAGACAGTTTCATCCCACAGGCAATAAGACTGTTAAACAACTGAACTGTTGAAACAACATCCATAACATTCATCTGCTACTTAGTAATTATTTATCTATTTATCTAATATATCATTCCAATAGCTTGCATATAGACTCTTATTGCACTGTTTCACTATTTCACTTTTTTTAAACTACTTTTCTTTTTGAATTTACTTTTTAATATTTACTTGCAATATATTGCAAGCTGAGGGGGGCTGAGGGGGCTGCGAGGATCCACTAGCACCCCTCCCCCCAGCGCATCACAGTTTCGCCGCTGAAAGAGTGTGTGTGTGTGAGGAGCTCCACGGATTGGTCCAATTGGACCAATGGGTCCATTTGGGTATGGAAAAAGAGAAATGTCCAACGAGGCGTTCTGGGGCAGCACAGACAGGTCTAGACAGGTTAGAGTTTTACTCGCTACAGGGTGTACTTTGAGGGCTTGTGTCTTTGCAGACCGTTTACATGCATAAAAAGCTTCATAACACACAAGGGGACGGGTAATAACCGGAAAAGCATGACATGGGACCTTTAATTTATATGTTTAAAGGTCCCCGCGAAATCCACTTTTTCATGTATTTTCTACATAAACGTGTTTATGTGTAAAGAGATTTATATAAAAACCTGTCTGAAAATGAGCTGATCAGATTTTGGCCACTTTATGATGTCATAATGATGTTTTGGCTTGTGTAACCATTAGCCAATCAGCAACCAAGGTAACCCCCCCCCCCCCCCCCCCCCCCCCCCCCCCCCCCCCCTTATCACCTGAATCTCCTCCTAGAGCACCATTGAGTTCTTTGTAACCAAATGTCTCTCAGAGGGGCGTGGGGAGGGGCTCCTTATTTTCATCTGAAGTAACAGACAGAGAATCAGCACTTTGGAAACAGGGCTGAAACAGAGGGGATTATGGGATGCTGCAATGATCTGTTTGGTGTTTCAGCCAATCAGAGACAGGTTCTGTATATATCTGAGACCTATAATATATTGATGAAAAACAGTACAATAGGAGATCTTTAATCCCTATGTGTTCCCCATCCAGGCAGTGCCACTGTGTGGCCGGCGCTCTGGTGAAAGACATGAGGAAGACGGCAAACATACATTAAAAACATTTGTAAATCACAGAAACGTTGATATATCTTAGGGGTGTAACGGTTCACAAACATTTCGGTTCGGTACGTACCTCGGTTTTTAGGTCACGGTCCAGGTAGCGCTTTGCTAACATGGCAACATAAGGATATTTGGCGTTTGTAATAGCTTTGGCTCGGTCTGAACTTTTTGCGAGTGTTGGAGGCTTAAATGCTAGTGGGAGTTGGGTTTTGCACTTCAGTCATTTTTATTTTGGTACCGGTGATATTTACGTTCGGGTGATGCCTTTTCAAATGAGTGTGCAAGTTTGATGTATTGCCAGCCGCGTAACCAATTTTAGTTGAACAATGCCGACAAACAGCTTTGGTTCGGTCCACCTGTCTTTGTCCGTCATCCTTGTACATAACTGTGAAACCAAAATGTTCCCAAACCGGAGACTTCAATGATGATGGAGGATTTTCGAGCTCAACTTTAACTGCGTTCGCCATTTCGACAGTTCCTCAAATTACAGACTAAATTTGAACGCATCCCTGTGACCAGCTCTCATAGTATGCCTCTCGTCCAATTAAATGACTTGGTCGCTCTATGACGCGTTGAACCCAATGTGAGAAAATTACACTGAATGCTGCGACGCAGCACCTGAGATTACTTCCCAAAAGTTGTTCACGTTCTCAATTGTTTACGTTTAACGTTATATTCGTTCGGTACACTTCGGTACACACGTGTACCGAACCGAAGGGCCCATACCGAATATTTTCGGTACGAATACGTATACCGTTACACCCCTAGATGCTGCAATGATCTGTTTGGTGTTTCAGACAAACACTTCAGAGACATATATATATATATATATATATATATATATATATATATATATATATATATATATATATATATATATATATATATATATATATATATATATATATCTAAGACCTATAATACATTGATGAAAAACAGTATAATAGGGGACCTTTAAATAGCATTTCCAAGCAGGTTAATACATGTCTAAAATACAAATGTACTCACAGGATTGACGCCTGAATAGTAGGCCCAGGTCCGGCAGTGAGACTCTGTTGGCATCGGCCCCACCTTAGAGTTGACTTTCCAGATATATGTGAAGGTGGTGTTGGGTTGAACCTCATTGTCATATTTATACCAGTACTCAGAGCCATCCTCATAGGACAGACCCTCTGTCTGCTTGGTATAGGTAACTCCATTCGGGTGTAAGGAGTACGGACGGCTTGCTTTGTTCATGAACACCACCTACAAGACAAAAAATACATGATAAGGTAACGTATTTGTAGAGTTGAAGGAATAGTATTTATTTCACTTGCACATTGAGATGAAAAAAAACAATGCTACTCTTTTATGTCGGGGTAAATATGAAGCTACAACCTGTTAAAGGTGGGGTATGTAATTTATTTCAGAAACACTTTTTGCTATATTCCATGGAATGCTCTTAACATCCCGATAGCAATGAATATATTAAATGCTTTGACAATAAATACATAAAAAAATGTCATCTGTGGAAGCCGTAGCGCTGTAAAAAGCACGACCAATCATCTGAGCCGGCCCGGCTAAAATAACTGGATGGCCTACCTGCCTGTCAGCCTTCTATCTGTGCAAACTTATCTTGTGCCCTCATTGGTCATGTGCGCGTTTGTGTGTGTTGGAGGAGGGGCTCTGTAAGGAAGTGGCAGATTTTTTCCGGCTGTGTATTTTCAAATTCTAGCGATCTCGAGCTGGTTTCTCCAAAATTACCCACCCCACCTTAAAGACTGTTAAAACACCTGCACTTTTGAAAGATCATCCATAACATTGATGACTCATTAATCATATATCATATTCCAATTACTTGTATATAGACTCTCCTTGCACTATTTTTATCCTATTTTATTTGTATTTACTTGCACTATTTTAACTATTGTATCAGTTTTATTGTGTTGCACTGTTGGAGGAGCCTGTGACCTACAGTAAGATTTTCATTGACATATCTACACTGTAGCTATGTACACATGCCAATAAAAGCCTTGGAATATTGAATCTTGAAGCTAGTTAGCTTAGCACAAAGTATGTAAACATGGCTAACCCCTGCTGGAAGATACTGTTCCTGCACATTAAATAGTCTGGTATAAAACCCAATGTAAAACCAAGGTTTAAAAGGTGAGCTTCAGAAGTGTTAAATATGAAGCTACAACCAGAAGCTAGTTAGCATAGCACAAAGCATGAAGACATGGCTAACCCATGCAGAAAGATACTGTTTAAAAAGTGAGCTTTAGAAGTGTTGGTACACAGATTTAATACCAAAGACCAAATAGTCAAAAGCCTTTGAATCCATTGATTTGAAAATGTGAGATATCGGAAGTGCTCTCAGATGAAGTCTTACCATGATGCTTTGTCCAACCTCCGCCTTGATGACAGGTCCCAGGATGCCTAGATGCTCATCCATTTCTCCACGGATGTCTGGTGTGCTGAAGCTACTGTCCATGTAGCCTCGGAAAACCACCTTGGTGAACTTAGTCTCTCTGCTGTTCTGCTCCGATTTGTCTTGCCTCCTGTGGGGATTACAGGACCAGATCATATATTTGCATGGATGTCTACCAGAGATGGCAAAAGTACACACATCCTTTACTCAAGTAGAAGTACAGATACTCGTGTTTAAAAAAAGTACTGACTAAACTTCTTCACTCAAGTAAAAGTAAAGAAGTATGGGCTTCGAAATGTACTTAAGTAAAAAGTACCCATAGCTACCAGCTGTTTTAAAGAGTACCTGACCTCCCTTTATATTAATAGAACAATAATGTCATTGTTCAGGGATGCAAACTCATCAGGTATGAAAAAGGTGACAAGGATCCGAGCCCCCCGACCCCACGGAATATCGGCTTTAAAATGAGGAATAACAGAGGATTTTAGCAGTCAGAACAACTAAAGCAGTTAATAATAACAGAAACGCCAAAGAGTCACATATAATAGAAATATATAAAAGCATTTATTTTAATTGTGTAGCAGTCCGTTTATAATTTTGGCAGGACTGTTGAGCATTTTGAAAATGTATTTTCATGCCTCTGTGCAAGGCTTAGTCTTTCTATCTGTATAGCCAGTGGTGTAAAGTAACTTCAGTAAGTTCATAAACTCAAGTACTATACTTGGGTACAATTTTGAGATACTTGTACTTTATTTAAGTATTTCAATGTTTTGCTACTTTGTTCTTCTTCTCCACTACAGTTCAGAGGTAAATGGTGTACTTTTACTCCACTACATGTATTTAATACCTTTAGTTACTTTACAGATGTGGATGAATGATGTGAAATATAATCAAGTGTTAAATCAGACTTTAGTTCCACCTGGAGTAAATTCACAAGCTACCCTGCAGTATACAAAGTCATTCAAACTAGCTGCACCTTTACCAGCTTTGAGAACACTTTCATGATCAATCATTATAAAACATATCATATATATTATTCTGAAATGGACCAATCTGCACAATGACTACTTTTACTGTCGCTACTTTCACTATATTTTGATGATAATACTTTTCTACTTTTACTTGAGGAACATTTTGAATGCAGGACTTTTACTGTAACAGAGTATTCCTACACTCTGGTACTTCTACTTTTACTCAAGTACAAGACCTGAGTACTTCTACTTTTACTCAAGTACAAGATCTGAGTACTTCTACTTTAACTCAAGTACAAGATCTGAGTACTTCTACTTTTACTGTCCCTACTTTAACTATATTTTGATGATAATACTTTTGTACTTTTATTTGAGGAACATTTTGATTGCAGGATTGTTCCTACACTCTGGTACTTCTATTTTTACTCAAACCTGAGTACTTCTACTTTTAATCAAGTACAAGATCTGAGTGCTTCTACTTTTACTCAAGTACAATATCTGAGTACTTCTACTTTTAATCAAGTACAAGATCTGAGTGCTTCTACTTTTACTCAAGTACAAGATCTGAGTACTTCTACTTTTACTCAAGTACAAGATCTATACTTATACCACCTCCGTTTATAGCCTATGAAAAAAACTATTAGAAAACGAAGGCTAAAGCTAACGTTAGCAGATAGTGACAATGTATGCTAGTTAGCTAGCTCGACAACGATAATATAGCGACAGAAAAACTTTTCAGTGCACATCACGCTCTGCCGCTCCGACAGGGAGCTCTGCTCTGAACACCTGAACGGCCCATTCTAACAGCTGTTCACCAGCGGTGCAGTCTGTGCCACAGTGACTCCGGACCGCACAGTTAATATTAACGAACGCACCCGTAGATAATGTAGCTAATGAAGCTAGACCATCATCGTGGAGCAGCAGAGCCTTATTATACATCCATGAGCAGAGCCGACAGGCAGGAAGACTCAAGCACACAGATCGCGCTGCATTATAATATATACACCATGCGTGTCATGATGGCACATAACAGCTCGCGGCCGCAGATTACTCCGGGTCCCAGACCACCCCCCATACCCCAAAAATATTTTTATTGCAGATCTACATGAATCACACAAACGACCTATTTTGGATTCAAAACGGCGAATTTCGCCGAAAGGTGACAAGTTTGCATCCCTGTTGTTAGCTAATGAATGTGTCCATGCTGAACAACGGCAACATGACAACGTTTTCATTGGTCCCTCTTCTTTAGAGAAGACCAGGAAATGATGGATACACGGATCGTGTTCAAATCAATAGGCACGCAATGACTCTAAATAATAATGATCACGCCACCAAACACACATTCAAACTAAAGGAACCAGCCGGTTTGGAAAATGTGAGAAGTAGAAAGTACAGGTATTTGTGTTCAACATGTAAGAAGTAGAAAGTACAGGTACTTGTGTTCAACATGTAAGAAGTAGAAAGTACAGGTATTTGTGTTAAAGAGTTGTCAGAAAAAGTAGTGGAGTAAAGTACTGATACCATACAAATGTACTTAAGTACAGTAACAAAGTATTTGTACTACACTACTTCCCACCTCTGATGTCTACCCATGTGTGTACAGTTTGTAATAAATCTGAATCGTCATATTGACTCTAAGCTTACCTCTGTCCATAGCCACCATAGTCCCAATTCACCTCTTCTGCAGCGATGAAATAAGTCCTGACGTTGGGACCTGAGAACTTCAGGTAGTATTTGGTCGTGTCGTCCAGGTTGAGAATCTTGATGTCTGTACCACCGCTGTAAGGGTCTACATAAGTCACATACTCATATTCATCTGCGGTCACATCTCCCTCCATCGCCAGATGATCCGGATCGTCTCCAGGAACGTACAACTCGTAGTCGCTGAAATCGGATCGAGGCACACCGATGACTACAGGCTCGTTGATCAGTTCTTCTTCATCAGTGACGGGTTGCAGAACGGGTCGAGACCCACGTGGAGTCATGGCTGGGCCAAAACCTCGAGGAGAAAGAGGTAATCCACTCCTCGACTGAGGTTTGTACTCCTTCTTCTTCTTTGTTTTCATGCCTAGACCTTTCGGGGGTCTCTGACGAAGACTTACCTTCCGGATCTTTTTTGGAGGCGGTGTTGCTTTGGGGGTTTCTTTCGGAAAATATTTCATCATGTAGTCGGGAATATCCACGGGTTCCATTTGGTGAGTGCTCTCATAAGTCCAATTGTGCGACTGTGTTTTGACGGGGGTTGTTTTAATCACCTGTGAATGGTTTCCTGTGAGGTAGATGAGCAGTTCTTCACTTTCCTCCGAGACACTTAGCTCCTCAGATTGGCTCTCTTTTCCTGCGTCGCCGGAGAGGGACACATTACTCTTATTGGAGAAACTTTCTGCAGAAGATGTGTAGTTCGACTCATCAAGAAGTGAGGTAACATTACTCTCTGTTGTGTTAGATCTGGATATATTCTGTTTACTCTCGAGCAAAGCTTGTGATACATTTCCCAGGCTTGAGTCGGCTTCGATAGTTACGTTTTCAGAGGAATTCATTTGAAGTGTATACTCAGGTTCTTCTGTAGTGTCATTGCCATTGGTTTTGTTGTCTGTGCCGTCCACTTCCAACTCTAAGATGGTTAAGTTGCTTATGTCCATGCTAACCTTTTCAACATCAGCTGCTGGAAAAGACAATGAATCATCATCTGCTGATACGTTAGCTGCTATGTTGTTTTCATCTACCTTTTCTGCAGAGTTTGACAGAGACGTTGCGTTACCGTCTGTTGAATTAGAGAGATTTTTCACGCTAGAATTGGACGTTGGCACAGAGTAAGAAAACACGTCACCTCTTGTGAGAATCTCCTCTGAATCAGTAGTCTGGTTATCACTGGTCAAGGTTACATTGAGTTCTTCAGTCTCCAAGATTGAACTTGCATTTCCTGTTAAAGTCACGGTAAGATTGGTAATATCTGTGGGTACATCCGCTGATAGTACTGTAACATTGTGAACTGTTGTGTTATTTGTGTCAGAAACTGCAGAAGCGCTGCTGTTTGTAGTTAAGTTGTCATTCTTTAGCACTATATTTGGGCTGTACAAAACGGTTGTGTTCTCTATTTTATTATTCAAAGAAGAATCACCAAAGGTTGACGGCTGACTGCTGTTCTGCGATTGTGTTGTATTCTCACTGATGCTTTGGTTTAGCAAATGTACGTCCGTGAGGTTAAATCCATCCACCTTTTCCAAGTTTGATAATAATGTCTCGTTGATTGCATTTGGCTTTATGGATACATCTCCATCTGCTGATAATACCGTAGCATTTTGAACTGTTGTGTTGTTTGTGTGAGAATCGGCAGAAGCGCTGGTATTTATAGTTGCATTGTCACTTTTTAGTAAATTTGGGCTATACAAAATGGTTGTGTTCTCTATTTTATACAACGACGAATTACCAAGTGTACTGCTGTTCTGCATTTGACTTGTGTTCACTTTAATGCTTTGGTTATACAAATCTACTTCCGTGAGATTCGATCCATCCACGTCTTTCCAGTTTGCATTTGGCTTTGAAAAAGAGGTTTGTGTTTTATTCTTTGTCCCTTTGAAATGAATCATGACATTTCCATCCTCAGGCACATCAACAGCATCATAGTCGAGGAAAGAGAGGTCCAACTGGTCCACACCTGGATCTTTGGATTGGTTCTTCAGAGATCTCAAATCCCATAGCTCTGCATACATGTCTGTGTCAATGTCTATCTTTACTGGCTTATTTTCCACCGCAGGATTTGGCTTTTCCTCTTCATTTTTGATTTCGGGAAGTCCCTGAGGGTTCCATATATGAAACGTATTCTTGTAGTCGTAGCCAGGGTAATCGTACTCGTTGTCACGATAGCACTCAACATCCTTAAACTTGACGCGCATTCCTTTGGTCGTCTCATGGGAGTTCAGGGACGCCAGGAGCCAGACACCTTATATGAAAGAAACACAAAAAACATCAGATGAAGACCTTAAAACAACTGTCACTTTTCACGTGCAAAGGTTCCAGATATTGCCAATTGGCCCTGAGAGCTTAAATTAAGAAGCATCTTGCAAATAGATGCAACACAAGCAATGCACAGTATTTAATATTCATGCCTCGAGGTTATATACCTCTTCTTATTGGTCAAGTCTCCGTTTTACTTCCTTGTCTGTCCGAAATGTCATCACTTCATAATAATTGTATCTTTTAGACATGTATGTAAAATGTTCTTATTTAGCATATGAGTTCAACAGTTTTGGCCAAAGATGTGATTTGTTAAGTTGCAAATCAGTACTTTTTTTGTGTCAAAGTTGACATTTAAACCACATTTGAAAATATTTACTCCCTCAGATATAGCTTTCACAAGAATTGGACAAACGAGTCACAGTGACATTAACAATTGACCTTTGACCACTGTAACCGAACCCCAAAAAAGGTGATGCCTGGAAACTTCTTGCAGCAGTTTTCTGTATTTGCAACGCTTTTTCTTAATGCAGCGTATTTGTTTCCAAATTGGTGAAGATGTTTCTCCATTTGCTTGTATTGTGTCGATTATTGGGCCAATATTCTAACTCTTTGCAGTATTCTGTATAATAACTATCTGCTATCTCATTCTCAAAATATAGGTATCCCTACAGACAAAATAATTGCACACACATATTTTAACTTAGAAAAAGAAGCCATTGAATGCCCTTACATACCTAAGTTGTCCATTTCCATAGTGATAGTCTCTCCGGTCATTGGGTAGAGACTCAGAAAGTCCTCTGTCCGCCCATTCACCTCAAATGTGTGTCCGTAGAAAGTAGCTGTCTGGATGTAGTCCTGCGCTCCGATGCTGGACATGTGCCATGTTGCAATCTCACCGTTACAGAAACCTAAGTGAGGTCCGCTTTCAAACACGTACCCATTGATCGCTGTGAGGAAAAGGTGAATAAATATCAGTCATCTGACGGCAATGCAGTAAGTTTTGCAGTATTAATGGAGTTCATATATCATAACTTTTAGGATAAATTACTATCAGATGGCAAGAACTTACAGTGCATGACATTGGACTTAATAAACTCCGGGTCTGCCTTGTTGACTTTGGATCGATCACAGAATTGGCGAATGTTGTCATCCAGGTACCAGCTCTTGTTCTCGTCGAAAACAGCCAGCATAGCATGCTGCTCCTTGTCTGCCTTCAGCTATAGAAACAAAAGTATATTCTTTATTGATAAAGTGAACCAGATTAATGAATATTAGGCTTTTCTTTCAACATATCTAGTAGGAAAAAGGGGCAACTTCCAGGTCTGAGAAGTCAAGCCAAGTGCCTTATATCTGCCTTCTCTTTTTTGACCAGAAGGGGGCTCATTCAAGAAAATGCCCTACTTTTCACTTGATTTATTGCCTCAGTTAATCTTTTTCTTAAACAGTTTATAGTCTCAATCTCTAGTTTTAAACCTTCCTTAATAGAGTTGGATGTTCATTTAGTAAATGATGGTCCCATTCAGAGTAACAAAGGTGATAAAGGGTCACAAGGCTATCTTGTGATTGAGCTGCCACCACAGTGCTGTGGTGCATATACTCTTTTGAAGGTGTGTTTAAGTTCTATTGAAGTCTATGTTTCCTAAGAACAAGATGGCGATGCCCAAAATGACCAACAAGGTTTCAAAACCATTGTCCACAAACTAATGGGCACTTGTATGCAATCTGATGTATATACAGTAAGACTGATATCGATATTTGTTTCATCAAGATCACAAGTTATTTATGCTATTTTTTTTAAAGTATAATTTTGTTTTTTCAAGATAACAACATATAGTCATAGGCCATTATATTTAATTTATAAAACAGAAAATTATCTTTGGACATTTGTTATTTTGAGATATTGACAAAAATAACGTTCTCGTTATTATCACGGAAGGGGAGTAGGAAAAGTGTAACACAAAATAAACCCATGAAACATCTGATCGAAACACTTTTGTTACTGTACATTTGTAATTCAACACGTATATTTTTTACGTTTTTTTAATGCTATTTAATTTTTTATTGAGATGTTTACATTTTGGAATGTTTATTTCTAGTCTTTTAATTTGTATTGTACAATTCCATGTCTTTTTATGCTGCTGCAAAGTAAACATTTCCCAAATTGGGATGAATAAAGTACATTTTATCTTATCTTATCTTAACCTCTTGAGCACGGGGCTCAGGCTCGAAAATGACATGCCCAGAATGAATGACTATATCTTCACTTCTAAAAGGGGTATATGAATAATCTTTTGTATCAAAGCAATGATACACCTGTGAGTTGGCTGTAGAAGTGTCAGAATCAATTTAGATATTGCTGTGTCAGAGTAAATTCAGATTGAACATAGTAAAACGTTTCAATTCTAATCTCCGTCATTACTTATAGTGAAAACCACCCGTAAATGATGGGATAGTAGCCCAGAACCCTTAGGGATCCAAACCACAATATATCACAAGTACCCTGTGTCAAGATAGATGCTAATTCATGTCTAATCTTGTTACCTGCACACCCCTGACATTCAGCGAGCGACTCTTGCAGATGAGGATCTGTCCGATCAGTCCTGAAGCGATGTCTCGTGGAGCGTCCACAGCGCTGTGGTACAGACGGGTCAGACATCTGGAGTCTCCGTCCAGAGGCTCGTCCTCGTCCACCACCCTCCAGACGTAGGTGTGTGTCTCGCCTGGCTGAACCCCGTGAGACTGGTTTCCTGGAAAACACATTGAGATATACCTCTTCCAGTTAATATATAATATAATAATTAGAAGAAGAGTGGCAGGGGGTTATGTTGAAGAAGTAAATGCTGCTCATGAATCATTCATGGTGCCTACTTATCACTTTATGATGAGCACTGTCCAATTAAATGTTCTAATAGTCGACATGATTTGGATTAAAAGCCCTGGATAACTAAGGGCTTACAGAATTCTTGTAAGAAGAAAAATAATCTTTATAGATATGTCATAACATTCAGAACAACTACTGCTAAAAGCAAAACAGAAAAAATACAGTAAAACTTGGATAATGATGATACTAGTGAGAATTGAAAGTTAACCCCAAATTAAAAGCCATATTAAACATTTCAAGGGAGTTTGCTGATCTAATATAATGAAAGCAAAGTGCGTAAAAAGTGTTTGTGTTGCTGTGAGGACAGATTTACCTCCTGCTGGGTAGTTGACGCCCTCATCTGACTTCTCGATGGTCAGACCATGAGGATAGATGCTGTACGGTCTGGAGGCCAGGTTCTTAAAAACTATCTGTAAAAAGAACAGGAGTATGTATGATGGCCAGAGATGGAAAAAGTACACATCCTTTACTCAAGTAGAAGTACAGATACTCGTGTTTAAAAATACTCTGGTAAAAGTAGAAGTACTGACTAAACTTCTTTACTCAAGTGAAAGTAAAGAGGGCTTTGAAATGTACTTCAGTAAAAAGTACCCATAACTAGCAGCTGTTTTAAAGAGTACCTGACCTCCCTTTATATTAATAGAACAATAATGTCATTGTTAGCTAATGAATGTTTCCATGCTGAACAACGGCAACATGACAACGTTTTCATTGGTCCCTCTTCTTTAGAGAAGACCAGGAAATGATGGATACACGGATCGTGTTCAAATCAATAGGCACGCAATGACTCTAAATAATAATGATCACGCCACCAAACACACATTCAAACTAAAGGAACCAGCCTGTTTGGAAAATGTAAGAAGTAGAAAGTACAGGTATTTGGGTTCAACATGTAAGAAGTAGAAAGTACAGGTATTTGTGTTCAACATGTAAGAAGTAGAAAGTACAGGTATTTGGGTTCAAAATGTAAGAAGTAGAAAGTACAGGTATTTGTGTTCAACATGTGAGAAGTAGAAAGTACAGGTATTTGTGTTCAACATGTAAGAAGTAGAAAGTACAGGTATTTGGGTTCAAAATGTAAGAAGTAGAAAGTACAGGTATTTGTGTTCAATATGTAAGAAGTAGAAAGTACAGGTATTTGGGTTCAACATGTAAGAAGTAGAAAGTACAGGTATTTGTGTTCAAAATGTAAGAAGTAGAAAGTACAGGTATTTGTGTTCAAAATGTAAGAAGTAGAAAGTACAGGTATTTGTGTTCAACATGTAAGAAGTAGAAAGTACAGGTATTTGTGTTCAAAATGAAAGAAGTAGAAAGTACAGGTATTTGTGTTCAACATGTAAGAAGTCAAAGTAAAAAGTAGTGGAGTAAAGTACTGATACCAGAAAAATGTACTTAAGTACAGTAACAAAGTATTTGTACTCCAATACTTCCCACCTCTGATGACGATAGAGATAAATATCATGTATGAAGTCCAGAAGGAAAGTATTGGGATTGGACAAGATTTGACATTTGGCTCTGTACCCACAGCCATTTCATTGAAATATATAGGGGGTGCTGAATGAAGAAAATCTGATACATCTTCAATATTTAGTTTAGTTTCCTACATATTTAGTCTATTGTCTAACTCATTCGACAACATTGCGAGTCATCTTATATATAATCAAAATCAAAATGTAAAATCTAAATTTAAACCTGAAAAATCTAAATGTCAATTCAAAATATTAAGTCAAAGTCTAATTGTTAAATCTAATGGTACACGCTGTGTCTACTTAAATCTGATAGTCTTTATATCCAAAGCTGATTAACACTCTAGGAACTGTAACTATATTTATACACAGTACCCCAATTCCAGGAGAAGACATAAACACATACTTACATCTCAAATATTGAGTTCGTTTTAGAAAATGATGTGGTTTTTTTATGCTATTTTCCAGTCCTACAATTAATTGTCTGCTGATTTCTCCGGGCCTTGTGTTATGTAACGACGGTCATAATGAAAGGCAGTTATAACGTTGCTGATAAGATGCTTTTACACTTAATTTATATTGTTATTTGATATGTCCTCACCTTGATAACGTCTCTGATTTGCGCCTTGATGACCGGACCGAGGATCCCGAGCTCGTTCTTCCTCTGCTTCGTCTCCAGCCTCTCAGTGAAGGACTCGTTTGTGTACAGCGTGTAAACCGCCTTCTTGTATTTCCTTCCTATGCGTGACGCTGACTGTTTCAGGTACTGGAGCTTAAAGTCCCTACACAGAAGATAGAAGGTTTTATAACATTTTGAGACATTGATATAGCTTTAAAAAGAGACATAACACTGCATTTCAAGCTGCGTGGCTCCAGTGTTTCCAATCAGGGCAAAGATGAGAAGTTCTCTTAATGTATATGTAATTCCATTAACAGTGGAGAAGAAATGGAAATCCTGCATTTTTTAAGCTTACTCTTCTTTTAGTGTATTTTAAGAATCAGTAGGCTAGATTTTCTTTCTTTTTTGAGCTTATGTTACCTTTTTAGACCGTTCAAATGTGTTTATCAGATGCTTCCATTGCATTGTCTGCTGTCTTATGATGCAAACACACCTTTTCTCAAATCGTTCTCATTATTTAATTAACATTTCTTGGGGCAAGCTATTAGGCAGAACATTTTTAACAAATTGTACTTTTTAAGAGGACATGTTCTGATCATGTTCAGGTGTATATCAGTATGTAGTGTCTCTACTTTAAAGAGTCCTCTCCTGCTGATGTTCAGGTGTATATCAGTATGTAGTGTCTCTACTTTAAAGAGTCCTCTCCTGCTGATGTTCAGGTGTATATCAGTATGTAGTGTCTCTACTTTAAAGAGTCCTCTCCTGCTGATGTTCAGGTGTATATCAGTATATAGTGTCTCTACTTTAAAGAGTCCTCTCCTGCTGATGTTCAGGTGTATATCAGTATGTAGTGTCTCTACTTTAAAGAGTCCTCTCCTGCTGATGTTCAGGTGTATATCAGTATGTAGTGTCTCTACTTTAAAGAGTCCTCTCCTGCTGATGTTCAGGTGTATATCAGTATGTAGTGTCTCTACTTTAAAGAGTCCTCTCCTGCTGATGTTCAGGTGTATATCAGTATGTAGTGTCTCTACTTTAAAGAGTCCTCTCCTGCTGATGTTCAGGTGTATATCAGTATGTAGTGTCTCTACTTTAAAGAGTCCTCTCCTGCTGATGTTCAGGTGTATATCAGTATGTAGTGTCTCTACTTTAAAGAGTCCTCTCCTGCTGATGTTCAGGTGTATATCAGTATGTAGTGTCTCTACTTTAAAGAGTCCTCTCCTGCTGATGTTCAGGTGTATATCAGTATGTAGTGTCTCTACTTTAAAGAGTCCTCTCCTGCTAATGTTCAGGTGTATATCAGTATGTAGTGTCTCTACTTTAAAGAGTCCTCTCCTGCTGATGTTCAGGTGTATATCAGTATGTAGTGTCTCTACTTTAAAGAGTCATCTCCTGCTGATGTTCACGGGTATATCAGTATGTAGTGTCTCTACTTTAAAGAGTCCTCTCCTGCTGATGTTCAGGTGTATATCAGTATGTAGTGTCTCTCCTTTAAAGAGTCCTCTCCTGCTAATGTTCAGGTGTATATCAGTATGTAGTGTCTCTACTTTAAAGAGTCCTCTCCTGCTGATGTTCAGGTGTATATCAGTATGTAGTGTCTCTACTTTAAAGAGTCCTCTCCTGCTGATGTTCAGGTGTATATCAGTATGTAGTGTCTCTACTTTAAAGAGTCCTCTCCTGCTGATGTTCAGGTGTATATCAGTATGTAGTGTCTCTACTTTAAAGAGTCCTCTCCTGCTGATGTTCAGGTGTATATCAGTATGTAGTGTCTCTACTTTAAAGAGTCCTCTCCTGCTGATGTTCAGGTGTATATCAGTATGTAGTGTCTCTACTTTAAAGAGTCCTCTCCTGCTGATGTTCAGGTGTATATCAGTATGTAGTGTCTCTACTTTAAAGAGTCCTCTCCTGCTGATGTCCAGGTGTATATCAGTATGTAGTGTCTCTACTTTAAAGAGTCCTCTCCTGCTGATGTCCAGGTGTATATCAGTATGTAGTGTCTCTACTTTAAAGAGTCCTCTCCTGCTGATGTTCAGGTGTATATCAGTATGTAGTGTCTCTACTTTAAAGAGTCCTCTCCTGCTGATGTTCAGGTGTATATCAGTATGTAGTGTCTCTACTTTAAAGAGTCCTCTCCTGCTGATGTTCAGGTGTATATCAGTATGTAGTGTCTCTACTTTAAAGAGTCCTCTCCTGCTGATGTTCAGGTGTATATCAGTATGTAGTGTCTCTACTTTAAAGAGTCCTCTCCTGCTGATGTTCAGGTGTATATCAGTATGTAGTGTCTCCTATAGAACACATTAAAGGAAAGGGAAAACCACCAAAAGCAAAATCATAAACACAAAGGTCATATTTTGCCACTGAAGTATGTCTGGTAGATTTGATAAACTGTCCTTATATGCACTTGTAAAAAATGCTAGGAAATGTATGAAATGCTTCTTACTCGTCAACGTATTCCGGCATACTCGGGGCGTAATCCCAGATAATTTCCTCCGCAGCGATGTAGTATTTCCACACCTTGCTGTGTCGTTTTTGCTCGATGGTCATCCTTCGATTGGGCACACTGAAGCCGTCACACTTCTTCACCTCCAGGAAACCATGCATGCCAACTGCAAAAACACAGATTTGTTCTTGTAGATTATTGTAGTAAATGTATCATTAAGTCTCATTGAAGTATATCACTTCCTTCTCTGGTTTGATTTTCCCGTGGGTTTTTGTTTTTAAAGCTACGGACCCAGAATCAGCACTTCTTTAACAGGGCTGAAATAGAGGGATATGAGGCTAGAAAGGGTGATCTGTTTGGTATTTTGAGCAAAACACTTCATAGACATCTTTTTTATATATCTGAGACCAGAGATGGCAAAAGTAAACACATCCTTTACTTTACCAGAAAAATGTACTTAAGTACAGTAACAAAGTATTTGTACTCCACTACTTCCCCCCTCTGCCTGAGACCTATAATATATGCCTAAATATAGTACAATAGGAGACCTTTAAGTTACATTGGTTAGGTGTGTGTATGTTGTGAACCCGTACCCTCCATGTGCTTCATGGTGTGAGAGGACAGCATCCAGCGGCCCCTGTGCAGAGCCACCATGCTGCAGGAGGCCGTGGAGCCGCTGATCAGACCCACTGAGGACACTTTGTGGCCGTTGTGCTGCAGCACCTGACCGTTCAGGTGCACGGAGAAAACCTCAGGGTCTGAGCTCATGGCCAGCAGGTGCAGACTCACAGAGGCATGGGCACACACACTCACATCTGCAGAGAGAACAGGAGGGTTATGTTACCTCTAGATTTCTTGTTTATGCAGGACATCTGGAGAGTGTCTTCATGTAAGACAGGGGTGTCCAAACTTTTTTCACCGAGGGCCACATACAGAAAAATATACAAAGGGCTGGGCCAATCAATAGAGGTTTATTGCCTTATAAGTTCAGTTATGAGTTAGCAAAATCAATCAAATGTAGGTAAATGATACTTGTGAGTGTTAGCAGCTCATTCCTTAAAACAGAAGATTGATTATAATAAGGAGAAATAGGAAGGGTGTATTTCAAGCTTGTTATGTAAATAAGTCATTGGGCTTGTTTCTCATCAACTTAGATGTTAAAACATATTTTCAAATTGAATTGACTGAATTTATTGTAAAGTGGTCTTATTAACACATGAATACTACTGTGTAATATATGTTTACAGATATATTTAATAAGTACAATACAAGAAAAGCTCAAGTTTCATTTGTGGGCCGTATTCCATTATACTTTTTGAATGTGCTGTAGTTTGGACAGCACATTACATTTCATTTCATTTAGCTGACGCTTTTATCCAAAGCGACTTACGTTTATTAATTACAGGGACATTCTCCCTGGAGTAACTAAGGGCTAAGTGCCTTACTCAAGGGCACACTAGTGGTGGTGTTCCAGGCGGGATTTGAACTCACAACCTTCCGATCTTCAGCCCATCTCACTATCCATTAGACCACTCACTATCCATTAGACATCTGGAGAGTGTCTCCTCTCTGACTGTACAACGTGACGTGCAACACTGTCCATTAATCTGTTCCTATAAACAGCGGTGGGAGATTGTTTATTGGAGTAAATCCAGACACAACAGTGAACTAATACACGAGGAAAGCTCCAGTAAGTAAAACAAGGGAGTTATTGAAGTTTGATGGATTAAATAAGTGATGATTCATTTCACAATGAGGTGTAGTTACATTTCATTAAACCTGGAGCCTTAATCTAAAGCAGAAAGTTCAATCAACCGTGAGGATACATTATCATTACATTTTTTAAATATTGATACCCCTTGGAGTGCATTATTCCATTTAGAGACTTCTTATGAAGCGCTAAAATAATAACTTGATTGGACAAAAGAAAAGTAACTTACAAGAAATCCGTCAAAGTTAAAATTGTAATTGGTTCGTTCTTTTTTATCTGATAGGTTATATTAAAGGGGACCTATCATGCAAAATGCACTTTTGTACGTCTTTTCTACATGAATATGTGTCCCCGGTGTTCCAGGGAACTCACCAAGTGTCAGAAAACACAACCCTCTCTATTTTCCTCCATACCCAAATCTCTAAAAAAGGGGCTGCAACGGATCTGATAAAAACTGATCCAGATTTGAACACTGTCCTGACGTCAGGACAGTGGCGCTACGGCTATTGGGCCAACTCCACCAATCAGGAGGAGACAGCCACGGACATTGCCGTTCGAAAGCGCTGGAGACGCTGTAGTACATATGCCAGGCCAGTAGATGGTGCTGTTCTCACTGAATCAGCCCTTGCAATAACAGAGCTAAATGAGGCATGGCTAAAATGCATGATCTGAAAAAAAAGTATAAATATGCCTTATATAGGTATGGTCCTACACTATATTATTCAAATATAGCATGATAGGTCCACTTTAAGTTACACTAAATTATAAAATACCTTTTAAAAAGAGGTAAAGTCACCACAAAATATTAAAACATCATTATAATTTTTCCTTTTAAAGCATGTGTGACAATCTGCTGTTTTTCCAAATTAAAATTAAACTCAATATCTCAGGGTTATGAAATGTTTGTTGGAAAATAACAAGACATCAGAAGACAGTTTCTCAAATCTGGCTTACCATTGACAGGATGACTATTAAGATAAATGAATGATTGAAATATGTTTCTGTCCTCCATGCTTTTAATTATTGAACTAAGTACAAGTCATTGGCAAGTTGTTAAGACTACTTTCTACTTTAATATACCTGACGCACTGACTGAGGTTTGTCTATTAACCAGGACTCAGTCTAATGGGTCCTGACGTTTTCAAAATCTGTCAAGGATACAAACTAAACGGCTCACTGTGTAACTATATAAGTAATACATGAATAAACATGCTCACCAGGCAGTGTGCCCATAGCGTATCCGTTGATGGTGTACTTCACATGGTTGGCGTGGATCTTCGGTGTGTACTTGCTCTCTCTTTCATCAAAAACCCCAAAGAGGAACACGTACTCATGCTCGACTCCGATCTGAATCCCCGACTCATCCAGACTGCCTAAGAGAACCAAGAAAGAGAGCAAAATATTATGCAAAAAACACTTTTTCCTGTCTCTTCTACATCAACATGTGTCCCCTCTTCTTCATGTCTCTTCTACATCAACATGTGTCCCCTCTTCTTCATGTCTCTTCCACATCAACATGTGTCCCCTCTTCTTCATGTCTCTTCTACCTCAACATGTGTCCCCTCTTCTTCATGTCTCTTCTACATCAACATGTGTCCCCTCTTCTTCATGTCTCTTCCACATCAACATGTGTCCCCTCTTCTTCATGTCTCTTCTTCATGAACATGTGTCCCCTCTTCTTCATGTCTCTTCTACATCAACATGTGTCCCCTCTTCTTCATGTCTCTTCTACATCAACATGTGTCCCCTCTTCTTCATGTCTCTTCTACATCAACATGTGTCCCCTCTTCTTCATGTCTCTTCTTCATCAACATGTGTCCCCTCTTCTTCATGTCTCTTCTACATCAACATGTGTCCCCTCTTCTTCATGTCTCTTCCACATCAACATGTGTCCCCTCTTCTTCATGTCTCTTCTACATCAACATGTGTCCCCTCTTCTTCATGTCTCTTCTTCATGAACATGTGTCCCCTCTTCTTCATGTCTCTTCTACATCAACATGTGTCCCCTCTTCTTCATGTCTCTTCTACATCAACATGTGTCCCCTCTTCTTCATGTCTCTTCTACATCAACATGTGTCCCCTCTTCTTCATGTCTCTTCTACATCAACATGTGTCCCCTCTTCTTCATGTCTCTTCTACATCAACATGTGTCCCCTCTTCTTCATGTCTCTTCTACATCAACATGTGTCCCCTCTTCTTCATGTCTCTTCTTCATCAACATGTGTCCCCTCTTCTTCATGTCTCTTCTACATCAACATGTGTCCCCTCTTCTTCATGTCTCTTCTACATCAACATGTGTCCCCTCTTCTTCATGTCTCTTCTACATCAACATGTGTCCCCTCTTCTTCATGTCTCTTCTTCATCAACATGTGTCCCCTCTTCTTCATGTCTCTTCTACATCAACATGTGTCCCCTCTTCTTCATGTCTCTTCTACATCAACATGTGTCCCCTCTTCTTCATGTCTCTTCTACATCAACATGTGTCCCCTCTTCTCCATGTCTCTTCTTCATCAACATGTGTCCCCTCTTCTTCATGTCTCTTCTACATCAACATGTGTCCCCTCTTCTTCATGTCTCTTCTACATCAACATGTGTCCCCTCTTCTTCATGTCTCTTCTACATCAACATGTGTCCCCTCTTCTTCATGTCTCTTCTTCATCAACATGTGTCCCCTCTTCTTCATGTCTCTTCTACATCAACATGTGTCCCCTCTTCTTCATGTCTCTTCAACATCAACATGTGTCCCCTCTTCTTCATGTCTCTTCTACATCAACATGTGTCCCCTCTTCTTCATGTCTCCTCTACATCAACATGTGTCCCCTCTTCTTCATGTCTCTTCTTTATCAACATGTGTCCCCTCTTCTTCATGTCTCTTCTACATCAACATGTGTCCCTTCTTCTTCATGTCTCTTCTACATCAACATGTGTCCCCTCTTCTTCATGTCTCTTCTACATCAACATGTGTCCCCCTCTTCTTCATGTCTCTTCTACATCAACATGTGTCCCCTCTTCTTCATGTCTCTTCTACATCAACATGTGTCCCCTCTTCTTCATGTCTCTTCTACATCAACATGTGTCCCCTCTTCTTCATGTCTCTTCTACATCAACATGTGTCCCCTCTTCTTCATGTCTCTTCTTCATCAACATGTGTCCCCTCTTCTTCATGTCTCTTCTTCATCAACATGTGTCCCCTCTTCTTCATGTCTCTTCTACATCAACATGTGTCCCCTCTTCTTCATGTCTCTTCTACATCAACATGTGTCCCCTCTTCTTCATGTCTCTTCTACATCAACATGTGTCCCCTCTTCTTCATGTCTCTTCTTCATCAACATGTGTCCCCTCTGTGTAAAAAGACTCTGAAAGTTTCAGGAACAAAGATTCTCTCTCTTTTTGTCCTGATCCATTTTTATAAAAACCTGTCTGAAAATGAGCTGATCAGATTTTGGCCACTTTATGATGTCATAACGATGTTTTGTCTTGTGTAACCATTAGCCAATCACCAACCAAGGTAACCCCCCCCCCCCCCCTCAAGGTTCAAGGTTCAAGGTTCTTTATTGTCAAACTAACATAGCTACAGAGTAATTATGTCGTTGAAAATCTTATGTCACAGGCTTCTCCAACAATGCAACATAATAATACAGATAGTAAAAGTAATACAAAAAGAAAAATAGTTCTAAAATAAAGTGAGTATGTGGAATAGTGCAGTACGAGTCTATATACAAGTTATTGGAATGATATATATTAGATAGTAGATATATATTACATAGCAGACAGAGAATCAGCTCTTTGGAAACAGGGCTGAAACAGAGGGGATTATGGGATGCTGCAATGATCTGTTTGGTGTTTCAGCCAATCAGAGACAGGTTCTGGATATATCTGAGACCTGTGATATATTGATGACCAACAGTATAATAGGGGACCTTTCATGTGCAGCAAAATTGTTTAAAAAGCATGTATTTCAGTTTCTCTTCTCACCAGGCTTGCAGATGAGTAGAGCTCCAATGAGGCCGGAGTTGTAGTCCTGAACTACGTCTTTGTGGGAGACGTAGCTGTAGGTGAGACAGGGGGAGTCGCTCGGCTGAGGAGAAACATCGGGCGTCACCTCCCAGTAATAAACATGTTCACTGTTCGGCTGCACCACGTCGTCCTCTTTCTCCTTCTGAGACGTGTTGTCAAAGTAGTTAGCTCCTGAAAAAAACAAAAAAACAAATAGAGTTTGAAAAAAACAAAAAACCCTAAGTGCATAATGAAGATCTCCATTTGACTCCTTACTTTCAGAGCATAGTGACATTACTCTGTAACTCTTGTGCTCCTATTGGCTTGTACGTGATAGGCAAAGGGGCGGGACATCTCTAAGCGGTTGACCAATCACAACAGAGCCAGCCAACTAACCAATCAGAGCAGCTCTGGTTTCAGACAGAGGGTGAAATGAGGTGCTGCAGCACAGGCAGTATGATACAAATAAAGAGCTTTTTGAACATTAGAGCATGGAGACATGTAGAGACACTACATACTGATATACACCTGAACATCAGCAGGAGAGGACTCTTTAAAGTAGAGACACTACATACTGATATACACCTGAACATCAGCAGGAGAGGACTCTTTAAAGTAGAGACACTACATACTGATATACACCTGAACATCAGCAGGAGAGGACTCTTTAAAGTAGAGACACTACATACTGATATACACCTGAACATCAGCAGGAGAGGACTCTTTAAAGTAGAGACACTACATACTGATATACACCTGAACATCAGCAGGAGAGGACTCTTTAAAGTAGAGACACTACATACTGATATACACCTGAACATCAGCATGAGAGGACTCTTTAAAGGAGAGACACTACATACTGATATACACCTGAACATCAGCAGGAGAGGACTCTTTAAAGTAGAGACACTACATACTGATATACACCTGAACATCAGCATGAGAGGACTCTTTAAAGTAGAGACACTACATACTGATATACACCTGAACATCAGCAGGAGAGGACTCTTTAAAGTAGAGACACTACATACTGATATACACCTGAACATCAGCAGGAGAGGACTCTTTAAAGTAGAGACACTACATACTGATATACACCTGAACATCAGCATGAGAGGACTCTTTAAAGTAGAGACACTACATACTGATATACACCTGAACATCAGCAGGAGAGGACTCTTTAAAGTAGAGACACTACATACTGATATACACCTGAACATCAGCAGGAGAGGACTCTTTAAAGTAGAGACACTACATACTGATATACACCTGAACATCAGCAGGAGAGGACTCTTTAAAGTAGAGACACTACATACTGATATACACCTGAACATCAGCATGAGAGGACTCTTTAAAGTAGAGACACTACATACTGATATACACCTGAACATCAGCAGGAGAGGACTCTTTAAAGTAGAGACACTACATACTGATATACACCTGAACATCAGCAGGAGAGGACTCTTTAAAGTAGAGACACTACATACTGATATACACCTGAACATCAGCAGGAGAGGACTCTTTAAAGTAGAGACACTACATACTGATATACACCTGAACATCAGCAGGAGATGACTCTTTAAAGTAGAGACACTACACACTGATATACACCTGAACATCAGCAGGAGAGGACTCTTTAAAGTAGAGACACTACATACTGATATACACCTGGACATCAGCAGGAGAGGACTCTTTAAAGTAGAGACACTACATACTGATATACACCTGGACATCAGCAGGAGAGGACTCTTTAAAGTAGAGACACTACATACTGATATACACCTGAACATCAGCAGGAGAGGACTCTTTAAAGTAGAGGCACTACATACTGATATACACCTGAACATCAGCAGGAGAGGACTCTTTAAAGTAGAGACACTACATACTGATATACACCTGAACATCAGCAGGAGAGGACTCTTTAAAGTAGAGACACTACATACTGATATACACCTGAACATCAGCAGGAGAGGAGAGGAGAGGATATGGCCCCTTTAATTACGTGCCATTGCTCAACAGGAGTCTGAGGAAATGATGGACTTTCCCGACATATTTATATCCAAAAATAATGAAGGCTTAATGAAGGCTTTCCTGTTCTTTAATTGTGACTTCCTCTGCCTTCTGGCTTTTGCATTAAGATCAAATCAACTAGTGCTTAGTGTAAATTCCCTACATCCACAGTTTCTCTCTCGTGGACACAGACAGTGATTTCCTAGGACTCAGCAGAGCTTCCTGTTGGACTTCAGAACCGTCTGCCTCTCCGGGTTAATATGTTATAAAAAAGACAAATAAGCTTGTTTGTTGTGTTGGCCAATCTTGTGTAATTATCGGAATCAGTAACAAAAAATCAGTGACCCTAAGAGACGGACTGTGGAGCTGCTGATTTAAGGTTTCCAACAGCTGTCAGATACAGAGCTGGGAAGTAGTGGAGTACAAATACTTCGTTACTGTACTTAAGTACATTTTTCTGGTATCAGTACTTTACTCCACTATTTCTTTTTCTGATGACTTTTTAATTTGACTTCTTACATGTTGAACACAAATACCTGTACTTTCTACTTCTTACATGTTGAACACAAATACCTGTACTTTCTACTTCTCACATGTTGAACACAAATACCTGTACTTTCTACTTCTTACATGTTGAACACAAATACCTGTACTTTCTACTTCTTACATGTTGAACACAAATACCTGTACTTTCTACTTCTTACATGTTGAACACAAATACCTGTACTTTCTACTTCTTACATGTTGAACACAAATACCTGTACTTTCTACTTCTTACATTTTGAACACAAATACCTGTACTTTCTACTTCTTACATTTTGAACCCAAATACCTGTACTTTCTACTTCTTACATGTTGAACACAAATACCTGTACTTTCTACTTCTCACATGTTGAACACAAATACCTGTACTTTCTACTTCTTACATGTTGAACACAAATACCTGTACTTTCTACTTCTCACATGTTGAACACAAATACCTGTACTTTCTACTTCTTACATGTTGAACACAAATACCTGTACTTTCTACTTCTTACATTTTGAACCCAAATACCTGTACTTTCTACTTCTTACATGTTGAACACAAATACCTGTACTTTCTACTTCTTACATGTTGAACACAAATACCTGTACTTTCTACTTCTTACATGTTGAACCCAAATACCTGTACTTTCTACTTCTCACATGTTGAACACAAATACCTGTACTTTCTACTTCTTACATGTTGAACACAAATACCTGTACTTTCTACTTCTTACATGTTGAACACAAATACCTGTACTTTCTACTTCTTACATGTTGAACACAAATACCTGTACTTTCTACTTCTTACATGTTGAACACAAATACCTGTACTTTCTACTTCTTACATGTTGAACTCAAATACCTGTACTTTCTACTTCTTACATTTTGAACACAAATACCTGTACTTTCTACTTCTTACATGTTGAACTCAAATACCTGTACTTTCTACTTCTTACATGTTGAACACAAATACCTGTACTTTCTACTTCTCACATGTTGAACCCAAATACCTGTACTTTCTACTTCTCACATGTTGAACACAAATACCTGTACTTTCTACTTCTTACATGTTGAACACAAATACCTGTACTTTCTACTTCTTACATTTTGAACACAAATACCTGTACTTTCTACTTCTTACATGTTGAACTCAAATACCTGTACTTTCTACTTCTTACATTTTGAACACAAATACCTGTACTTTCTACTTCTTACATGTTGAACTCAAATACCTGTACTTTCTACTTCTTACATGTTGAACACAAATACCTGTACTTTCTACTTCTCACATGTTGAACACAAATACCTGTACTTTCTACTTCTTACATGTTGAACACAAATACCTGTACTTTCTACTTCTCACATGTTGAACACAAATACCTGTACTTTCTACTTCTTACATGTTGAACACAAATACCTGTACTTTCTACTTCTTACATGTTGAACTCAAATACCTGTACTTTCTACTTCTCACATTTTCCAAACAGGCTGGTTCCTTTAGTTTGAATGTGTGTTTGGTGGCGTGATCATTATTATTTAGAGTCATTGCGTGCCTATTGATTTGAACACGATCCGTGTATCCATCATTTCCTGGTCTTCTCTAAAGAAGAGGGACCAATGAAAACGTTGTCATGTTGCCGTTGTTCAGCATGGAAACATTCATTAGCTAACAATGACATTATTGTTCTATTAATATAAAGGGAGGTCAGGTACTCTTTAAAACAGCTGCTAGTTATGGGTACTTTTTACTGAAGTACATTTCAAAGCCCTCTTTACTTTGACTTGAGTTAAGAAGTTTAATCAGTACTTCTACTTTTACCAAAGTATTTTTAAACACGAGTATCTGTACTTCTACTTGAGTAAAGAAGTTTAGTCAGTACTTCTACTTTCACCAGAGTATTTTTAAACACGAGTATCTGTACTTCTACTTGAGTAAAGAAGTTTAGTCAGTACTTCTACTTTTACCAGAGTATTTTTAAACACGAGTATCTGTACTTCTACTTGAGGAAAGGATGTGTGAACTTTTGCCATCTCTGCCTGAGTGACCCTTAAGAGACGGACTGTGTTACAGAGCTGCTGATTTAAGGTTTCCAACAGCTGTTAGATGTGTATACTTGCAGCTGAGTTAACATGCTCTCACCCTCTGACTGCTTCCCGTAAGCGACTCCGTGAGGGTGGATGCTGTGCGGTCCGCTGGCCATGTTTCTGAAAGTGACGACGATGGTCTCTCCCTCCTGAGCCCTCAGAGTGGGTCCCAGCAGACCTGTGGAGAAAATACACAACATGAACTTTATTTGGATTTTGAAGCACATTGAAGTATTTTTTTTGGCACATCATTATGACACACAGGGATAATAATGTGCTGACTCATCACATCAATCAGCAATGTAAAATGTCCCCGTCGGTCCATATGTTAAGTGTTAATGTGTTAATTGTCATATTCATAATCAAAAAACATTTTCACAATGTCATTATTAATTTCCCCTCTGCTCTGAATGACGTATTTGAATGTATGAAACAGAAAGAATTGATCCAAAACAATAGATAAACACACTAAAACGTAGAGATATGTGCGAAATGTGAATGTTGTGGTTATTATCATCATCTAATGCAAATGGTAAGATAAATGTTATGCTTTCCAATAAAGGAATAAACATGCAACTGTGTTTTCTCAGATACTGGAAAGCAAAAAGTACTTTTCAAATACCAGGACAGTAATGTAAAGTCACGCTGACTCAGTATTGACTTTTATCAACCAGGAAATATAACGTTGTTTTCATATTCATAGTAAAAAAGCAATATCACAATGTTCAGTAATTCCTTCTTTGCCTTCCTCTCTCACTGACGTATAAATAAAGGAAAGACAAGGTGTAATGGAATAAATACAAAACAATAAATAGAGAAAAACATGCACATATATGAATAAATAAATAAAATAAGACTTCAAAGGAACATTAATCGATAGCAAAAATCAGTTTTCCACTAAAATAATTTAAAATCGTTAGCAATTTTACAATATATTGGAACTTGTATATGGCCCACAGGTAGTCATGCTCACTTATTACTTACTGTTGTTTAACACCAAACATTATATCACCTTTGAGCCATATAATCAACGTTGCTATTGTCTTATTCACATCTAAAATAACAAAGCAATATTTGCTAATTTTACTCTTTATACTTTCCTATGACATTTTTGACTAGCAGATGTTATTCGTTACGAAATATCCTGAGAAGATACATTTATTTTTGTACTAATTAGAAGAAGAATTGAGGATGTATTTGATTAGGCTGTTAAGTATTTTCACATATATTGTGATTAGTTAGAATAGAAGGAACTGTCAAATAGTTAGTCTGAAATGTACCAAACTTACAAAACATTTCACAAACATTTCTAGACAATTAATCTCAAATTGACAGCCGGTTATATAACTTACTGTTCTAATTTATGAGCTGGTGGCACATTAAAAGAAAACACCTCCCATACTAAATGTGGGTTTGTAATATCTCTACGTGCATAAAGGACATCTTCTTTTCAGTCGTGTTAAGTAATGTATACTCAGTAATAAGTGAGTATACTAACTTTGTAGCTGTCCTACATTGGTGTTTTATCCTATCTTTGACTTGCTGTGTTTTATGCACATTTTGTAGTTGTATTTTGTATTGTGTACTGTCTGTAAAGCACTTTGTACATCCGTGTTGAGAAGGGTGCAATATAAATGTACTTACTTACTTACTTAACGGCTTTAATATTCATCAACACAGACTCTACAAGTCTCCACTGGAAGCATGAGCACTGTTCATATAAACAATAAATCCTAATTTGGTTTTTAATTATGATAATTGAGACCACTGTCTGACATGTCTCCGCAAATCTCCGTTATGTGTTCATTTGGTGGTGACCATGATATGATTCATGGTATTAGACACAGTCAAAACACCAATCAGTCAAACTATTATCTACACTTTCTTTGTTTTTAGGCAAATGTATACTCATTTATTTATTTTTATTGACAAACTGAAAGAAATCAGAAGCTAGGTGTACCGTATCTCTATCTCCCCTGTAATTACAAAGTCATTTTAAGGAGACCTTGAGGTACATATTTAGAAAATGAAAGGGTGTAAACGTGATTTTTGTAGACAGGAGAAGTGTTTCTGAGAGCCAGACAGACGGAAACTTACCTAACCAGGAGGGATGAGTCTTAGCCTGCCTGAAGCCTTTGTCATACTCCCGAAAGACCACTTTCTTATAGGTGGGACCGAACCTACCAAAGGAATGAAAACACCAAAGATGAATCAGACATGAAGAAAGAACAACTCACTTCTTTATTTAAAAACAACAACAACACCCTGTGAAAGTCCTCCATTCAAACACATACAAGTATATAGGAATTAGGACTTTCAGTATAAAAATGTAACGTATTTATTGAATGTGTTTTACTTATATATGTGGTGTTTCTGGATTAAAGGTGGGGTAGGTAAGTTTGAGAAACCGGCTCGAGATACACTTTTTGTTATATTCCATGGAATGCTCTTAACATCCCGATAGCAATGAATATCTGAAGTGCTTTGACAAAAAATCCATAAAAAAATGTCATCTGTGGAAGCTGTAGTACTGTAAAAAGCACGACCAATCATCTGAGCCGGCCCGGCTAAAATAACTGGATGGCCTACCTGCCTGTCAGCCTTCCATCTGTGCACAAACTTATCTCGTGCCCTCATTGGTCATGTGCGCGTTCGTGTGTGTTGGAGGAGGGGCTCTGTAAGGAAGTGGCAGATTTTTTCCGGTTGTGTATTTTCAAATTCTAGCGATCTCGAGCTGGTTTCTCCAGAATTACCTACCCCACCTTTAATATATACAGTCTATGACCCCACCTTTAATACTGCTGCATAAATGTTTATGTTGCATGTTACTGCTGAAGATTGTTAACGTACTTATTTTAGAGAACCACATATCTATAAAAGTCAACAGTCCTGTTTTCGGCTTTATGATAATGCATTTTCCAGCTGACCTAAGAGGCTTTTAAAAGACTATATTTAACTTAAAGGATTTTCTAAACACATAAAAAACATTTTATCCTTCAGTTTATGACAAACATTTGAGATAATGTTGATATTCATGTGTTTTACTGGAGAGGAAAGTGCATAAAAACTGTTATTGTGAAGTAACTAAAGCTGTCTGATGCAGTGGGTTCACAAGTCATACTTGACTCGGAGATGTTTTTGGTATAAAGTTGAATAAACTAGAAGCACTCATGTAAAGTTTAAATTAATCCAACGTGTACGGAAGTGCAGAGCAGAGTTCATATTTACATTCTACCACTGAGAGCAGAACAGAGAGAAAACACACGTCGTTCACACAGCAGCGTATCAACAAGATATGAACTCACATGATGCAACTCTGTGTGTGTGTGTGTGTGTGTGTGTGTGTGTGTGTGTGTGTGTGTGTGTGTGTGTGGGTGGGCGTGTGTGTGTGTGTGCGTGTGTGTGTGTGTGTGTGTGTGTGTGTGTGTGTGTGTGTGTGTGTGTGTGTGTGTGTGTGTGTGTGTGTGGACTGTTACAGAACACTTTCTTAGTGACGTTGGGTGTACAGAATTTAAATTAATAGTAATTTATATAACAAGAATATTAATAATACTACTTCTACTACTACTACTAATAATAATAATTATAACTGTACACTTCTTAGGTGAGCTTAAATGAACATAATTGTATATATAATAATATGTATAATAACAAAGCGCTTCTAAAATGAGGTTATCGGTGGAAAGAATTTAAATAAATAATAATTTATATAATATATTTATTTGAACAGAACACTTGTTATATGAGTTTTGGAACAGAATGTCAAATATATATAATAGTAATAATAATTAACGATAAAAATATGATATGAAAACAAGGATTTCAATTAAAATAATTAATAATAATAATAATAATAATAATTCATTACATTTATTTTTGCGCTTTTCCGAATGCCCAAAGCGCTTTACATTAAATATTACACATATCAGACATGTTAAAAATATAGCTGCACGTCTAATATTTTTAATTTGTGATAAAGACGTTATCCATTTTAGGATGAATAAAGCATTTTTCTGATTTAAAATCCTTAATCCTCCACCAGTACCTGTGAGGGTCATTCTCAGCGTAGTCCCAGTCTATCTCCACAGCAGCGATATAGTAATGTCTCTCCTTTGCTGTCGGCTGCACTGCGTTCACATGGAGGACAGTGAGGAGAACCAGGACAGGCAGGAAACCCCTCGCTCCAACCCACAAACAGAGCCTCATCTCTGGGTACAATCCTCCAGGTGAAGACGGTCCTTTCTTACAAGTGAAGAGAAGCTCTGATCTGACAGAGAGGACTGCTCTGTGCTTTATCATCTGTCACTGACACACACACACACACACACACACACACACACACACACACACACACACACACACACACACACACACACACACACACACACACACACACACACACACACACACACACACACACACACACACACACACACACACACACACACACGTTTAAACATTGTGTCCCAGGGCAATGAACTGTGTCTCTCTTGTAATTGAAACCTTATGTATTTTGCTGTGAGTCATCCCTAAGGGGTGGGCTTTTCCCCACCGTCTTTTAAAAAAAGAAAGCACACTGAGGTTGTGTGGTGCAATTTGACGTTGAAGATTCTGTGACCTCAAAATCTCCCTGGAAAATGACCTCATAATTTATAGGAAGCATTACAGTTTATGAGGGGGAAGGAGCCTATCCCAAACTTTAGGTAAACATCTGGGCGGACTTCATTTCATCACTAACACACTATTTATGAGAGACTGGCTATTTAACTTCCATGGTTTATATACATATTTTATGATATAATATTTAACTTGATTACTTCTTGTGCTTATATAAATATTTTATTCTTATTTTTAATGTATTTTATATTTGGAAATCCTTGCTTTAACATTTTATACCTATATACATATTTTTGTTTTATTTTATTCTTATTTTTTATTGGACATTCCTACTTTAACTTCTTATGTTTCCAAGAGTATTTTATAATATTATATTTTATGATTTGGTCTGTCTGTGTGTGTGTGTGTGTGTGTCTGTGTGTCTGTCTGTCTGTCTGTCTGTCTGTCTGTCTGTCTGTCTGTCTGTCTGTCTGTCTGTCTGTCTGTCTGTCTGTCTGTCTGTCTGTGTGTCTGTCTGTCTGTCTGTCTGTCTGTCTGTCTGTCTGTCTGTCTAGTGGCTCAGTCAGTAGGGGGCTTGGACTGTGAGCCGTAGGGTCGCCGCCGGTTCAAGTCCCCGACCAGACCTAAAAATATGGAGTGTGGACTGCTACTTGGAGAGGTCCCAGTTCACCTCCTGGGCCCTGCCGTGGTGCCCTTGAGCAAGGCACCGGACAACCCCCCCCCCACTCCCATTGCTCCCCGGGCGCTGTACAATAGCTGCCCACTGCTCCTAGTATAGACTCCTGGTACTAGGATGGGTTAAAAGCAGAGAACTAATTTCACCGTGTGCTGGGGGCTCTGCATGTGGGACTATTAGAGAGGGTTTCATCCCTCCCATTCTTCTATCATTATTTTTTCCCTCTGCTTTCACTTTATTAAGATTTTATTTTGCTGTTACTTTAACTTTATCACTGGTTTTATTAGTCTAATGTTGGTTAATTGTATTTCCCCCCTGGCCCTTTTAATAGTTTTAAATCTAATAACCTAATTAAATCACTTCGTAATTCAATCCACAGACCTTCTGCTCAGATGAGAAGAGATTAACAAGTTAAAGTAGCCTAATAACAAAATAACATTAAATACAGTTTCATATTTCAGATTAAATATTTATTAATTACACAATTTAGTTTTGATTGCCTTTTATTCATAAGGCTTTTAATAGTGCTACTATTATTGTTTTTAATTATTGATTTAAAAAAAAAAAGGACAATCGATATTCCGCGTGCACAATCACAAATCACGTGTACGTTCAGTGCGCGTAGGATGACGCACCTGTGCCAGTACGCATGCGCGGATCAACCCGGAAGACAAATGCTTCCGTTATGGTTTGGGGAAAAAGAGAAAAACAAGTAAGTCTTCCTGTCATTTAATCATCTTATTAACGGTTATAACCACAGTAAATATATGTAGGATTGTTTAGAAGAACAATCGATTTGCTTTAATGTTTTTCTAATATTATTTTAAGTGTTAATTTGCAGATATATGACGGTTTTGGTTCAGGTGATGCTATCTCTGAGCTTTTTTACTTTGTTCCTTTGGGGCAAATTTCACAGATATTTGACACAAAAAAAGACTATTATCGATTAAGTTGTTGTTTGTTCTCATTTTGTATTAGTCCTGTAGTCTGGAAAAGGTCGGAAATGTTATAAAATGCTTCATATCAGAGCCCAAGTGACGCCTTCAAAATGTGTGTTGTGGTTTTGCCAAAAATCCAAACATTATTTTCAATGTTTAACCTCATAGATATTCAATTTAAAATGCAGAGAAGTAGCATGATTTAGAGCTGAGAAGACAGGACTGGAAGTAAGTATTTTAATGTTTAAAATGCCTGTCCAAGCAGCTGTTGTGTATCATCCTGTAACATTTAAAACAATGGAGCTGTGTGTTGTATAGAAAATAGTTTTCTATCAATATGAATCATTGAAAGTCAGTGCAGACCTTACCACAAGTCACTTTTTATTTAACAAAAATTTAACATTTATTAAAAAAATGCTCATTATTTCTCAACTTGCTGCAATTTATATAATATTTGCCTATAAGAATAATCTTCTTAAACCAACAACGTGTCTTGTGTGTGTTCCTGGTTGTTGTTCCTACCGTTTATGGCCCTAAAATGCTGGATCATCCATCAGGAGAAACGTGTAGCTTCTAAAATGATCTCTAATAATCTCTCTAAAAGGATTTCCCCAAAAACAGAATATTATTACACAAATGTATAGCAAGACTGTACTCCTTTTTGCAAGGTTAACTTGTAAACTGGTTGTATTTGACACATGTTTTATGTATTTTATATATATTATATTTTCTCATATTCTATATACATTTCCTGATTCTTCTAAATACTGGCTTTTTGATTTTCACCTCTAAGCATGTTTACTGTATGCTGCACCAAGGTAAACAAAACTGTATAATCTTTGGTGTTTTTTGACAAAGAATATATATTTTTTAAACTCACCCAAGTGTGTGTTGTGTTGCTCCAGGTCTGACTGAGAGCAGATCCAGGATCAGCCATGCTGTGCTCCCGCTCCTCGGCCTACACGCTGGCCCTCGGCCTGGGCTTCGTCACTTTGGGGACGAGCCGCATCCTGCTGCTCAAATACTCTGCCAACGCTGGTGAATAATGCTGCTTATTTCCCACAAAGAGTATACAAATAAAACATATATAAAATATGTGCAGTAAAAAAACAGATATTGCACACAATATACACAATATCTGTTTTTTTACTGCACTTTTTTATTCCATTCTTTATTATTTAAGAGGTTTACACATACAAGGAAATTGCTTTGATGTGTGATGGCGCAGACATAGACACAGAAAGAGAAATAAAGTTTTAAAAAAGAAGCAGCATTGAAGTGTTCATTCTAAAATGTATTACAAAAATAAAATAAAAATAGGAAAATGTAAGTACACTATTATATACACTTATTATATACACTACAGATAACATCTCATTTACAATGCTGACCTGGCCAAGAAGGCAGCAACGTTACACATTATTACACACAACACAGACATATAAAAGCAGTCACTACATTGAGCACATTAGGACAGTAAGAAAGGTACACTACTTATTACTGCAGCTGGTGGTAAGGACCTCAGACAACTTCAATTTAAAACAGGCTATAGTGCCGTCAGTTTGAGGCGTGATTGAAGGTCATTCCAAGACCAAGGACCATAATCCTTTTTCCAGCCTCAGTCCGCACAGCAGGAACCTGGGCCCGTATCCAGGCACTGGATCTGAGGTTATAAGAGTCACAAACTGGAGCAAATCTGGCACATATGTAGAGTGGAAGCTTACCTAAAATGGCTTTATACATTAATAAAAACCAATGCTGCATCCTACGCATAGTAAGTGAGGACCATCCAGTTAGGCTGTACAGTTTGCAATGATGAGTCCTATAGGGTGCATTTGATATGTATCGCAGGGCAGCATGGTAGAGTGGGTCAAGTTTGGCCAAAACAGTGGGACAGGCAAATCTATAAATGGTATCACCGTAGTCAAGCTGGGACAGGAATAATCCTGAGACCAACCTTTTACGGGAAGAAGTTGAAAAACAACATTTAAGGCGTGTGGTGCAGTGGGTTGTGCGTAGGTGTTAGGATCAGGCGTTCACAGGTTCAAACCCCACTGCAGTCAGCATGTCGTTGTGTCCCTGAGACACTTCACCCCAAATTGCTCCTGTGGGGATTGCCCACAGTATTGAGTATGTAAGTCGCTTTGGATAAAGCGTTCTAACAAGTGACATGTAATGTAATGTAAGTCTGTAAGGAAGCCAAGAGTGTATACATAAATAATATAACTAATTGACACATTTTTACTAAAAGTGCAGTATATGAGCATTTCAAGTGTAAGAGCTGTGCAGAATATACAGATGAATTTGAAAGGTTTATGAGGATTGATTGAAGAACAGGTTATAAAATGTATTTTTTTAATGTTATCTGACTTCTTGTTGACTGTCTCTCTTTTTTCTTTGTTACATTTTCAGAGAACAAGTATGACTTTCCTCCTGCGTCGGTCAATCTGCTCGCACGAGCCTGCTCAAAACTGCTCTTCTGTCTGGCCATGTCTGCCAGGGTCATAGTGAGAGGTAAAGTGTGTGTGAGTGTGTGTGTGTGGTGTGTGTGTGGTGTGTGTGTGGTGTGTGTGTGTGTAGTGTGTGTGTGTGTATGTGTGATGGTGTGTGTGTGTCGTGGGTGTGTGTGTGTGGTGTGTGTGTGTGTGTGTGTGTGTGTGTGTGTGTGTGTGTGTGTGTGTGTGTGTGTGTGTGTGTGTGTGTGTGTGTGTGTGTGTGTGTGTGTGTGTGTGTGTGTGTGTGTGTGTGTGTGTGTGTGTGTGTGTGTGTGTGTGTGTGTGTGTGTGTGTGTGTGTGTGTGTGTGTGTGTGTGTGTGTGTGTGTGTGTGTGTGTGTGTGTGTGTGTGTGTGTGTGTGTGCGCGCGCGCGTGCGTGCGTGTTTCACTGTCTCTCTCTCTGCTGTTTCTTCAGAGGGAAGATCGTGCAGAGACCTCGGCTTCTCCTCCAGCGCCTCCTTCCTCAAATCCCTGAAGTGGGCGGTCCCTGCGTTCCTCTACTTCCTCGACAACCTCATCATCTTCTACGTGCTCTCCTACCTGCAGCCAGTTAGTCAACACTTCAATATCTACTGTAGTAAAATGACCACTATGTTCAAGTCTGTTCCAGTCTCACATTTACGGTTTCTGGAGGACATTCTGATGCTTAAATTGCAATTATTCAAACCCAATTAACACGCAAACCACACTATGACAATGTTTTAGGACCATTTTAGGTTCAAATAAATACATTACGTAGCCGAAATAGTTCCCAGAAAGAAACTTGGTGATAAAAGTCGTGATGGGATGATGTTGATCCGACCTTTCAAAGCGCTGTGGTTACTTTACCCAAGAAAAACCTCATGTTCTTGTACATTTGTGACTTTAATGTCAGTGATTTGAATTTGTTTCCATGCAAATGTACTACTTTATACAGTATGACTATGTTATCTTACAACATTAAGGGTTTTTATTTTCTTTATCTAAATATAACCCCGTTTCGCAGCCTAGTAAAGATATGTGTATTACCTACAATATCCTTAAAATGCCGTCCAACACCCTATTGCTTTACTCTTTAAAAACCTCTTTTACATCCGATACAAATATGAATAAGGCCAAAATAAATACATTACGTAGCTGAGTTAGAGGGGTAATGTTCCCAGAAAATAAAAGTCGTGATGGGATAATGTTGATCCACACATTTTGTTGTAGATTTGTGACTTTAATGTCATTGATTTGAAGTTTTATTCATGTAAATGTATGACTTCTTACATCCGGTAAAGAAACGTTATCTTCACATACAGTCAACTTGTCTCATATCATATCAGCTGTTCCAAAACGTCCTGCTCAAAGACTTGTTTCAGATATGATGTTTAATCTCTAATCTCGTCTGCAGGCCATGGCGGTGTTGTTCTCTAACTTCGTCATCCTCACTACGGCTGTTCTCTTCAGGATTGTTCTGAAGTAAGAGACTCCGTTAATCACCCTGTAATGTTTTGTTCTGCAGTCTGATAGTGTGTGTGAGTCTGCTGATACACGGATCATACATGGATGGTTGGGTTCGGTCTGAAGGGGAGTGGCTTAGCTTGACCCTGGTGGTGGTGAATGGATGGTTGGGTTCGGTCTGAAGGGGAGGGGCTTAGCTTGACCCTGGTGGTGGTGAATGGATGGTTGGGTTCGGTCTGAAGGGGAAGGGCTTAGCTTGACCCTGGTGGTGGTGAATGGATGGTTGGGGTCGGTCTGAAGGGGAGGGGCTTAGCTTGACCCTGGTGGTGGTGAATGGATAGTTGGGTCGGTCTGAAGGGGAGTGGCTTAGCTTGACCCTAGTGGTGGTGAATGGATGGTTGGGGTCGGTCTGAAGGGGAGTGGCTTAGCTTGACCCTGGTGGTGGTGAATGGATAGTTGGGTTCGGTCTGAAGAGGAGGGGCTTAGCTTGACCCTGGTGGTGGTGAATGGATAGTTGGGGTCGGTCTGAAGGGGAGGGGCTTAGCTTGACCGTGGTGGTGAATGGATGGTTGGGGTCGGTCTGAAGGGGAGTGACTTAGCTTGACCCTGGTGGTGGTGAATGGATAGTTGGGGTCGGTCTGAAGGGGAGGGGCTTAGCTTGACCCTGGTGGTGGTGAATGGATAGTTGGGTCGGTCTGAAGGGGAGGGGCTTAGCTTGACCCTGGATTCAGAGGGACAGGTGGTGAAAAGGGGTGGAGGAGGGTTGTGTCGAGTCACCTGAAATGACAGCTGTCAGAGGGGGGAGAGCAGATTTAAAAGGTTTGGCCGAGCGCTATGATAGGCTCTTGGGAATAGAGCGAAGTGATTGGTTAAGCTGGGGAGTGACGCCCCCGATCACTTATTAAGAGGAGAGAGAGTAGTTACATGGGAATAGTAGTTCCGTCTAATCCAAAAATGTATGTATCCACAAGTAGCATTAAGCTTGACTCCAACAAAAATACGTCTCAGGAAAGTTTGGTTGACTCTTTACTTGAACAAAAGGTATCAGTTCAAACACATGTTTTCAAAGGTCTAAAAACGATATTGCGCCGTGACTCTTTTCTCCTTCTTCTAATTACCAGCAGCTGCGGTCGGCTATGACGTCAATTTTACGACGTTATAAATGTTATATACTAATAACAAAGAATTACCATGTTCAAATATATCTATATACACACATAATATATCCAATTATACATGTTAACATATCCTACACCATCTGTATTTTTGACTTGTTAAGAGGAGACTTATGCACTTTGCACCAACGGTCTTTTTCTGAAAACGTGCTTCCCATAACTTCAAATTGATCTTTCTACACTTTAGGACAAGGGGGTCAAACTCAAATACACAGTGAGCCAAAATAAAAAAATGGGTACTAGTCGAGGGCCGGACTGGTTCAATGTTTATAGCAGAACTTATTGAAATGAACTTATTGCACATATTAAACCTGGAACTAACAAAGCTTAAATGATTGCCTTTAAAAACAACATTAAACATTAAATAATCAGTTGCATTCATTTCTTATGATTACATTTTTCCACAGGCCAACAACAGCTTCAACAAAACTATTCCCTCAAAGAAAAAACCAAACATGCCCTGTTGTCGAGAGAGAGAAAGTGCAGAAGGAAACATCCATGTGAACTCAGTGTGCTGCTCTGTGATGCTAGCTCAGATACTTGGCATCTCATCTTGGGTGCAAGGTCATCAATGTTTGGGGTCAGGCTCTGAGCTGAGGAGACCCTCAGGATGGAGTGAAGGTGTGCGTGCAATATACCGACGGGCCAGATCTAATAGTAATTAGAAATTATCCTGCGGGCCGAAATTAAATCCACCAAGGGCCTGATTTGGCCCCCGGGCCTTGAGTTTGACACATGTGCTTTAGGACAATATAACAGAACGTGATGTAATTATTCAAATGGCAAAGTTACGCTTAAGCTGATTGAATTACTCAAAGTGACATTTTATTGGTACGGCTTTTCTTCAAATGAGACATCTTATGCATCATTTCCTACACTCTGTTATCCTAGGTAGTGATTGCTTTAAGAAACCTTTATTTATTATTATTCTCCAGTCTGATAGTGAGTGTGAGTCTGCTGATACACTTTCTCTCTCTCTCAGGTTTTGCACAGTCAGTGGTTAAAATGTTTTTTTCTGAAAATGTGTTTCCAGTTATTTCAAATTAAGCGTTCTACACTGTAGGCAGTGTTACCCAGTGTGTTGTAATTCCTCCAATTATGTAGTAAATCCAATTTATACTTAATCTGAGTGAAATACTCAAAGTTCCCATTGCTATTGGAACAGTATTTTGTGAAATGAGGCATCTTGTGCATCATTTCGTACACATGACCCTGTTATCCAGCTAGTAAGAAACCTTTTTTTGACACTGTTTATTCCACATATTTATATATTATTACAGTTTAGATTGTTTATTCTAATGTAAAGTATTTAAATGTTTTATTTGTGCAACTTTCTCCATTATGTCTCTTGCATTGTTTTATCTATTTGTCTTCTTATGCATTGTGGTAGAAGCCTCAAATGTAAGACTTTTATTTCAAAATGATGCTTTAGATAATTTGTATATGCCAATTAAGCCTTTAAATATTGCATGATTGAGTTAACACGCCTAATGTGAACCAAAGAAGAAACAAAATTCTGTGTAAATGTAAGACTTTTATTGCCAAAATGATGCTTTGGATAATGTGCACGTGCCAATCAAGCCTTTAAAACTTTGAACATAGCTGATGTCAACCCCGAAATAAACTAAAATCCTTTCTTCTCCCCTGTTCCCTCAGGAGGCGGTTGTCCTGGGTTCAGTGGGCGTCGTTGTTCATCCTCTTCCTGTCCATCGTTTCCTTGACGACGGGAACAGGAAGCAGCCAAAGTGCCATCGCTGTTCACAACCTGCACCTGAACCCCCTGTCCCCCCCCTCCAACTCCTGCCTGCTCTACACGCAGCTGCTGGAGCAGATGAGGAACAGCAGGTAACGTGAGGAGAGCATGAAGGAAAATATTTAGGATTGGACTCGTGTAACAACAGACTCATAGTGGGCAGTTCACATGAAAAAAAGAGATGCAAATCAATGAAGCAGAATTATATATATATATATATAAGATAAGACTTTATTTATCCCGGAGGAAATTGTTGTGCCAGAGTTACAAAAATACAATAAACACAGCAGCATAATAGTAAAACTGTACACTAACAGTGCAATGAAATATCTACAGGGAACACAGATGGTCACATAGTTAAAGTGGACCTATCATGCTATATTTGAATAATATAGTGTAGGACCATACCTATATAAGGCATATTTATACTTTTTTCTTTTCAAAATACCAAACAGATCATGCATTTTAGCCATGCCTCATTTTGCTCTATTTGAAAATGTTAGCTCTGTTTTAGCAAGGGCTGATTCTGTGAGAACAGCACCATATACAGGCCTGGCATATGTACTACAGCGTCTCCAGCGCTTTAGAACGGCAATGGCCGTGGCTGTCTCCTCCTGATTGGTGGAGTTGGCCCAATAGCCGTAGCGCCACCGTCCTGACGTCAGGACAGTGTTCAAATCTCAGTTTTTATCAGATCCGTTGCAGCCCCTTTTTTAGAGATTTGGGTATGGAGGAAAATAGAGAGGGTTGTGTTTTCTGACACTTGGTGAGTTCCCTGGAACACCGGGGACACATATTCATGTATACAAGACGTACAAAAGTGCATTTTGCATGATAGGTCCCCTTTAATGTAAATATTACCAGTATTTAGTTGTGCAAAAAAACGTAGTGGCAGAAACGTAATTGCACGTTATCATAGCACATTATTCATAATAATAATATTGCACATTTTGCAGACATTCTTTATTTTGGTCCTGTTGTCTGTCACACACAACATCTTCAGTTCTCTCCTTAATAGGACACCTTTTCTTAGCTAAGGGACTTATTTAAGGGTGTTGCACAATATCTCTTTAAAGGTTCTCAGTAAGGGAAGTTACTATTGCGTTCAGAAAGATTTTACCCTTGAAATATTACAGTTTCCATAAAGAGTGTAAATGGTAAAGATGGCAGGAGTAGAGAAGGAAAGAAATAACCAAATGATTTTACCTGTACTAAAAACTTTAATTTGATCTGCAAATAACACAAAAGCAAAAGCAACAAATGTGGGTTAGAAGGGAATCAAAGAAAATTGATTTACTGTAAGAAGTAGAGATACACATTTTGTTCCGGCCATAAAGGGGATGAGTTAATACAGGAATAAATCCAACAACATAATATCTAAGAATAACTTTAAATTGTTATATGACTGACAAGAAAAATCTGTACTAAAAATATAGTGAAGTGTTAAATGAATTGCTCAAATGTAAGCACATCCATTGACTTAATTTGAATTCTATGTTTTTTGTTTACTGTGGTTACTAAGTTAAATTTTTGGTTAAACAAACTTAAAGGTACGTATAGGACCAAGGAGAAACACCTTAAATACTTAGGTGAACCTTTTAAAGTAACCTAAATGTAAGGAGAGGACTTAAGTATGTAATTATAGTATTTTAATGCTTCTACCAGACTGTGGTCAGTTTTATTTCCCATGTTCATAATAATAATAATAATAATAATTCATTATATGTTTTCCTTTCAAAGCACCCTTACAATTCATAAAATGAGCTTTAAGACAGTACAAAAGGACGTAACAGGGAACATGTAGGGAGACATTAAGTAGCCTGATCTGAACAGGTGGGCTTTGAGGAGGGACTTGAATGTGGTGATTGTGTCAGACTGTCGGATATGGTATGTATCTCTTCCTCCCCCCACAGTGCCAGTGAGTCGTGGGTGTCGTCGCTCCCCGGGCAGGCCTGGAGGACCCGGGTTGTGGAGAAGCTCCGCTCTCTGGGCGTGGGTCACATCCTGCTCCTCCTGCAGTGCTTCATCTCCGCCATGGCCAACATCTACAACGAGAAGATCCTCAAGGAAGGAGACCAGCTGGCCGAGAGCATCTTCATCCAGAACACCAAACTGTGAGAGAGTGTTCTTATCGCTTAAAGAGATAGTATTAGAAACCCCATGGGTAAACAAGTACTGGACATAAAATACACACTGTTTTCACACATCCATGTAAATATATGTAATGTGTATATGACCCAAATATGTATATATGTTCATTTTAATTCATTTCTTATTTTAAAGTTACTTAAGTGTATATAATTCAGCATCTTCATTCAGAACAGCAAACTGTGATAGGCCGCTTAAAAAGAGATAGTATTATCAGAATCAGAATCAGAATACCTTTAGACTAGGAAACAGAGGGGACATGTACATTGTTACAGCAGAAAAGAGCCAAAGACAGCTTATTAATGTCAACTAAGAATCATGCATACACAAATATGAAAGAAAGAATCGCACAATTGACAAAATACACATCCTGTAACAGTTCTGAAACAGAGATGGCAGAAGTACACACATCCTTTACTCAAGTAGAAGTACAGATACTCGTGTTTAAAAATACTCTGGTGAAAGTAGAAGTACTGACTAAACTTCTTTACTCAAGTCAAAGTAAAGAGGGCTTTGAAATGTACTTCAGTAAAAAGTACCCATAACTAGCAGCTGTTTTAAAGAGTACCTGACCTCCCTTTATATTAATAGAACAATAATGTCATTGTTAGCTAATGAATGTTTCCATGCTGAACAACGGCAACATGACAACGTTTTCATTGGTCCCTCTTCTTTAGAGAAGACCAGGAAATGATGGATACACGGATCGTGTTCAAATCAATAGGCACGCAATGACTCTAAATAATAATGATCACGCCACCAAACACACATTCAAACTAAAGGAACCAGCCTGTTTGGGAAATGTGAGAAGTAGAAAGTACAGGTATTTGTGTTCAACATGTGAGAAGTAGAAAGTACAGGTATTTGGGTTCAACATGTAAGAAGTAGAAAGTACAGGTATTTGTGTTCAACATGTAAGAAGTAGAAAGTACAGGTATTTGTGTTCAACATGTGAGAAGTAGAAAGTTCAGGTATTTGAGTTCAACATGTAAGAAGTAGAAAGTACAGGTATTTGTGTTCAACATGTAAGAAGTAGAAAGTACAGGTATTTGTGTTCAACATGTAAGAAGTAGAAAGTACAGGTATTTGAGTTCAACATGTAAGAAGTAGAAAGTACAGGTATTTGTGTTCAACATGTAAGAAGTAGAAAGTACAGGTATTTGTGTTCAACATGTAAGAAGTAGAAAGTACAGGTATTTGTGTTCAACATGTAAGAAGTAGAAAGTACAGGTATTTGTGTTCAACATGTAAGAAGTAGAAAGTACAGGTATTTGTGTTCAACATGTAAGAAGTAGAAAGTTCAGGTATTTGTGTTCAACATGTAAGAAGTAGAAAGTACAGGTATTTGTGTTCAAAATGTAAGAAGTAGAAAGTACAGGTATTTGGGTTCAACATGTAAGAAGTAGAAAGTACAGGTATTTGAGTTCAACATGTAAGAAGTAGAAAGTTCAGGTATTTGTGTTCAAAATGTAAGAAGTCAAAGTAAAAAGTCGTCAGAAAAATAAGTAGTGGAGTAAAGTACTGATACCAGAGAAATGTACTTAAGTACAGTAACAAAGTATTTGTACTCCACTACTTCCCCCCTCTGATCTGAAGATATAGCAGCCAGGTATATATATATAAACCACATGTGTAAACTCAATGCTAATCGTAGCTCTTCTCTCGATGTTTCTGCAGGTATGGTTTCGGCGTGGTGTTTAACGGTCTGACTCTGGTTCTGGGTCGAGAGGCTCGAGGTCTCACGGTTCACTGCGGTCTGATGCACGGACACAACGTCTTCTCTCTGGGGCTGGTGCTGGTCACTGGTGAGTGCTGCGGATCAATAACACCTCCTTATACATACAGTAAACGACTAAATACGTGATTTGTTAGTTTTCTTTCTAAACGACTGAGGTGTTTCTGATCTGAGATGATAGTTTACATGACATGTCACTTTTATCCAAAGCAACTTACATACTCAATACTGTGAGCAATCACCACAGAAGCAATTTGGGGTGAAGTGTCTTCAGGGACTCAACGACATGCTGACTGCAGTGGGGTTTGAACCTGTGCTCCCCTGATCCCAACACCTACGCACTAGTCCACTGCAACACACGCCTTCTTTCAATGGCATCATATAGGTTTCTACACAAAATATAAAACATCTTCCAAATTGAAAATAACAACAATATATTAACAAAAATGTATGAGAACATTTGAATAAATCGGATTATTAAAATGATCAAGCTTTTTTGAACGGGATGACTAGAGAAAAGGCTAAATTGTGATTTAGAATTGATATCGGGAAAAAGGACTTTGGCCATATCCGCCAGGCCTAATGCAACAAGTCATTAGTATGTATTATGAATAAATCCATGCTTGTTATGCTGAGCTAGGCTAACAGCTTCTTTCTGTAGCTTCACATGTAACAGACTGATCTTCTAACGCTAGGCGAACATAAAAGCATATTTCCCTGAAGGTCTTAAGGAGGCAACTTAGTTCAATCAGGAGAGACTTCATTTAGTTTAAAGAACATTTATTGACACATGCCATATGATAAATGTTAAGTCTTTGGCGATTAGACCCCGATCCTGAAATCGTATATCTAAAGGGGGAAATGCAGCCGTGTCTAGACACTTGTGGTGATGTTGAAGATCTGGATTTGATGAGGAGATGGGATGAAGAGGGGATGTGATGAGGTCTAGCTCTCCTGGCACTGGATGTGATGAAAGGAGGTGGATAGGATGGGGAGGAGGTGGAGGAGGTGGATGATGAAAGGAGGTGGGGGGGGGAGGTGGAGGAGGTGGATGATGAAAGGAGGTGGGGGGGGGAGGAGGCGGGAGGCAGCATGAACACCTGGAATCACAGCTGACTGCAGGAGAGAGGAGAACCATTTTAAAGTGTGGCTGCAGCACAGTGATTGGCTGCTGGAGAATGAGGTGAAAGTAATAGGTTATAGAGAACGCCCGTGATGAGCTGATTATATGCAGCTGCGGAGTGAATGTATATATACCCAGTCTTCCTGAAAGAACTTGCGCTGAGCTTCTTATAGCTGCTAGAAGTGAGGAAGCAAACCTTTATCTACCATTTCTAAGAAGGAAAAGACTCAACAGGTCAGTGGTCAGCCACAAACTGTTCTTTCTGTTGTCGTCTGGCAGACGTCACCGCAGCATCCTGGCAAAGACAAAAAGATTCGGAGACAGTTTCTTCCCGCGGGCAGTGAGACTGTTAAACAATTGAACTGCTGAAACAATTTCATAACATTCATCTGCTACTTAGTAATATATATCTACTATCTAATATATATCATTCCAATAACTTGTATATAGACTCGTACTGCACTATTCCACATACTCACTTTATTTTAGAACTATTTTTCTTTTTGTATTGCTCTTGCTATCTGTATTATTATTATGTTGTATTGTTGGAGAAGCCTGTGACATAAGATTTTCAACAACATAATTACTCTGTAGCTATGTCAGATTGACAATAAAGAACCTTGAACCTTGAACCTTGAACCTGGTGATAGGACAGAATCAGGCATCATCCGCTCTAGCTATTAAACGTAAACGCAAAGGCATTTCAAAGACATTTCTTATAGTAATTTGTGAACTCTTGCATTGCTTATAAGAGCTCACTTGTCAGGTCAACTTTTCAAAGCATTTTTTCTAATTTCTGCATTTGTATAGCCAATGCTGTTGTTTATATGGTAAGGGCTTTGACTAGATAACTGTCTCTTAATAAAAGATGCAGAGTTAGTCAAACAATTTAAAGGATAGGGTAGGTAATTCACTTCAGAAACACTTTGTTATATTCCATGGAATGCTCTTAACATCCCGATAGCAATGAATATCTGAAGTGCTTTGACAATAAATATATACAAAAATATCATCTGTGGAAGCCGTGGCGCTGTAAAAAGCACGACCAATCATCTGAGCCGGCCCGGCTAAAATAACTGGATGGCCTACCTGCCTGTCAGCCTTCCATCTGTGCACAAACTTATCTCGTGCCCTCATTGGTCATGTGCGCGTTCGTGTGTGTTGGAGGAGGGGCTCTGTGAGGAAGTCTGAAGGAAGGGGCAGATTTTTTCCGGTTGTGTATTTTCAAATTCTAGCGCACTCGAGCTGGTTTCTCCATTCTTACCTACCCTACCTTTAAAGCTTTTATAGATAAATGAAGACATTCTTAGTGCACATTTCTTGAAAACCTCTCCCTCTTCCCCTCTGTTCTCCTCAGCTGCTCTGGGTTTATTGGTGGGCTTCATCCTGAAGTTCAGAGACAACATGTTCCACGTTCTGACGGGTCAGATCAACACGGTGCTCGTCACCGGCCTCTCCTTCTTCCTCTTCAACTTCCACCCCTCGCTGGACTTCTTCTTGCAGGCGCCCGTGGTGCTGCTGGCCATCTTCATCTACAACGCCAGCAAGCTCAAAGACCTGGAGTTCAGCCTGCAGCAGGAGAAGCTGAGGGTCATCAACGGGGAGGTGTTCGAGAGGTCCAGAGGGGTACGTAGAAAGAACCTCACACACACTCAGAGTCACTTCCCTCACACACACTCAGCGTCACTTCCCTCACACACTCAGCGTCACTTCCCTCACACACTCATCGTCACTTCCCTCACACACTCATCGTCACTTCCCTCACACACTCATCGTCACTTCCCTCACACACTCATCGTCACTTCCCTCACACACTCATCGTCACTTCCCTCAGTCATCGTCACTTCCCTCACACACTCATCGTCACTTCCCTCAGTCATCGTCACTTCCCTCACACACTCATCGTCACTTCCCTCAGTCATCGTCACTTCCCTCACACACTCATCGTCACTTCCCTCAGTCATCGTCACTTCCCTCACACACTCATCGTCACTTCCCTCACACACAGTGGAAAGAACTGGGGACTCAGGGACAGTTTTATCCCACAGACAATAATACTATTAAACACCTGAGCTCTGTGAAGTGCCTCGATAAACATTCATCTGTTTGTCATCTTGCAATCTACTTGTTTATATAAATAGTTATCGCCGCAATAAACCGTATTTAATTAGTCTTAATCAGGGACGTGCACAGGTACGGGCTAATGTTGCCAACATAATAAGCATTTTCCATCTTTGGCTGACCTGCCCCTCTGGAGAGAGCGAACGTCTTTTTTTCTGTTGTGGCCGAATCAACATAATAAGCCCACAATTAGTATTGTAGCGTCTCGCAGTGATAAAACACACCTTGTCAGCGCGCAGCACCGTCATCTGCCACCAGTCACGTGACTTTGTTTACAATCTGACAGCTGGAAGCAAAGGAAAGCCCTCCGGCGGCCAGCCTCATATGGCTATGGTGATCATACCAAATGCCTGCCTGGCTTTGGTGGCCAATCCCCGGCTCAATCTGTCCCCAGAAATGTCCCTGTTTTTAAAGTGGACCTATCATGGTATATTTAAATGGTATATTGTAGGGCCATACCTATATAAGGTATATTTATACGTTTCTGTTTTCAAAATACCAAACAGATCATGCATTTCAGCCATGCCTCATTTCGCTCAATTTGACATGTTTTAGCAAGGGCAGATTCAGTGAGAACAGCACCACCTACAGGCCTGGCATATGTACTACAGCGTCTCCAGCGCTTTCGAACGGCAATGGCCGTGGCTGTCTCCTCCTGATTGGTGGAGTTGGCCCAATAGCCGTAGCGCCACTGTCCTGACGTCAGGACAGTGTTCAAATCTGGATCAGTTTTTATCAGATCCGTTGCAGCCCCTTTTTTAGAGATTTGGGTATGGAGGAAAATAGAGAGGGTTGTGTTTTCTGACACTTGGTGAGTTCCCTGGAACACCGGGGACACATATTCATGTAGAAAAGACGTACACAAGTGCATTTTGCATGATAGGTCCCCTTTAAATATGCTTTATAAACACATAGCAAGGTGAAATACAATGGTAACAAAGTTGATGTTTCAATGGCGTGGTGCTTGTTCGCAGCAATACAATTATTGTTAGCGTTAGCATTTAGCATTAGCAGCCTCATTCTTCTTCTACTACTTCTTCTTATATGTAATTGCCCGCAAAAACTTTGAATGAATATCTCGTTTCAGTGTGAACTCATTCCTCAGTATGACCACAAAAGTGTTTTAAACCAGGTACGTTTTTATTATTTATGTTCTATATCGCTATGTGTGTGATTACATGTTTTACATATTGTATTGGTGCCGGTGCGTTAAAGACCCAGGGACGTGCACAGACATTTGGAGGGGCTATATTATTATCAGTATGTCTGCACAGCAGTTACAATGGTTCAAACTACATTGAAACAGAATTGTCCCCATTTTTTCTTTAATAGTTATAACATTACATATTTTAATGAGATAAAAAACAAAAAATGTCCCTTGTTTTCATTAAAAAAATCAAGTCACTGAATGCAAGTAGTCGCCTTAGCTTATTTTGTTAAGAGATGATGATGTGAATTACTGTTCAAATTAGGTAATGTAATAATCGTTTGGTTATTTTATGCATAGCCTATTCAAATCAAATCAAGGTTTATTTATAAAGCACATTTATAAAGCGATTTTTGGTCGGGCCAAAGTGCTGTACATGTAATAACTACAATCACATAAAAACACATTTCTATAATCACAATAAAAGACAATAAATTACAACAGAAATATAAAAACAAAAACACAGGGAAAAGTCGTGCTCCACTCTGACTAGAAGGCCAGGGAGAAGAAGTGAGTTTTTAGTTTAGATTTAAAAACCCCTAGGGTCTGGGCCGACCTCACATGGAGGGGCAGAGTGTTCCAGAGCCTGGGGCCAGCTGCTGCGAAGGCTCGGTGCCCTCGGGTTTTGAGCCTGGTCTTGGGCACTACCAGCAGCAGCTGGTCAGCCGACCTTAAAGCTCTGGCTGGGGTGTAGCGCTGGAGGAGTTCAGCTATATAGGCCGGAGCCAGCCCATTTAGTGCTTTGAAAACAAATAAAAGGAGTTTAAAATCAATTCTGAACCGAACTGGAAGTCATTTCTGTGCTTAAGAATGCCTTCAAGACAGAGGAGACTGAAGCAGAGAGAGGTATCTGAAGCAGGCAGCTAAAAGGACTGCAGCTTTGCAGAGCTGGATAAAAGGTGCCAGCAGGGCAGCTGCAGGTGAAGCACTGTGCTTTACAAAACAAATTAAAAGACTTTTTATGAATAAATACAGTAAAAACACATTATACAAAAGTGAAAGCACCTCCAGAATTAGTTTTTTTGCTACAGCTACCAAACCCCACCGATCCAGCCCATGTTCAGAAGAACAATATCAAGTACAATGAGGCCTTCGTCAAATGTTCAAACTCAATTGGACCCTGTCGTCCTCTGGTCCAGTTCCCAAAAAATCAAGATGGGCGGTCTTTTCAGGGCCACTGGTATGATGCAAACCCCTGGTTGGAGTATTCTCCACAGAATGATGCTGTGTACTGCTTCAGCTGTCGCATTTTAATGAGTGACGATACGCACAAGAGTAGGTCTACATGGAAGTCTGGAGGTGTAAACAGGCAAAAGTACGAATGAAGGAGCACTGCTGCAGTGAATCGCACATGATTGGCATGACCAGGTGGAATAAATATAAGATGAATCCATTGGACATGGCTTTGGCAGTAGCAGATTGGCAGATGCAAGCAGCAAAAGAAAGGGAGAGGCAGAAAAACAGAGAGATCATCTTCCGGTTAATAGAGATCACATTATATCTTGCAAGACAAGGCTTGGCCTTCAGGGGTAGAGATGAAAGGGGGGGGGTGCCTTTTTCCAGTTAGAGCAATAGCCCCTCCAAATGTCTGCACGTCCCTGGTCTTAAGGGATGAAATTAAACAATGTACTGTTACGTGGGTCAGTGGTGGAATTTCGTTACGCTTTCGTTGGGGCTAACAAAATTCCACCACTGACCCAAATAGAACACGAAAGACACCTTTTAAAATCATCGAATCCATCGGATTTATTATAACCAACACATCAAATGTTTAAAGGGGACCTATCATGCAAAATGCACTTTAGTACGTCTTGTATACATGAATATGTGTCCCCGGTGTTCCAGGGAACTCACCAAGTGTCAGAAAACACAACCCTCTCTATTTTCCTCCATACCCAAATCTCTAAAAAAGGGGCTGCAACGGATCTGATAAAAACTGATCCAGATTTGAACACTGTCCTGACGTCAGGACGGTGGCGCTACGGCTATTGGGCCAACTCCACCAATCAGGAGGAGACAGCCACGGCCATTGCCGTTCGAAAGCGCTGGAGACGCTGTAGTACATATGCCAGGCCTGTAGATGGTGCTGTTCTCACAGAATCAGCCCTTGCTAAAACAGAGCTAGAAATGGTCAAATTGAGCAAAATGAGGCATGGCTAAAATGCATGATCTGTTTGGTATTTTGAAAAAAAAAAAGTATAAATATGCCTTATATAGGTATGGTCCTACACTATATTATTATAATATAGCATGATAGGTCCACTTTAAGTATCCATCCTAGGATGAGAGGCAGAAACACAGCAGTCCCCACACCAGAGGCCTCCCTCTTCTGCTGCTGCACTGGAGCTTTTAAGCACTTCCTTTTCCAGGTGCACCTCGTCTGAACCTCGTTACAGCAATGCAGCACACCTGGGTAGAGGAACCAACGGGAACAAGAAACAGGGAATACATACAGCCGTAACAGTACATTATTTAATTTCATATTCTGTTCTTGTGCTAGTCTATTTACATGAATATAGACTTCTTGCACTATTTTGTATTTTTGTATTTTATTATACATGTTGCATCGTTGGAGGAGCTCAGGTCAGAAGAATTTCATTGCCATTTCTACTCTGTAGCTTTGAGCATATGACAATAACACCTTTGAATTTTGAATCCTCACACACACACATACCAAGCTCTCTGTAGGAAACTTGGCTCTCATTTCTCTATAATGTGATTTCTTCAGTGCTGCAGGAAACCTAATGCTCTATGAAAACAGCATAAGTGCTTTAACTCATGTAATTACATCAGCTCGATGCAGTCTATTGGATTTTGTAAGAGGAACAGATCTCTGGAGTCTTTGTGAGGACAGCGGCCTGAAGTTAGCAGGACTTTGAGGTCCTAAAACCCAGAAATTAGTCTGCTTTGCTAGGTTTTTTTGTGTGTATGTTACAAGTTGGGTCTCTGCTTGTAACAAAAAGGACAACAGTTCCACACAGGAGTTGCCCAAAACAATCATTTATTTATCCCAACACACTGGTTTACAACTAACAATTCAACACACAGAGGAGCGCTGGCCTGGTGCACCGAGCAGGGCAGCCGAGAGAGAGAGAGAGCGAGAGCCTGTTCTGCAGCCCTCTTAAATACTGGAACCAGGTGCCACAGGTGGGTCTCATCACTCCTGATTACAAGGAAAAACCCAGGTTACAACAGCACCACATGGTGGACAATCTCAGGGTTGTCACAGTGGTTAACACAAGCTGAAGAGATTTTAATGTTTTATTCTACTACATAAAATATGTCAGTAAATACCCCACTGGTGAATTAAAAAAAACGGCGGTTGCTAACAAGTGTTTAAATGAGACGACTAAACTTCATCAAGCCCAACATTAGCCGCCTTTAGCTTAGCGGTGGTGACGTGAAGTCATGTGACCGTGCTGTAGTTCCTTTATAGCCCAACATTAGCCACCTTTAGCTTAGCGGTGGTGACGTGAAGTCATGTGACCGTGCTGTAGTTCCTTTATAGCCCAACATTAGCCTCCTTTAGCTTAGCGGTGGTGACGTGAAGTCATGTGACCGTGCTGTAGTTCCTTTATAGCCCAACATTAGCCACCTTTAGCTTAGCGGTGGTGACGTGAGGTAATGTGACCGTGCTGTAGTTCCTTAGCCTTCACTTCTGGCTATTACATTTACACTTCAAAAATCTTAAAGGGGTGTTTATGCGAAGAATATCCTGCTAAACAACATTTGAAATGATCATAAACATTTGTTTGTCACAGAGCTTTTTATCTGGCTTTTTGTCATAGAAAACAGGGAGATGCTAACTTCCACGTCGTCTTACAATAACACATCATCACTGCACCTCTCCATTTAGGAACTTAATTTGAAGGGCTAATACTAACATGTTTATCTGAGAAATACTGTATTTCTCAGTACTGTTTGTCCACTCGATGCATTTCAATCTTCTCTTCATGTGTTTCTGTTGCAGGACGGAGAGGAACTGGAGCTCCTGGCGAAGACCAACACAGACAGTGAATCTGAAGAAGAGTCTTTGTAGTTCAGATGTATTCCTCTGAGCATGCGGCTATTACCAAGCTGCAGTATAGACTCATGGACACAGAACAGTGGCGTAACTATCGACGGTCTTTTAAAAAAAAAAATAGAACAAGGAGATGCAACGGCTAAACTGACGAAATTAGACCGTTTTTTTTGTCATACATCGTCCTCGAAATCTCGATTAATTCTGTAAAGTGATTGTGTGATTAGTTCGCTGTGCCGTTGTCAGGCTGTGGTGGTCTGAGGCCAATCACCGGGGCCAATCACAACCTTGTTACGCCACTGACGCAGAATGTGTCCGTCCGAGCATTTATTTCAATTAAGTCAGCGGCGGATAAACGTGAATGACAGTGTTAAAGTGGGATGATTTCTCTCAGACACTTGTGATATCTAAGGCTATTGTGTATATATTGAAATGTGCCTATCATTGCCTAGTGTTGTCATTAACGTGGAAGAAACTCTAGTAGGCTTACTGTATACATCACGGGGGAATAATTGCCATTTTATGCCATTTTTGGTGAGGGTTTCTGTCATTTCTTTCTCGTATGATTCCTGTTGTATTAGCTTTTTGATTGCTTGCAGGTGATTCATTGGTTTGACGACCAGACAGCTTTTTGTGTTTTTTTGGGGGCTTTTGTGCCCTTTTTCGGACATGGACAGTGTACATGGCTCCAATGCAGATTGTTTTTTGATTGTTTAAGGCTTTGTACTGTTTTAATTGCTGTTTGCACTGTTTACAAATAAGTGTTTGTTCAATACAAGGTCAATATTTAAACAATAGTCCAAATTAAAGCACCACTTTTCAGTGCATAGCCACATACTCAAAATACATTACCAAAAATATACATTACAAAGTACGTCAATGATAGTATTTTCTACATTATGAACCAGCAGGAGCATTTACAGAACGTCTAAAAGCACAACAAAGTGATTCTTGGTTCTCTTACTTTGCCTTAAAAGTTGTGTTTTTTTGGGTCACATGGTAGTGATGTGGTTAAACTGTGAAATACATGAATATATATTTTAAGATTCTTCTTGTGCCATAAAATGTTGACATGTATAAATGCTTGTTGTTCTGAAATAAACTGCAAGGAAAATTGACGGAGAAAAAGGTAAATTCATGTTCAGAAAAAGAACATGTGTGGATTAAAATGCACCTAATGACTGCTCTTAGAGGTTAAACTTGGACTCATTAGGCCACTAGGAGGCGCTGTAGGCTAACATGTTCATGCAATGACGAAGTTAAGACTGAAAAGTTGCATGTGTATTGACAAACTCTGCAAAGAAAGCAATTCACAGACAACTACCAGTAGTAAACAAATGTTTATTTGTCATATAGCACAATAGAGTATAAATAAGAACACTTTATAGCAACAGAAACTTTACAAAAGAGAAATGAAAAGACAGCTTCTTTTCATAAAATAAGCAAATAACTGCACCTCAAATGCAACAGAAGTCCAATAAATACATATATGTCTTATCTTAGCCTATTATCTACAAAATAAAGGTCTGAACTGATAAAAATGAATATGTTAATTTGACCTGGAAGGCAAGTGAAGGAGACAGGGAACGTGAAGAAAACAGATCTCATCTACACATTTACTGACTAGCCGACTCTGATTTAAGTTCCTTAATCACCAATACTCTGCAGCATACTATGCAATATATATATTTAAGATGTGGAAAGGTGAAAGCAACAGGTGACGCTTTCACTAAGTGCTACATTACATTCAGGGAGGAGGTGGAGGGCGGGAAGTAGTGGAGTACAAATACTTAGTTGCTGTACTTAAGCTGTACTTTCTACTTCTCACATTTCCCAAACAGGCTGGTTCCTTTAGTTTGAATGTGTGTTTGGTGGCGTGATCATTATTATTTAGAGTCATTGCGTGCCTATTGATTTGAACACGATCCGTGTATCCATCATTTCCTGGTCTTCTCTAAAGAAGAGGGACCAATGAAAACGTTGTCATGTTGCCGTTGTTCAGCATGGAAACATTCATTAGCTAACAATGACATTATTGTTCTATTAATATAAAGGGAGGTCAGGTACTCTTTAAAACAGCTGCTAGTTATGGGTACTTTTTACTGAAGTACATTTCAAAGCCTCTTTACTTTGACTTGAGTAAAGAAGTTTAGTCAGTACTTCTACTTTTACCAGAGTATTTTTAAACACTAGTATCTGTACTTCTACTTGAGTAAAGGATGCGTGTACTTTTGCCCTCTCTGAGGAAAAGGAAAGAAGTGATGGCTGAATGTAAAGAGGATCCTCAGGGAAATGTTAGTACCCATAACCCTGGTGATACCATCCTGGTGTCCATGTTCATATCCATGTTGGTGATATCCATACCCTCCGTACTCGTCCTCAGGGACGTACTATGCAATATATATATTTAAGATGTGGAAAGGTGAAAGCAACAGGTGTGACGCTTTCACTAAGTGCTACAAAACATTCAGGGAGGAGGTGGAGAATAGGGTAGGAAAGAAGTGATGTCTGAAAGTACAGAGAATCAACAGCAGGGCATAACTGAAGTGTTTAGAGGATGGGAAGGAAAGAAGTGATGGAAAGCAAGAGGATCCTCAGGGAGATGTTACTCTTATCTTATCTTAGTACCCATAACCCTGGTGATACCCATCCTGATATCCATGTTGGTGGTATCCATATCCTCCGTACTCGTCCTCAGGACATCTCATGCCCAGTGACTGCTGGATGGCCATCTCCTGCCTGCGCAGCTGCATGGAGTCCACCAGGTCGTAGATGATGGCCATGGAATACATGGGGGAGGGGTACCAGGACTTCACGTTTCCATCCTTCCCCACTAACAGCATGGAGAAATACTCTGGGCTGACCTGGAAGTAGTTCCTCATGTCTTTCACCAGAGCGCCGGACATTCCTTCTCGCTCCACAGTGGCACTGCCTGGATGGGGAACACATGGGGATTAAAGATCTCCTATTGTACTGTTCTTCAACAATATATCACAGGTCTCAGATATATACAGAGCCTGTCTCTGATTGGCTGAAACACCAAACAGATCATTGCAGCATCCCATAATCCCCTCTGTTTCAGCCCTGTTTCCAAAGTGCTGATTCTCTGTCTGTTACTTTAGATGAAAATAAGGAGCCCCTCCCCACGCCCCTCTGAGAGAGATTTGGGTAAAAATAACTCAATGGTGCTCTAGGAGGGGATTCAGGTGATAAGGTGGGGGGGGGGTACCTTGGTTGGTGATTGGCTAATGGTTACACAAGACAAAACATCGTTATGACATCATAAATTGGCCAAAATCTGATCAGCTCATTTTCAGACAAGTTTTTATAGAAATGGATCAAAAAGAGAGAGAATCTTTGTTCCTGAAACTTTCAGAGTCTCTTTCCACAGAGGGGACACATGTTGATGTAGAAGAGACATGAAGAAGAGGGGACACATGTTGATGTAGAAGAGACATGAAGAAGAGGGGACACATGTTGATGAAGAAGAGACATGAAGAAGAGGGGACACATGTTGATGAAGAAGAGACATGAAGAAGAGGGGACACATGTTGATGTAGAAGAGACATGAAGAAGAGGGGACACATGTTGATGTAGAAGAGACATGAAGAAGAGGGGACACATGTTGATGAAGAAGAGACATGAAGAAGAGGGGACACATGTTGATGAAGAAGAGACATGAAGAAGAGGGGACACATGTTGATGTAGAAGAGACATGAAGAAGAGGGGACACATGTTGATGTAGAAGAGACGTGAAGAAGAGGGGACACATGTTGATGAAGAAGAGACATGAAGAAGAGGGGACACATGTTGATGTAGAAGAGACATGAAGAAGAGGGGACACATGTTGATGTAGAAGAGACATGAAGAAGAGGGGACACATGTTGATGTAGAAGAGACATGAAGAAGAGGGGACACGTGTTGATGTAGAAGAGACATGAAGAAGTGGATTTTGCATAATAGGTGACCTTTAAGATATATAAACATGTGTTTTATTTTTACAAAGAAAGGAAATGCCATGTTTTCCTTTGAAGACTGGTTTGATATTTACGGTATCTACATATTCCTTGCTTGTTCTTCTTGTTTATGATCAATGTTATAAGGGAACATGTTCAATAAAAACACTTGATTTACTGTATCTACATATGCCACAGGATAACAACGTGAATGACGTACAATATTATGACTTTTTATAAATATTTTATGACAAATTATACTGTCAATTATTACAACATATGACTTCTTACAAAAATAATTTGATATACTATACTATGACTTTTTTTTTTTTTATATATTCTTTAAAGACATTAGGGTTAGGGTTTTTTTTTATTATAGTGTGACTTTTTTATTATAGTGTGACTTTTATGACTTACTATACTAAGAATTTGTACTACATACTTGTACAAAAGTTTAACGACATGCTATACAACTACTTTTTACAACAAAAAATACTATGACTTATTATTGGATATTATACTATGACTTTTTATAAAACATTTTTGACATACTATACAATTACTTTTTAGGACATAATCAACATGACTTTTAATTATAATTGTTGGAGAATAATTTGCTTAGGTATTCAACCTTTGACACAGTTCATCATTTTCTCCTCTCACTGTCTCCTTTCCCACGGCATAGGTCTACGGCCTGGGGTATGGCTGCTATCTCTCTTAAGGAGCAGCAGCTTGGGCGCATTGTTGTTGCCAGCTTATGACCGAGCACAAGCCGCCATGAGATAGTTTACTGTTCAGGGACGTAGGTTCCCTGGCGCACGTTCTTTTCTAACGACGACAGCTCTAGTTAAATTCAGGGTCCATATTGCTTTAGTCTCGCTGATAAAGAATGTTGATTATTACACTCTGAACTAGATAAAACCTCAAACTACAGGAGGGTTCTTCAGAATTGATTTGGCATCTCAACCATGTGGTCAACTCGTGGCCCGTGACATGTCTTGTGAATTCTCCGGCCCAAGCTCCAAATAAACCGTCAGTGTTTGCCATCAAAGCTCCAGCTCTCCTCGTGTCTCTCTGAGTCCTGACTCCAAATGCTTCAGAAGTTTCCCACACAATAATTTAATGTTTTATGCAATACTCTATGCTGATGCTATACTAGGTCTCTTTATAACATAATATAATATTTGTATCACGTCTCTATGACATAATAAGACCCATTATGTTGAATGCTGATGCGTAGAAACTGAAACACTATCCTGTACGTTATCTCATTAACGGACTGAGTGTCAGTAAAATGAGGTATTATATGGACTATAATGTATGTTTTTGACATTATTTTATAAGAGAAACTTCTTACCATTGATAGGATAAAGTTCCAGGACTCCACCAATGTCTGCCAGGTCCGTGCCGACCAACTTCAAAATGGCGATGTGCCGAAGACCTGTTCCAACGAGACAATAACAAACATTTTGAGAACAAACAACAGAGAGAAATGTGTCTTAACCCTTTAGAGTCCTGGGCTCCTTTGGCTGTTTTCGCAGACTTTTGATTTGTCTTACTAAACCCTGTTAAGAAATGTTTAGCATGTCAATGTTTGGTATCTATCTTTTTAAGGCAACCTCACCTATATAAACTGATAGTTCGTTTTGGACCCAAAATCGCACAAAAAAACGTAAAAACAGATTTTGAAAATGATATTATTTGTACTATAGGTAACACAAACATGCACAACGAAACATTTTGAAAGCTGGAAGTATATACCTGGGATGTCACTGTGATAATGTAAACGTTTGATTGAGGTAGCATGACCCGAAATACACATTTTATGAACAAAAAGCAGGTGTATCCAGAGGCGTTTTTTTTTATGAACGGTCTTCTCCTCCTCCATGTCAAGTCAATAAACGAGAACATCATTTCTGAGATATAGCATTTGAGTAACTGTGGAAAAGTTGACTAAGCTTTTTGACAATGTTCTGTCATCTGGGATCCCTCACACACACACACACACACACACACACACACACACACACACACACACACACACACACACACACACCACACACACACACACACACACACACACACACACACACACACACACACACACACACACACACACACACACACACACACACACACACACACAAGTGGTTTAACTTGTACTTTTACAGGCAGTGACAAATAACATGCCAGGGTGAAGTTTAGGTCATGATTAAATATTAGTGCCAGGTTGCATAAAACGCCTTGGCCCTTGAATCTTCATCTAAAAATGTCTTAATATAATAATAAATTATTAGATTAAAATCACCTTGAGGATTTCCTATTTTAGATTGTTGTCTAAATTACGTTTTCGCCGTCTGTGCAATTAAATCACGTTAAAATATGTTCATATGTTCAAAACTTATAGTACCACTGAAAAACCCGTTCTTCTTTCCATAAGTATTTTCTTTGTAGCCCATTTTTTAGACGACAGCTAACACTGACCATACAGGTTTCGAGTATTGTGAGGAGCAGTGGTGTAGTGGTCGTTGGACGCGGGGGGATCGCCGTCCCCCCACTTATTTGGAGCCCCCACTTTTGTTAAGCATGATTTTTTTTTAATAGTCTAATAAATATGAAATCATTGCCAGTGTTATCGGTTGCAAGTGTGTATTTGTTGTAATAATGACGAAACATAATACATTTCACAGTAATTATAATAAAAACGTAGCTCAAGTATTTATGCCACTTGATTTGAAGCGTGTGTGTGTGTGTGTGTGTGTGTGTGTGTGTGTGTGTGTGTGTGTGTGTGTGTGTGTGTGTGTGTGTGTGTGAGGGGCGGCACCGCATTTTTATCATTTGTCCCGCGTCCCACAAATTGAGACTATGTCCCGCATTTGAGTGACAGTCGCGCAGAAAGGCCGGCTTGGTTTGCTGACGGCCGGCACCGCCCTTTATTATTATATTTTTTAAACGGCATCATGTAAGTTTTGCTGACAGGCGACAGAGGTCCACAGTGGTCCCCCCCCCCCCGTTGACAGTTCACGAGCGCGTCCATAGTGTCTCTCCCAAAGTAGCTTGGAGCACAGAAAGAGTAGTCAGTATGTAGTGAGCTCACACAAAAAGGACAGAAAACAGAAAACTCAAAGAGGAAATTCCACACTACACGGACCCACACTTAATAAAAGTGCATGAAAGAGAACACACAGCACAACAACGTCAAAACTAGTGCAAAAGAGAAACTAATTGAGGTGTACTTTAAATCACGAGAACAACATTTCCTAACTTAGCTCTGGTGGTTTCCAGCCAAGCTCTTTTTCTGTGAGACGTGCACTTTCCAGACCTCATGAAGAAAGAGAGTTAATTGGCCAGTGTCGTGTGTTGGTTTTGGACAGAGGTGGGAAGTAGTGGAGTACAAATACTTCGTTACTGTACTTAAGTACATGTTTCTGGTATCAGTACTTTACTCCACTACTTATTTTTCTGACGACTTTTTACTTTGACTTCTTACATTTTGAACCCAAATACCTGTACTTTCTACTTCTTACATTTTGAACCCAAATACCTGAACTTTCTACTTCTTACATGTTGAACACAAATACCTGTACTTTCTACTTCTTACATGTTGAACACAAATACCTGTACTTTCTACTTCTTACATGTTGAACACAAATACCTGTACTTTCTACTTCTTACATGTTGAACACAAACACCTGTACTTTCTACTTCTTACATTTTGAACCCAAATACCTGAACTTTCTACTTCTTACATGTTGAACACAAATACCTGTACTTTCTACTTCTTACATTTTGAACCCAAATACCTGAACTTTCTACTTCTTACATTTTGAACACAAATACCTGTACTTTCTACTTCTTACATGTTGAACCCAAATACCTGTACTTTCTACTTCTCACATGTTGAACCCAAATACCTGTACTTTCTACTTCTTACATGTTGAACACAAATACCTGTACTTTCTACTTCTTACTTGTTGAACACAAATACCTGTACTTTCTACTTCTTACATGTTGAACACAAATACCTGTACTTTCTACTTCTTACATGTTGAACACAAATACCTGTACTTTCTACTTCTTACATGTTGAACACAAATACCTGTACTTTCTACTTCTTACATGTTGAACCCAAATACCTGTACTTTCTACTTCTTACATGTTGAACACAAATACCTGTACTTTCTACTTCTTACATGTTGAACACAAATACCTGTACTTTCTACTTCTTACATGTTGAACACAAATACCTGTACTTTCTACTTCTTACATTTTGAACACAAATACCTGTACTTTCTACTTCTTACATGTTGAACACAAATACCTGTACTTTCTACTTCTCACATGTTGAACACAAATACCTGTACTTTCTACTTCTTACATGTTGAACTCAAATACCTGTACTTTCTACTTCTTACATGTTGAACACAAATACCTGTACTTTCTACTTCTTACATGTTGAACACAAATACCTGTACTTTCTACTTCTTACATGTTGAACCCAAATACCTGTACTTTCTACTTCTTACATTTTGAACACAAATACCTGTACTTTCTACTTCTTACATGTTGAACTCAAATACCTGTACTTTCTACTTCTCACATTTTCCAAACAGGCTGGTTCCTTTAGTTTGAATGTGTGTTTGGTGGCGTGATCATTATTATTTAGAGTCATTGCGTGCCTATTGATTTGAACACGATCCGTGTATCCATCATTTCCTGGTCTTCTCTAAAGAAGAGGGACCAATGAAAACGTTGTCATGTTGCCGTTGTTCAGCATGGAAACATTCATTAGCTAACAATGACATTATTGTTCTATTAATATAAAGGGAGATCAGGTACTCTTTAAAACAGCTGCTAGTTATGGGTACTTTTTACTGAAGTACATTTCAAAGCCCATACTTCTTGACTTTGACTTGAGTAAAGAAGTTTAGTCAGTACTTCTACTTTCACCAGAGTATTTTTAAACACGGGTATCTGTACTTCTACTTGAGTAAAGGATGTGTGTACTTTAACTCTGACTCACCCAGGTTGCAGGCCTGGCTGTTGAGGGCGTAGAGCTGCTGCTGATAGGCCCAGTCCTCATCGTTTGGGGCGGAGATGATGAAGAGGCGACGTCTCCATCGAAACCTGCAATCACACAGAAGAAGAAACTTAAGTGGCGCTTTGCAGCAGCAGAAAAGCTCCGTGCCAAGACAAGAAGTCGTTATTCTTTGCTCGTACACCGACATATTACCATGCTGCCAGAGAGTGACAACCCAGAATTATGGTTACAAAAAAAAGCTGCCAAATTTCAGCGCTGTGATGTGAAGCTGATACTCAGATCTCCATGGGAACAAAAAAGACTTCCTGTGTGGAGAGTAAGTGCCTGCAATGATTCAGCCTTGAGGCACTTTGAGTGATTCTTTAATATCAGAGGAACACACACCGTGCTATCTGTGACATGCAGCTTATAAACACAGTGAATTATGTTCCAGCTGATTATTTGGCAATCAGAAGATGTTTGATGGGACCACCCAATTATCCTGACAACCAACTGCAAAACACTAAACAAAGACACTTTCTGGGATTCAAAGAGCTGCAGATTTCAGACGTCCTGTGCACAAAGCCAGGACACTCAGGAGTGTGCACCAAAAACGTCTAAATTCCACCGAAATATGTAAATGTTGACGAGCCAATTTCATATAATATTTTATAGTGTGTGTGTGTGTGTGTGTGTGTGTGTGTGTGTGTGTGTGTGTGTGTGTGTGTGTGTGTGTGTGTGTGTGTGTGTGTGTGTGTGTGTGTGTGTGTGTGTGTGTGTGTGTGTGTGTGTGTGAATGTTAGTGTCCTTACAGGCTCTCTCTGCCTCTGTATGACTGTTTGTGAATGCCTAAATGCTTTCTTGTACAATGAAAACTTTATTGGGTTGCAAAGACTGCAACACTGCTATAACATTTGTAATCATCAAATAAAATCAATCAATCAATCAATACAAACTTCAAGGACATTGTGAGGACTTCACCTTGACAGGAAGTTCTCCAGAGACCTGGGCTTGTCCTCCTTCTTGCACTCGACCCCGTCTCTCTTCTGCTGCTCCATCTCTCGGATGCGAGAGGAGAACGTGTCGATGTAGTCGAACACGGCCTTCATGGCGATGGGAACCTCGTAGGTTTGCTGAAGAAAAATAGAACATCAACATCAAGACGTGGTTTAACCTCAGAATAAATAAACCGATACAACCAGAGAGAAGAAGAGATCTGGAAGATATGAAAATAGAAAACATCGGTGAAGCTGTTTCCAGTAAAGTGATGAAGTGAAGTTCTTCTAGCAGATGTGGTGCGGCTTTTTCCACATCAAACATCCTGCAGGATCACTTCTGGGAAACAGCACCAGAAGTATCAGCTACATATAACCAGGGAGGGTGACTGCACAAATGTAACATGTAACCTAGTGCAAGTATCACAATATAAGAGCAATATAACCTGATTACTGTCGGTTACTTTTGGACTACCTCAATATCAAATATGCAAATAAGGACAGACCATAAGACTATTAAACACCTGAACTCTGTAAAGAACATCCATAACATTCCTCTGTTTGCATCTTGCTAATTATTTATCTAATATATCATTCAATTTACTTGTATATAGACTCTTCTTGCACTATTTCAATTGTATTTGTATTATGTCCTATATATATATTCATGTTGGAGGAGCCTGTGATTAGGTTTTTCATTGACATATCGCCCGTTTTCTGCTATTGGCTAGCGCTCCGATTACATTGTACGTGATAGGCTAAGGGGCGGGACATCTCTTAACACAGCCGGCCAGCTAACCAATCAGAGCAGACTGGGCTCTGGTTTCAGACAGAGGGTGAAAAGAGGTGCTGCAGCACAGACAGTATGAGAAAAATAAAGAGCTTTTTGAACATTAAAGCCATTTTGCCCCTTTGTATTTCCTAGCCTGAACGTAACACAGCAGCCCATTACATTTACAAAAAGCTAGTTATGTATGTGTGTGTATCTGTGTGTATGTATATGTGTGTGTATGTATGTGTATGTACATGTATGTATATATATATATGTATGTGTATGTGTGTGAATATATATATGTGTTTAAGTAGATGCATGTGTAGATATTTGTCATTTCAAACGACCCCTATATGCACGTTTTCGGGTTTTTTTTGTTTTAAAAATGTTGTTCATTGCCATTTTCGGGTCACTAAAGAGAAATGATTTGCAAAACTGTACTTTTAATATAATGTGTTTTTTTTACAAAAAGCTGAACACTCTGGACATGAGCCACACACACTGTCACACCTTCCTGTGGTTCTGCTGAATCAGCTTCTTTCACACTCTCTCTGTGTCCCACACACACTCTCATACACTCTCTCACACACTCTCTCACACACACTCTCGCCCTCCTGTCTGGGCCTCGGTCAGCACACAGAGAACACTGGCCTCTTTGATTGAAACGTCCAAAAACAGCCTGGAGATTTACCCTGGCATGAACACACACACGTACACACAGGTGTGGGCAAGATGTCATGTCGTGTGATTTAAATCAGTGTGAGAGTGAAGGCGGTGGTTGGACAGGTCAGAGAGCAGCAGAGGATCAAAGAGCTGCTGGTGAACCTGTCAACGTTCATTTATGGAAATAACTCCGGCTGTACTACACATCTTTTTTTACGCAATGTCAATGTTATGCAATATTTTGAGGGGTCAACGCAGCAAAAGGACTGCAATATTATTATTTGCTGAAGGAGTATCAGTAGAAATCTTTTTTTATGTGACTTTTATGTTCAATTCAATGTTATTTTTTGACATGTTAACAGTATACTGAAAGCAGCATAACATTTTTTTCTTTGGACTATGTACATTTTTCTTTGTTTTTGGTAACTTTTTTGTGCAAATAAACCCTTTTTTTATGGTGTGTCTATTGATCGTTAACATTTCTTGGTGCAGGATATTTTTTCTAGGACTATTTGTGCAAATAAGCCTTTTCAGAACTTCCTTATTTGTTCGTTAACATTTCAATATGTCGACTATATTTCTTAGATTTTTTTGCAAATTATGCTTTTAAAAAAGGCAGCTAGTGCAAAAAAGGTCTCCAGGGTAAATGACACTTTTGTATATTTATGTGATTCCTTATTTACTCTTTAAAACATTGTTTTTTGTGATAACAACCGTGTTAAATGTGTTTTTATTATATGTACAGCACTTTGGCTCGACCAAAAATCGCTTTTAAATGTGCTATATAAATAAAACCTGATTTGATTTAAAGATCTCCATGTTTCCACTGCTCTCTTTATTATAGTTTTACAAAATAAGTGGTGCATCAATCTCGATATTGTGTTTTCATTTACTTCCCTGATGTGAGTACTGAACTGTAAAATGTACCAAGCGTTTCTGCATATCCCATATTCTTCTCATAACGGCAGCCCTAGAATGAACCTTCGAGGGAAAGTCTGATTCTGTTCACATTGTTAAAACATCATCACGACCAGAGATGGGGTCGTTACTCAAAAAAAGTAATATATTACTTTACTTCGTTACTCTCTACATAAAGTAACGCGTTACTTTACCCGTTACTTTACTCGTTACTTTACCCTCCCTACAGGCAGATCACGCAGACTGCGGAGGGTGCTTCATTTTGCGGAGGGAGCCTCATCTGAAGCGCAAATGCGGCGCACCTACAGTGTTACTCGTTACTTTACTCGACATCCTCACTCTGGATTCGGAGGTCCTCCTTAGCTATTAGCTTCACGTTAGCATGTTGCCTTTGCAGCCAGGTGCTTGTTGAGGTTTGACGTGGTGTTTGCAGCAGTGGATAAAAGCTTCTGGCCTGGACACAGTTTGCACCTCACCGTCACATTCCTGTCCTTTCTTTGGACGAACTCAAAATAATGGGCAGACCTCCACCCCTCGAAAGTTATCGCTGTCTCAGCCATGTTTATGCACTGCATGTGGACGCGCAAGTCGCGCAAATGTTACGTAAATATAAACCTGCGGCGGAAGTCCCTCTTGTCTGTCAAAGGGAGAATCTAGTAATTCTTTATGTTAGTAGGCTAACTGTAGTGTGATTACTGATTTGATAAAAGTAACGAAGTAACGCGTGTCGGGCAATGTTAGTAACTGTAGTGTGATTACTGAATTATAAAAGTAACGCGTTACAACCAACTCTGATCACGACTTGTCCTTGTCTGGTCTGGATTTTTCAAAACAAGTGGCCCATAAAAGAGGTTCCTTTTGTCCTCTGAGTTCAGGTAAAAGATGAGAGAGCCTTTGAAATGAGAACATACAGACCTCTGCATCACTACATTTATTTTTTATTCTAACCTTTTTTACATTACCATATTTTATTCAATATGTTCCTAAAATAATTTTTTCTCCTCATAGCATTGTGAAGCACCTTGAGATGACGTTGTTTTTTAAAGTCTGCTATATAAATGAAATGTATTATTATTATTATTATTAAATGTGCACAAAGCTCAATAATGTGGGGACCAAGTACAGAACCCTGAGGGACGCCATGATTGACGGGGGCTGTGGGGGATTTGGAGTTGGTAAAGGAAATGTGCACAGAGCTCAACTTAATGTGTCTCTAAGGACTTCCATCCCATAACTTAAGTCCTCACCTTGACCCTCATGTCTCCGTCTGTCAGCACCATGTAGAAGTCATCATACGTCATGCTGAACTCTTTCCTCAGCTCTGTGATCAGATCCTGGTTCACCAAGTCCTCCTGACGCAGACCCTTCATCGGCTTATCGTTCTCTGAAGGAAATAAAACAGAGAGACAGAGGTGAGATTCTGTGATACATTTCACACTGTTTGACTGTACAGGGCTGGCTCTGTTGTGATTGGTCAACCGCTTAGAGATGTCCCGCCCCTTAGCCTATTACGTACAATGTGTTGAAGCGCTAGCCAATAGGAGCGTGTGTGTTACATAGTGATGTCATTATGTTCCGGAAGTAAACAAAGGAGTTCAATGGAGGCGTTTCAGGTAGAAGAAAAGACTTGTGCCATGCAGTGATTTCCATAAAACCAGTGAAACCAAAACATGAGAAATATAATATTTCATAACTTCTGACATCTCAGCTTTGTTTGACATTTTGCTCCAAAAAGACGAGTGAAATTGGGCTCAACAAAGTAAATCTAATCTATTCTAATCTAATCATGAGAGTCTTGCAATATCACATCGGAGAGATACAATCTTTTACACGCATTTACAAAAGTCAAATAACTGTCACTGAACACTTGTGATGAAGAGTTTTCCCATAACATAACCCATAATAATAATAACACACAATGTGAGAGTTTGGCTCTGAGACAGGGGAGTAAAATGTGTTTTTATTGCTCAAACGTAAAACATTTTTGACAATTGTTTTCGACATGGCGGTAAAGTGGGGTCTGCAGAATGTAAACATGCAGAGCGAATCAGGGACAAACTCCACAAAAAGACACAAAGAGTGACTGGTTAACAGTGGAAAGAATAATGATTTATAATGAGATGTTAATCACTTTTAAACACAGTTTTTGAAGTCTCTTTCTCTTGTTTTTTCTCTTGAGATCAGGGTAGAGACTTGTCTTGTGTTTAACTTTTATTCTCTCTGTCAGGGAAGTTTAGGGTTTTTGTATCGCAAAGTTTGTTTGTTGTTTTGGGCATTTCTCATCTATGATCTCCAAAAAAAGCGGCTTTGAATCACCGAGATCTGGCCTGGTCAGATGCCTTATGAATCTATGTACTGTAGTTAGGGTTTAAATAGACCAAAGCAAAAGCCTTTAATCACCAATGCCTCATTGCATACACACACACACACACACACACACACACACACACACACACACACACACACACACACACACACACACACACACACACACACACACACACACACACACACACACACACACACAGACCACAGAACAGTGTGTTTTGGTGGTTGTGCATGAGCAAATCAGGAAAACCCCAGCACACACACTGCAGCTGATACACACTCAGACGTTACACACACAGAAAAACACACAACAAACACACTGACCACCATGAGGTCACCCTATAGTGAGGGAGGGGCAGCAGTGAAAGAACCAGTTGTTTGTGTCCAGTACATGCTCACACACACACACACACACACACACACACACACACACACACACACACACACACACACACACACACACACACACACACACACACACACACATACACACACACACACACTTCGGGCCGGTAAGTGGAACAAAAGTCTAACAACCGTGGGAGGGGGTTTCGCTGACGTCAACTCTGCACTTTTTCCAGCATTCCAGCTGAATAAAACCTCGTTGTCATGCGGAGTGACAGACTCGTAAAAGGGTTACAAAGTGGGTTTCAATGTCCCGAAGCCAACACACACACACACACACACACACACACACACACACACACACACACACACACACACACACACACACACACACGCCCAGGCTTTGGGTTTGAGACGGCTGTGAAATGCCTGAAAATATGAGAGAGGACGCCGAGACAAAATGATACAGCATTTCATAAAAATAAACCGCGGGGGGGTTTTGGAACTTCTTGAACAAGAAGCTCTGAGCAGTTTGATAAAAGGGACATTTTTGGAAGTTGTCGTAATTGCATTAAATGTGTGTGTGTGTGTGTGTGTGTGTGTGTGTGTGTGTGTGTGTGTGTGTGTGTGTGTGTGTGTGTGTGTGTGGTTAAACTCCCCTGATACAGATAAAGACCCCTGTACTCTAAATAGCTTCTGAACAAACTCATTCCTTACAGCTGACCTAAACACCCCCTCTCTCCTATCTAGTAACCAGCACAACCATTATGTTACAAAGAAAGCTGAAACTTGTTTATCAGAATTTGCAATAGTTCTTTAATTATTTTTGAAAAATGTAAATTCCTAAAATCTTTTATTTATTAAATGTTTTAATGTTTTAACTTTATTTTGAAAGTTTTCATTTTTTTTAATCATGAAATGAACTATTTCTTAAACTTAACGAATGAACTGAATGACCTAAAAGCTTTGTTGAAATATAGTGCAGGTTTTCTGAATGCAAACATGTTGTCTTAAAAAAGTGTTTGGTTTTTTTTATTATGTTGAAACTCTTTGTTTCTGCTTTTCTTGTCCAGGTCCAGGTAAAATATATCCTTGATCTTGATGCGACAAATGTGGCTAAATCAAAAAAGCCTCTCAACTTTACATTGAAAGTGCAACCTGTCAAAGTGCTTTCACCACAGGAGAACATGCACACTAACAAAAGAGAACAACAGTCAGGATGAAATAAATCAGCAGTGAGCTCTATGTATCATCACCTGCTCAGAGGAAAGTGCTCTGGCTTTGGCAGAGTTCAGTCTGTTTTACTTGGAGCAGAGATAAGGTCAAACGAGGACAGCAGACGTGGCCTCTCAACACGGAGAACATTCACACTACAATAACATTTCCTCTGCACAAACTGCAGCTTCAACAGCAAGAGCAGCATGTCACGTCTGAACAAACCGTGTAAGTATCATAAACTTGTGTTTGTCAATTTCTAGAATATCTCATAAAACCAATGGGTTTTTTTGGAGGGGAGAACAAGGGAGACAAAAGGTGTTGGTTGTCCTACACAAATACACAATAAAAAAAGGACACCTAGAAATATAATGTCCAAGACGTGATGCCTCGCCCTACGTTAAGCTCAGTGTTTCCGCCAGACCAGGGCTGAGAGGGCGTCCACCCCGAGAGCAGGGGGTGGGGGGGTGCTTGAATTTTGACTTGAGCCGTCCCTTATAGATACTGTCTTTTTACGTTGGTGAGCCGGATCATTTGGCTCGGCTCTCTTAAAGCGCCGGCTCCCAAACGGCTCTTGATGTTACCACAGTTTACCACGGAGCCTCAGTTCTTCCGCTGCGAGGCTCTGGTGCTCGCAGCTCACGCGCGTGCTCCACTAGCACCGCTCATCGCGTCCAAATCGTGCACGTTCCGTGTTGTCCTGTGGCAGGCACCACCGATGTCGGGGAAACGATCTTCAATACTCCGAAAAGAATCCCACCAGATTCCTTTGCCCCTCCAACAGAGGGATGTCCTTGTCCTTTTTCCTTTTCGTTAGTTCAAGCGATAAAAACTCTCGATCTTCTCTCAAAATGACGGCAAGACGCGCCCCCTGGCGGAAACGCTGGTTAAGCAATAGAAATGCTGCCATGTGTTTGTGTTTGTGTGCCTCTGCCAATCAGTCCAGTTGCTGTTTACATCCATATCCGGTCAAATGTCATCATTTCATCATCGAACCATATTAGACAATTGTGTAAAATTGATTTATTGAGTTATGGCCAAAAATGGGTTTGTTATGTTTCAGTTACTGATGTTTAACGACCAATTTCTAATCAGTTTGTCATTGGGGCTAAGTGGACGTATTTGCCAAATTTGAAGTAATTCCCTCAAGTTGTTTCTGATCAATTGTGTTGTACGAAACAACCCAAAAACGAATTGCCTCTGGCCAAGTTTACTGCCAGAGCAGAGGCATACAAATAAGGTAGAGAATGCAAAGGGCACATTTTAGAAAACACACGATGAGACTTAAGAGTTTCGTAAACAGTTATTCTGAGTGACTAAGAAACAAGGACAGATTTCCCAACCAGATGGAGGCATCAACAGTCTGAGAGAACTGCCAATCATCTTTCTCACAACGTTTAAGAGTTAAAAACAAGTTCCTTTTAAACTTGTTAACCTCTCCTTTCCCTGGTGAGACACTTCAGGATACTCACCCAGCTGGTAGTGGTCGATCTTCATGGTGGAGTTGCTCAGCGAGCCGAAGATGGTGATGATGGAAACTTTCCTGATGGCCATTTCACACACAGACTCCAGGTACTCATCTCTCTGCTGAACGTACATGTTGCTCTCCTCCCCGGGGGACGTGATCAGCTGCAGGAAGGGAGGGACTGTCATGTATGTGCAATGAAAAACACACACACACACACACACACACACACACACACACACACACACACACACACACACACACCTACACACACACATACAGGGTGCTGCAGAGGTGATGTTTACATTAACCTGCAGGCGGAGGATGGGGCATATTTTCCCAGCACTGCTGTGATAAGAATCTATAGCTGAGACACTCAGTCTGTTAGCACTCAGCTGTGCAGCCTCCACATACTGCATGTCTGTATTCACATTTCAAACTACTTCAGGTTATAAAGTAATGACATTAAGGGATACAAAAGGGGGAAACAAGTGAGTGGTTTGCACACCACAGAACATGTGTGTGTAGTGGTTTGTTGACCTGTAAGAATTTATCAACAATAAATCCCTTCTCCAGATGTTGCGATTGTTTGTGGAAAACTTGTATGAGTTTACATTGCTTTTTGCAGTTGCAATGTGGGTCACCTTTTTCTGTTCTAGAAGGACTAACTTCTGCTGAAAAGACTAATGTGAAATGGAAGACAAAGCAATATCATTTTATTGTGATAGTGAATGGTTTTACCAGACATTTTTGTTGGATACATTTGTCTGGTTTACTGTGTCTTACTCTGAAAAGATAAAGGTTAACTTCTGATGTGAATCTTTTTTGGGAAATACGCTTATTTGCTATCTTGCGTTAGCTTAGCGTAGCATAAAAACAGTTTTTGCACTGAGCAAGGCTAACCATGTCTACCTGTTTCCAGTCTCTATGCTAATCTAACTAGCTGCTGGCTGTAGCCAAATAGATTATTCTAGCAATATTCTTATCTGTCTTCTAGCAAGAGAAGAAGAGGGAGGAATTTGAACCACTCTCTTATCTCTGCAGGGAAAAAAATGAAGCTACAGCAAGGAGCCAGTTAGCTTAGCTTAGCATAAATAATGTTTTCTGCCCCCGGTTTCCTGTATGTATGCTAAGCTAAGCTGACTAGCTAACTACCTGCTGGCTGTAACTTTGTAGATTGAAAAGCCGGAACTTAATACTGCATATGAACAGAGGTGGGAAGTAGTGGAGTACAAGTACTTCGTTACTGTACTTAAGTAATTTTTCTGGTATCAGTACTTTACTCCACTACTTATTTTTCTGACGACTTTTTACTTTTACTTCTTACATTTCTAACACAAATACCTGTACTTTCTACTTCTTACATGTTGAACACAAATACCTGTACTTTCTACTTCTTACATGTTGAACACAAATACCTGTACTTTCTACTTCTTACATTTTGAACACAAGTACCTGTACTTTCTACTTCTTACATGTTGAACACAAATACCTGTACTTTCTACTTGTTACATTTTCCAAACAGGCTGGTTCCTTTAGTTTGAATGTGTGTTTGGTGGCGTGATCATTATTATTTAGAGTCATTGCGTGCCTATTGATTTGAACACGATCCGTGTATCCATCATTTCCTGGTCTTCTCTAAAGAAGAGGGACCAATGAAAACGTTGTCATGTTGCCGTTGTTCAGCATGGAAACATTCATTAGCTAACAATGACATTATTGTTCTATTAATATAAAGGGAGGTCAGGTACTCTTTAAAACAGCTGCTAGTTATGGGTACTTTTTACTGAAGTACATTTCAAAGCCCTCTTTACTTTTACTTGAGTAAAGAAGTTTAGTCAGCACTTCTACTTTTACCAGATATTTTTAAACACGAGTATCTGTACTTCTACTTGAGTAAAGGATGTGTGTACTTCTGCCAGAAAGGAAAGAGAGGCAGAGTGAGGCTCCTTTCATGAGCTGTGAGTTACGTCATGCTCTCACCAGCAGTCGCCTCCTGTTCTCAAAGTATTCGAGGAAGGAGGCCAGAGATCCCTTCGGAGGGGGCGTCGGCTTCTTAGTGGGCTTCGGGAAGTCCTCTTTCTCCGGGTACTTTGACAACTTCTTTCCATTTTTCTTCCCCCCGATCTTCCCGGCCTTTCCTCCTCTCCTCTCGCCTTTCTTGCCAGCCTTGTCGTTCTTTTTCTTCCTCTTGTCGAGCTTATCTTGTTTTCCCTTCACCCTCTTTGTGGGACTGATGCTGGTGAAGGTTTCCTCAGGATCACTCACTGTGGGTTTGCCCGCTTCAAACCTGTCCTCGTACTCATTTGTCATCACCTGCACGGACAAAAGCATGTTGTTAATTTGGTTGTTAAAGTATATTTCCAGTTTCCTCATTGATTTAATACCATCAGAATCAGAATCAGAATCAGAATCAGGTTTATTACCAGGTAGGTTGACACGTACGAAGAATTTGACTTGATGTCATGGTGCATGGATAAAAGTACAATGAAAATGAAAAACCACAGATAGAGAACTATTAAAAAACACAGATAGAGAACTAGGGCAATGATTAACCATTTCACAAGAATGTAAAGTTATGAACCCCAGAGTCTCGTTGAACACACAAAGTGAAGCACTAGTGGTTAAAATTGTAGAAATTCCAGTCAAGGCTAAATAGATGAAGAAAGGTCCAATCTTTTAATGAAGTTATCTGTGTGAAAGTGCCCTGCAAAATGACTCCTAAAGAGACATTTCAGTAGCGTTATTATATTTATAATTTCTACTTTAGCTCACTTTTATAATCATATCCACTCCCAAAACGAATTACCTCTGCAAAGGACGTCCTATTGAATGCTTTCAGTTTGGTTTGTTTGTAATTGGAGTGCATTTATATAATGCTTTTCTAGTCTAAATTTCAAAGCGCTTTACAACACATGTCATACATTCATACACCGATGAGTGGTTAAGGTTTGATGCTCAAGGACACTTCAACACTCTCTGGAGGAACATTTCAATTATTAGACAACCTTCACCTCCTGAGCCAAACCTCTCCATTTGTCGGTCAACAGGATTACGGAAAAATTCCTCACCCTATTTTCTTTAACCTTGGGGGAAGGATGTTGCATTAGCGGAGGAAGAACTGATTAGATTTTGGAGCGGACCCAAATTACAAGCATTATTATTTACTTATGGAAATGGTCGAAGTCTGCTATCTCTAAATGCCATTCTAGTTCATTCATTTATGGGTTTAGTACTGATGTTTTCCAAGTAAAGTAGCCTTAATTATGGGTCTTTATCAGGGGGTCTGTAACCTGTAATTATTGTTTGATATGATTTGAAGTGTTTAGTTTTTTTAAATGTAATGGCGCGTTTCCACTACAGTGCGGAGCACGGTTTAAGAGGGCTGTGACGTCAGCGGCCCGTCTTTGGTTGCGTTTCCACTTGGCCTAGTACCGGCCGGCGGGTCCTAATTCACAGTTTTTCTGGCCTCATAAAATCGCGGGTCTAGGGCCAGAGACAACGAGGCTGAGTCGGGCTGAGTATGATAAACTAGAGAGAGCATCGCTGGCAAGGGGGCTACAACTACAACAAGATGGACATATTTGACCGTGATTTAATTGTAATACACGTTTCAAAATGATGCCGAAGTAACAACATACTGATACCGGTTAGTAAAAACCATGAATTAATGCTTTGTCAAGTCTGCAGACAGACGGCAGGCGAAAAACCTTTTAAAATGCGTGTTTTCTAAATGGATATTGGCTAAGCTAACGCAGTATATGCTCCGACCGTCCACACTCACAACAACGGCCTATACAGACATAAATAAAGCAGCGACTGTATTCACCATGACACAGGCAGTCTGTGGTTTGTACTTGTTTAACTTTAGTCTAGTTTCTGAACAGATATGAGGAGCTGTGAGCTCTGAGTGCTAACAGCTAACGGCTGTGTTGTTTTTCTGGGGTTCTCTGAAGATCACGTCACGGCTCCGCCTACACTGCGTTACTATAGATACTACCCCAGTTCCTAAACTGTAATGGAAATGCGCCATAAAGTGAGCCAGTCCTAACGAGGCCCAGCCATACCGAGCGGGGCCGAGCGAGGCCGTGTAGTGGAAACGCGCCATAAGTGTCTGAAACTACTAACTGGCCTATTTATCGGGAAAACAACCAAAACTATTTAACTTACACAACAATGACAGTCTTCCTCTAACCCATAAATACTTGAAATCACAAAGGCTAGCTATATGCTAAATCACGGTGCAGCACTTTTTTTAAACTGTGAACTTCTTAGCTAAGGTTACATATTATTACTTTAAAGGCCCTGACACACCAAACTGACACCAAAGAACATGTCCCGACGGACCCGATTGTTGTGTCGCCTCACGTCTCCTGCGTCTTGGCCAAAAGGTCGCACTGGAACACACCGCAAAGACTTCAGCCAACGGCCAAGTAGCACGTACGAATTGCGCATGCGTGAGGGGCAATAACTCTCCTTACCAGCAGGCGGCGGTAGTGTGTATTCGTCATTCAAAAGAGGCAACCGGAAGACAGACTGCGTGATATATACAAACAACAAATAGCGTGCGTTCCATTTTCACTCTCGTCCGTCACAGGCTGTTTCACAGACTGTTTCACATAACGACTTACAATCAAAAACATGTTTAGTGCGGTACTGGAAAATGAAAAATAATAGCCGTCTGTGTGTGCCTTCTTCACTTCCGTTTCACTTCTCATGCACTGATTCGCTAAGCTGAACAGCCAATCAGAGTGATTTATTTTGCCGACAGCCTTTTGCCGACTTGAATCGGGAGCGGAAGGTGTCGGCACGGCCGAAAAGACACGACGGTGCGGGACACACCAATCTGATGCTCATCGGCGGCCAGACATCTATCGACGGCCGAAATGGGCTCGGTGTGTCAGGGCCTTAAGAGTTTAGTATTGTATGCACCATAAATATGGAATATAGAATATTTATATCTAATATCTATACATGGCACTTAAGGATACCATACACCTAATGGAATGACGAATATGCAATTCAAGTTTATTCAGAGGTAGAAGGAGGTCCCTGCTCCGTCAGGACTTCCTTTTTTCGCAGACCCTTGACCTAACATACACACAAAAAGACTCAAACACTTTTACCTCACCTTTCCTCCCCCGTTCTTCCTCTTAGTGGGTTTGATCTTTGATGGTTTTTGAGTGGAGGGAACCAGTTTGCGGCTGTTTGGATCGCTGTTGTCTTTATCCGTTCGGTTATCTCCAGACGGGGTGGTCTTCACCTGGTTCCTCTCCCTCGCTCTGCTGTAGTGGGAGGGGTCAGCGGTGGTCCTGGGGACTGGGAGCCACTGGGAGGTCGTCTGGGCTCTGGTGGGTCTCTGGGAGAGGAGAAGTAGTGGAATACAATACTTATGTTATATTTGTCTCATATTGTGTAACCCTAGAATGAACCTGTACAACATAAGAGAAGCGAAAGTACTTTGAGGGAAAGTCTGATTCTGTTCACATTGTTCAAATATCATCATGATCTGTAATTGTCTGGTCTGGATTCTTCAAAACATGTGGCCAATAAAAGAGGGTCCCTTTTGTCCTCTGAGTTCAGGTCGAAGATGACAGAGCTTTTGAAATGTGGACAGACGAGGACATAATGTGTCTCGAAGGACTTCCAGCCCATAACTCGAGTCCTTGTTATCGTAGAAATGTATCCAAGTCTCATTTAATTATACATGTCAATGTAACTTACTTTCTTTCTTGGGTTTTTCCCACAGTTTCAGTTTGATGTAAGCTACAGCTATCACCAGAGATGGGAAGGAGTGGAGAACAAATACTTCGTTACTGTACTTAAGTACTTTTTCTAGTATCAGTACTTTACTCCACTACTTATTTTTCTGACGACTTTTTACTTTTACTTCTTAAATTTTGAACACAAATACCTGTACTTTCTACTTCTTACATGTTGAACCCAAATACCTGTACTTTCTACTTCTTACATGTTGAACCCAAATACCTGTACTTTCTACTTCTTACATGTTGAACCCAAATACCTGTACTTTCTACTTCTTACATGTTGAACCCAAATACCTGTACTTTCTACTTCTTACATGTTGAACACAAATACCTGTACTTTCTACTTCTTACATGTTGAACACAAATACCTGTACTTTCTACTTCTTACATGTTGAACACAAATACCTGTACTTTCTACTTCTTACATGTTGAACACAAATACCTGTACTTTCTACTTCTTACATGTTGAACCCAAATACCTGTACTTTCTACTTCTCACATTTCCCAAACAGGCTGGTTCCTTTAGTTTGAATGTGTGTTTGGTGGCGTGATCATTATTATTTAGAGTCATTGCGTGCCTATTGATTTGAACACGATCCGTGTATCCATCATTTCCTGGTCTTCTCTAAAGAAGAGGGACCAATGAAAACGTTGTCATGTTGCCGTTGTTCAGCATGGAAACATTCATTAGCTAACAATGACATTATTGTTCTATTAATATAAAGGGAGGTCAGGTACTCTTTAAAACAGCTGCTAGTTATGGGTACTTTTTACTGAAGTACATTTCAAAGCCCTCTTTACTTTGACTTGAGCAAAGAAGTTTAGTCAGTACTTCTACTTTCACCAGAGTATTTTTAAACACGAGAATCTGTATTTCTACTTGAGTAAAGGAAGTGTGTACTTTTGCCATCTCTGTACCTGAGTGGTGGTGGTGGTGAATCTCTTTGTGGTGGTTCTTCTGGTGGTGGGTTTGGTGGTTGTTGTTGTTGTTGTTGCTTTTGTCGTGGTGGTGGTTGTTGCTCTCTTGGTGGTGGTGGGCCGAGTTGTAGTTGTGGTGGTTGGTCGTGTGGTGGTTGTTGTTGCTCTCTTCGTGGTGGTGGGCCGAGTTGTAGTTGTGGTGGTTGGTCGTGTAGTGGTTGTTGTTGTTGTTGTTGTTGTGGCAGCTGTGGTTGTTGTTGTTGTTTGGGGCTTTCTTGGGATCTTCTTGTGTGGTAATCTTTGTACTCGTGTATCTACTTGTCCTAATAAAAAGGCAGATAACAGATGAATAGTTTTATTAATATCAGCAAAATGAATACAAAATAAATAAATAAGTGAATACCAATATACGTAAATACAATAAAATCAATAATGAAATACAGTATGTACGGAAAAACTATGTAGATCTCCACCTTTAATTTGTTTTGTATCATACTAGGGCTTGTGGCCGCATAAAACAGGTATTTAAAGACGTCACCTTGGAGACACTGGGATGGATGTTTTGAACCATTTTAGTTTTATATAGATTAAATAATGGTTAGTTGCATTCTCTCCACATCCCCCCTCTCACCTGTGAGCGTGCCCTCCTCCACCTGACCCTCCACTCCTGCAGCTTTGCATTTCTGCACGAATCCTTTCTGTCTGAGCTTCTCGTTCTTCCTCGCGGGCGCCTGGTCGATCGCCTCGTACATCGCCTCCAGCCTCACTGGGTACGGGTACCTCTCCTCCACCTGCAGCGTCTTCTTCAGCAGCACCATCCCAAACTTACCTGCAGGAAAAACAAAAAGTCACTGATCACATATCAGGTATTCTGTCATGTTTCTACCCAGGTGAGATGCTCACAATGTTGCCCCAGGTTGGTCACCAACATAGCACATTTTCATACATGATTTATTACATTTATTTTGAAAAATGGGAACTTAAAGGTCCCCTATTATACTGGTTTTTGTATCATTATATTATAGGTCTCAGATATATACAAAACATGTCTCTGAAGTGTTTTGCTCCAAATACCAAACAGATCATTGCAGCATCCCATAATCCCCTCTGTTTCAGCCCTGTTTCAAAAGAGCTGATTCTCTGTCTGTTACTTTAGATGAAAATAAGGAGCCCCTCCCCACGCCCCTCTGAGAGAGATTTGGTTACAAAGAACACAATGGTGCTCTAGGAGGAGATTCAGGTGATAAGGGGGGGGGGGGGGGGGGGGGGGGGGGGGGGGGGGTTACCTTGGTTGGTGACACAATGGTTACACAAGCCAAAACATCGTTATGACATCATCAAGTGGCCAAAATCTGATCAGCTCATTTTCAGACAGGTTTTTATAGAAATGGATCAGGACAAAAAGAGAGAGAATCTTTGTTCCTGAAACTTTCAGAGTCTCTTTCCACAGAGGGGACACATGTTGATGTAGAAGAGACATGAAGAAGAGGGGACACATGTTGATGAAGAAGAGACATGAAGAAGAGGGGACACATGTTGATGTAGAAGAGACATGAAGAAGAGGGGACACATGTTGATGTAGAAGAGACATGAAGAAGAGGGGACACATGCTGATGTAGAAGAGACATGAAGAAGAGGGGACACATGTTGATGTAGAAGAGACATGAAGAAGAGGGGACACATGTTGATGAAGAAGAGACATGAAGAAGAGGGGACACATGTTGATGAAGAAGAGACATGAAGAAGAGGGGACACATGTTGATGTAGAAGAGACATGAAGAAGAGGGGACACATGCTGATGTAGAAGAGACATGAAGAAGAGGGGACACATGTTGATGTAGAAGAGACATGAAGAAGAGGGGACACATGTTGATGAAGAAGAGACATGAAGAAGAGGGGACACATGTTGATGAAGAAGAGACATGAAGAAGAGGGGACACATGTTGATGTAGAAGAGACATGAAGAAGAGGGGACACATGTTGATGTAGAAGAGACATGAAGAAGAGGGGACACATGTTGATGAAGAAGAGACATGAAGAAGAGGGGACACATGTTGATGTAGAAGAGACATGAAGAAGAGGGGACACATGTTGATGAAGAAGAGACATGAAGAAGAGGGGACACATGTTGATGTAGAAGAGACATGAAGAAGAGGGGACACATGTTGATGAAGAAGAGACATGAAGAAGAGGGGACACATGCTGATGTAGAAGAGACATGAAGAAGAGGGGACACATGTTGATGTAGAAGAGACATGAAGAAGAGGGGACACATGTTGATGAAGAAGAGACATGAAGAAGAGGGGACACATGTTGATGAAGAAGAGACATGAAGAAGAGGGGACACATGTTGATGTAGAAGAGACATGAAGAAGAGGGGACACATGTTGATGAAGAAGAGACATGAAGAAGAGGGGACACATGTTGATGTAGAAGAGACATGAAGAAGAGGGGACACATGTTTGATGAAGAAGAGACATGAAGAAGAGGGGACACATGTTGATGAAGAAGAGACATGAAGAAGAGGGGACACATGTTGATGTAGAAGAGACATGAAGAAGAGGGGACACATGTTGATGAAGAAGAGACATGAAGAAGAGGGGACACATGTTGATGTAGAAGAGACATGAAGAAGAGGGGACACATGTTGATGTAGAAGAGACATGAAGAAGAGGGGACACATGTGATGGAGAAGAGACATGAAGAAGAGGGGACACATGTTGATGAAGAAGAGACATGAAGAAGAGGGGACACATGTTGATGTAGAAGAGACATGAAGAAGAGGGGACACATGTTGATGTAGAAGAGACATGAAGAAGAGGGGACACATGTTGATGGAGAAGAGACATGAAGAAGAGGGGACACATGTTGATGTAGAAGAGACATGAAGAAGAGGGGACACATGTTGATGTAGAAGAGACATGAAGAAGAGGGGACACATGTTGATGTAGAAGAGACATGAAGAAGAGGGGACACATGTTGATGTAGAAGAGACATGAAGAAGAGGGGACACATGTTGATGTAGAAGAGACATGAAGAAGAGGGGACACATGTTGATGTAGAAGAGACATGAAGAAGAGGGGACACATGTTGATGTAGAGGAGACATGAAGAAGAGGGGACACGTGTTTATGTAGAAGAGACATGAAGAAGAGGGGACACATGTTGATGTAGAAGAGACATGAAGAAGAGGGGACACATGTTGATGTAGAAGAGACATGAAGAAGAGGGGACACGTGTTGATGTAGAAGAGACATGAAGAAGAGGGGACACATGTTGATGAAGAAGAGACATGAAGAAGAGGGGACACATGTTTATATAACAGACATGAAGAAGTGGATTTTGCATAATAGGTGACCTTTAAAGGGTCATAACAACAAACACCACCAGCCTCAGTGTCCCCCCCTCCTCCAGGATAACCCCACCTCTCACCTTTCTCCAGTTTGAGGAAGCTCATGAGTCTGGGGATGAGAGCGGTGTCCAGCGGTTCCTCCATCACCTTCCCCTCCTTGGTGATCCTCCTCACCTTCCCCCCCATCTCCCCCTCCTGATGGAAGATGACCACCTGGTGCACGTGTCTCTCTGCCAGCTCGCAGTAAACATCTGACTTCAGAAGAGACATCATCATCCGGTAGTATCCGTCTGATTCGTGGGGAGCAGAAATCACCAGAACCCGGTTCTTTCCTGCGAATGTGGCCAGAAGGTTTGGAGACCCCGAGCTGAAGAGATGGAAAAAGTTCACACATCCTTTACTCAAGTAGAAGTACAGATACTCGTGTTTAAAAATACTCTGGTAAAAGTAGAAGTACTGACTAAACTTCTTTACTCAAGTAAAAGTAAAGAAGTATGGGCTTTGAAATGTACTTAAAGGTCACCTATTATGCAAAATCCACTTGTTCATGTCTCTTCTACATCAACATGTGTCCCCTCCCTCTGTGTAAAGAGATTCTGAAAGTTTCAGGAAAAAAGATTCTCTCTCTTTTTGTCCTGATCCATTTATATAAAAACTTTTTTTGGCCACTTTATGATGTCATAACGATGTTAGCCAATCACCAACCAAGGTAACCCCCCCCCTTATCACCTGAATCTCCTTCTAGAGCACCTATTGTGTTCTTTTTAACCAAATCTCTCTCAGAGGGGCGTGGGGAGGGGCTCCTTATTTTCATCTAAAGTAACAGACAGAGAATCAGCACTTTTGAAACAGGGCTGAAACAGAGGGGATTATGGGTAATGCTGCAATGATCTGTTTGGTGTTTCAGCCAATCAGAGACAGGCTCTGTATATATCTGAGACCTATAATATATTGATGAAAAACAGTATAATAGGGGACCTTCAAGTAAAAAGTACCCATAACTACCAACTGTTTTATTGAGTAACTGACCTCCATGGATACACGGATCGTGTTCAAATCAATAGGCACGCAATGACTCTAAATAATAATGATCACGCCACCAAACACAGATTAAAACTAAAGGAACCAGCCTGTTTGGAAAATGTAAGAAGTAGAAAGTACAGGTATTTGTGTTCAACATGTAAGAAGTAGAAAGTACAGGTATTTGTGTTCAACATGTAAGAAGTAGAAAGTACAGGTATTTGTGTTAAAAATGTAAGAAGTAAAAGTAAAAAGTCGTCAGAAAAATAAGTAGTGGAGTAAAGTACTGATTCCAGAAAAATGTACTTAAGTGTATACAGTAACGAAGTATTATTACTTCACTACTTCCCACCTCTGGCTGCTGGGTCCTCGGGGCACCCTGCCTCGCGCTGCCTCATCCTGCATCACCCCTCTCCGTGACGTCACACCTCCTGCTCTTCTGCCCTGCACAGTCCTGGTGTAAACCGGAGCTCCTTCATCAGCCTGCACGTCTTCCTCCTTTGTGGGACTGTGCACCGATAAAGCAGAACCAAATCCAGGGTGCATGCGCCTCACGAGACCCCCATTTGGGCCAAGTCCCTGTCTCGCGCGCCTGCGTAATTGCACTTTCTTAATTTGAGTCTGTTTGTCAGCTTCACCTGTCCAGGTTAGCAGATAGACAAAAGATAACGTGAGAATGAAAGCCCCCCGCATTGTGGCGAGATACAGTTAGATTTACTGAGGGGGGAGAGATAGAGATCCAGTGATCCTGGTGCGTCTTTAGTGCATTTCATAAAAGAATGAACTCCAGATGAAGACATACAGCGAGCAGCACAGAGCCAGAGAAGTGTTTCAGATCATTCCTTCTGCTCAGGAAACCTCTGTGTGTGCCAGACAACGCGAAAAAAGAGTGTGCGTAAAAGTTACATCCAAAAAATCTCAACCATCCGTGTGCATAAATATAATCCCAGGAGGTAATATCATGTCACACACACATCTAACACTTTGTAATAATCCTCGTCTTTCAGGGGAAAATCAAAGTCTTTCAGTGGCGAAAAGTTTGGACCACGTCACATCTCCAAATACTTACGCGTCCGGTAAATTAATGAATCCAATTAAACCCTCCGGTATTGTTTTAAGTCCAACAAACTGTGAGATGATCCTCCAGGCTCAGAAAGGTGAAATCCTCCGACAGAATGTGCCCAAAGTGCTGAGTCTGCTCCGCGGCTGTGTGCCTCCGCAGGTTCTCTTTGGCAACACTGAGCTTTTTGGGAGGCTTTTCCAAGAAAAGGCGCACACAGACCTCAGCCTCCGGACTCTTGGCGACGCTCTGCCCCGGGACTCTCTGTCGGTTCACTCTGCAACACCCATTATAAAATAGAAACACCCCCGAAAAAAAGGCATGTGTCTCCGCGCAGGGATGAGTTTAGATTTTACTGAAGTTAAACATTTATCTAGCTGAGTGGAAGCACATTTCAAAAACCGTGAGGAAACTTTTTGTTCCCCTGCTGGCCAGATCACCGGGAACTAGAGAAATGACCGGAATCAGAGTCAGTGTCAAATTCCTTCCTTAAAGTCAGAAGGGAAACGCCCCCTGATCCCATCCCTGTCCACCGTGCACCCCCCACCCCCTTCAAACCCGTATTTTGGTGTAACACAATACGAATTAAATAACCTTTTAAAGGAGGCTCTTTGAGTAGGTGTCCTATTATGCAAAATGCACTTGTTGATGTCTTTTATACATAAAGATGTGTCCCCGGTGTGTCAGGATACTCACAAAGTGTCCGAAAATAAAACCCTCTCTTTTTCTCCTTACCCACATCTCTAAAAACTCAGAAACAATGCACGACGTGTTTTGGAAGTGTAATAGAAAAATATGATGCTCACTTACTTTTAGAATAACACTGTGATTCTTGCTTGCCAATGTTTATCTGTATTTACTGGCTTTCACTTATTTGCTAAGCTTGGGAAAAGTCTTATTAAGAACATGTGTTGCAGTGTTGTTAGTTAAACTCTCTGTGCCCAAACAGTATGACCTTCACCTTCTGTGAACTGAGAACATCCTGATACTGCCTCCCTAAACTTTATTATCGCCAAGCTTCACCCCACCTTTCTCCTCTCTCTGTGTTTAAATATGAAACCCAAACTCTACTCTTTCACTCAGCAGACTGTATGCTCTCTGTACGATTGACTGAACTTCTTGCAAGAATAAAATACAACACAAGACAATCAAATGATTCATTCTTTATTCACGTTTGATAAGTAAATTCCCACAACAGAAGTAATATGGTCTTTGTTTACATTAGCATCGCTAACACTCAGAGCTAACCTGTACTGGAGAGAGTATGTGTAAAAAAGCAGGAAATCAAAAAAGGAACTCACCTTGTGGTAAACCTGAGAGAGAGAACGAGTTTGAGCTCCATACTGTTTCAGAAATAATCCTTGATGTGGTTTGGAACATAATTTGGAGTATCTGGGTAGAATTATCCTGCATGAACTCTCGTTTATTTTATTTTAAAGCTACAGACCCAGAATCAGCACTTTAGTAACAGGGCTGAAATAGAGGGATATGAGGCTAGAATGGATGATCTGTTTGGCATTTTGAGCAAAACACTTCATAGACATGCTTTTTTATATATCTGAGACCTATAATATATGCCTAGAAATAGTGTAATAGGAGACCTTTAAAGTCTTGATCCTCTGTTTTCAGGGTGGGGGCCTCCCAGTGTCTCATAATCTACCCATGGTGTAAACAAACAGATGACTCTAGTTCCTGTTGGAGGATTTGAGGCAAAACAGAGATAGTGTTTTTTATATGATATGTGTTGAGGCAGTCAGACTGGAAGTGGACGGAGCTACTGTAGTTCACATTTGAGAGTGACGTTCATATTGTTTTAGCATTACTTTGTTACCAAATACTAGCAAGGAATAGTTACTTCTATATGCTTTAAATGCAGTTGCATCTCCCCACGGACAAGTATCACTTTCACTGAGAGAAAAGTGAATATAAGTGATGAAACTATAACATGTATAAGATGTGGTCATCACAGAGGGATATAAATAGCCTCTTTACAGCATGTGGCAGTCGGACACACTGTGCAGTGTTCCCTTCGCTGTGAGAGTGGATGTGGCTCAGACCGAGGTTTACTTTTCTTTACTCGGTCCTAAATTACAAGCCGGACTGGGAGACTTTCTTAGAGGAAATGGAAAGAGCCATCATAAAAGAGGAAAAGCCAGTCATTGCATTGAGTTCTTTTGGCAGTAAACATGAAAAAACAACATTTCGTTTTTTGGCTTTTCTCGGTATAAGCAGTAAAGGAAGTGTAGAAATACACAGTCAATTATTTGTATACTTCCTGGCAGATAATCCATATCATTTATCAGTCCATTTATATTGTGTATTATTATGTATTTATTTCAATGATTATGTGACATGTGGAAATGACAAGAAAACATTTGAGTTGCATGCACAACAGAGATAACCAATGCAAACAAATGAGCTGTGCATTTGCACACAACATGGACTTTGGAGGACTTCCAGTGCTCATGTCACATACCTTGTTGCTCATTTATCTTCTGTTAAGAGATTTACATTTAGGGAGTTATCCGGTTTGATATAACTGGAATAAGGGTGATTGTCACAGTCTGCTTTCTCACTCACCTATTTTCTGCATTAACATTCCTTAGTCACCTGGTAGCCACACCCTGTCTCTCTCTCTCACTCTGTTACACCCATCAGCTCCATTAGTATATAGGCCCACTTCACTCTCACCTCAGTGCCACATCGTACTTTGCAGCATGCCAGTCTTTCCCGCATTATCTTCCAGATTGCTCTCCCGGTTTCGACCCTGCCTGTCCCTGACCAGCCTGCCTCGCCTGCTCCCTGACCCTGCCTGTACCCGGACTATTTTGCGTCGCCTGCTCCCTGACCCGGTCTGTACCTGCGACTCCCGTCTTGCCTTCTCCTGGAACCCTCGCCTGTCCCCGACCAGCCCTTTGCCTACTATCTGCCGTTTCGTCTCCTACCAGCCTATTGCCTTTAATAAAGCTGGTTACCGACTATCCCTGGTTTCCCGTGTGTTGCATTTTGGTTCTCAGCTCGTTTGTGACAGTGATGCAACAGGTGTAGGTTGAGTGTGAAGCTCTGGCATTTCCGGCAGCTTTCAAAACGGACTGACATTAAAGCAATCGTAATATAATCTGTTGAGGTGAAGCAATGATGTGCCATTAAATGTGTGATTTATTAAAAACAGGGAGGAAATATGATTGTGTGTTATAAAAACATAAAAGCTTGTACTGTGGATTTGTATTGCTGTTTGGCATAAATGGGACACTTAATCCTCTGCAGACACATCACCAACATCTTTTCATTGGCATCATTTCACAATACACCCTTTTAATAAAATAAAGCTAAGTTTATGGGAGAGAAAAGTTATTGTTTTGTTAGCAGGAAGGAACTGCATGGTGCTGATAAAGTGTGAGGGAACACCCACCTAATTAGAACAAAACGTATCTGCATTTGTCTGTTCTCCAAGCATGTTTATAAAAGTCCTGCCTATTCCCACAGTACAGTATGTGTTTCATCTGCAGAATGTTATTGGTTACTACACAACACAAGTGTGAAGTGGTGTTAAGGTGTGACTTTTTCAGTGCATGCAAACGGTCTTGGGGCTTTAACAATCTCTTGAGATGATAGATAAGACGGGCCTGTTCTTACTCGCTCTGGGCTTCAACCACACAAATGTGTCTTAGACGTGACCCTAAAACTATAGGTCTGCTACTTGTGGTCTGGGTCTTTGCTCTGAGAACTTCATCACACTCAACATGTTTATTTGCAGATGTGCTGCTCAAATGCTTTTGTAGCCACTGTCTGTCCTTGTCTGATGATCCCAGGCTAGTAAACATACACTTTGAGCCTCCAGTAATATTTGCAGGTGCAGTTAAATATGAAGCAAGCCAGATCTGTTTTTTTGATATACACTATTAGTATAAATATTACATAGAAAAAAAAATATATTCAATATAAAGCTTTTCCTTTCCAAAACCAGCAGGACAAGCATAAAAGAGACATGCGACAAACATTCATTATTGAAACCACTCAAATTAAAAGATCATAAGTGGTTTTGTTTTACATATATTTTAAGGATAATAATAGCAATGTAATGCTGCGTTCACACCGGACGCGATGCGAATATTCGCTTCGCTCTAATCGCTCCTATCGCATCGCTCTAAACGCTGGAGTTTCACCGCGGCTGCCAGCTGTGTTTACTCGCATCATTCAAACAAGACGCGCTGGCTCGGGAGCTACAACTACAACAAAATGAACATATTTTACCGTGATTAAATTGTAATACACGTTTCTAAATGATGCCGAAGTAACAACATACTGATACCGGTTAGTAAAAACCATGAATTAATGCTTTCACAAGTCTGCAGACAGACGGCAGGCGAAACACCTTATAAAATGCTTGTTTTCTGAATGAAGATCGGGTCGACCAGGCTAAGCTAACGTTGTATATGCTCATTCCACACTCATAACAATGACCTACAGACATAAATAAACCAGCGACTGTATTCGCCATGGCACAGACAGTCTGTGGTTTGTACTTGTTTAACTTTTGTCCAGTTTCTGAACAGATATGAGGAGCTGTGAGCTCTGTGTGCTAACTGCTAACAGCTAACGGCTGATGTTGTGTGGTTGAACGTCAGTGACGGCGGCTGAGATCCTCACCGCTGATTGGCTTCCGCGAGAACGCGTCACGTGAATTTGACGCTCGAGTTGAAAAAATTGAACTCTCGCGTTTAATGCGGCACCGTTCAATCGCCTCAATCGCGTGATTCGCGCCGCGTCCACCGCTTCATGCGCGCCGTCGGAGCGAATTCGCGTCTGTCCGCGTCTCTGCATTGACTTTACATGTAATCGCGCCGCCCCCAAACATCGCATCGCGTCCGGTGTGAACGCAGCATAACACAGTCTATGACACTTACTGTATAACACTGATTTAAAAAACATACAGAAAAAATTAATTCACTGCCCTAAGTAAAGTATTTAAATATACATTTCAGGTGTGCTGTTTTGTTCAAGGTTCAAGGTTCAAGGTTCTTTATTGTCAATCTGACATAGCTACAGAGAATTATGTAGTTGTATGTAGAAAATCTTATGTCACAGGCTTCTCCAACAATGCAACATAATAACATAATAACAATAAGAGCAAGAGCAATACAAAAAGAAAAACAGTTATAAAATAAAGTGATGATGTGGAATAGTGCAGTATGAGTCTATATACAAGTTATTGGAATGATATATATATATATATTAGATAGTAGATACATAATACTGAGTAGCAGATGAATGTTTTGAAGTTGTTTCAACAGTTCCATTGTTTAACAGTCTCACTGCCCGCGGGAAGAAACTGTCTCCGAATCTTCTTGTCCTTGCCAGGATGCTGCCAGACGGCAACAGAAAGAACAGTTTGTGGCTGGTTTAGTAATGGATATTGAATATGGAATAAAGGTTTTAACAAGACCTG